CAAAGCTTAATTTGGTAAGGTAAATTATTCAAGCTACTGTCAACTCTATATCTAGAAATTTACAGCTGGTGCATGAAGTAACAATTATCTGAATAGAAATAATAGACAGTAATCACAGAATCTGAGAGACCATATGTCAATACAAAATTATAATAAAAACCAAGACAAAGTAACCATACATTGGAGTATGTATGAATTATATTCTCAGCACAAGTTCTACTTATTTTAGTTTGCTTTGTTTCTTAGCAATCACAGCACTTGAAAGCCAGAACTGATCCAGAAAATGGTTAGAAAGCGATAACCTTGAGCAGCAGTCATACAAAATGCTTTATGGTTAAATTGCCATGTTTAACATTTAAACACCCAGATTTTTTTGTTGTTGTTGACATATATAAAGAATTGGTTGAAGGGTGAGCTCAATAAACTCTATGCATACAGAAAGTATGCATTTTACTTTAGACTAGACTTAAAAAGATTTAAGTGCACGAAGTTCATAAGCCATTGAAGAAACTTTTAAAAATGTAGTTAGTTCCTTTTATTAAGTGTGACATAGTGAAGGAGCTGAAGAAACAAGCATCTATCTGTGGAAGTAGCATTTCTAGTGATGTGTGTGTGTGTGTGTGTGTGTGTGCGTGCGCGCGCATGCACAAAAATACCCCTATGAACCTGTATCTGTGCAGGGTATTTAAATTTTTTAAAAAACTTAAATGCTATTTGCTCCATCCTAGGATTGATTAATTCAATTTGAACCTTACCTATAAAGCTAGATGCTATCTCAGAATCTACCATTTACAAGTATTTATAAACCTGTGAGCTGGCTTAGGCGATGGCTTAATGGCTTACACTATTCTTAATGGCTATTCTCATAGTATAACTCTAAATACATCATGAACAGTGTAACTTCTATTACATCCTTTCTCAAGACACAGTTGAGGACCACTTGCATCACTTTTTTCCAACTAGGATCCTGCTGCTGTATCAGTCAAGAAGAGAGGAATCTCAAAACTGCATGGACCAAGTAGAACTCTGGCACCACAGGGAACTCAGAATCCTCTGATCTATACAGGTCCAGACTGTGAAACAAAACTGTAATTAAGAACTGGAGGGGCTGTGGCTATGGATCAGCAGTAGGGTGCTCGCATAGCATGTGTGAGGCACTGGGTTTGATCCTCAGCACCACATTAAAATTAAAAAAAAAAAAAGAAAGAAAGAACTGGATGATGTTTTACCTCAGAAAACTTGGAATGGATCCACCATTTGACCCAGTTATCCCACTCCTCAGTTTATACCCAAAGGACTTAAAACCAGCCTAGTATAGTGATGCAGACATTAATGTTCACAGCAGCTCAATTCATAATAGCCAAACTATGGAACCAATCTAGGTGCTCTTCAACAGATGAATAGATAAGAAAATGTGGTATATATACACAATGGAATATCACTCAGCCTTAAAGAAGAATGAAATTATGGCATTTTCAGGTAAATGGATTGAACTAGAGAATATCATGCTAAGTGAAATAAGCCAATTCCAAAAACCAAAAGTTGAATGTTCTCTCTGACAAGCGGATGCTGATCCATAAGGAGGTGGGGCCAGCGGGGTAGGGAAGAATGAAGGAACATTAGTTGTGCAGAGGAGAGTTGTGGGGGGGCTGTGGGGATGAGAAGGACAGTAGAATGAGATGGACATTATTATCCTATATACATGTATGATTACACTATCTCAGTGACTCTGCACCATGTACAACCAGAGGAATGAGAAGTTGTGTTCCATTTGTGTACAATGTGTCAAAATGCACTCTATTGTAGAATGAAAAATAAATAAATAAATAAATAAGGGTGGGGGAAGAACTGGATGTTTCTCTTTATCTAACCAAAAGCATCTGGGAGGGAGTCCACTCTTGGGATCAGAGTCAGGGAAGGTAGACTTGGTACTAATAAAAATTCATCTGAGGCCTGCTACTAAGACGACTGTGCAGTTTTAGGTATCTCCCCTAAAAACATTACTTTAGGGAGCTGAGGATGTGGCTCAAGCGGTAGCACGCTTGCCTGTCATGCGCTGGGCGCTGGGTTCGATCCTCAGCACCACATAAAAATAAAATATAAAGATGTTGTGTCCACCGAAAACTAAAAAATAAATATTAAAAAATTCTCTCTCTCTTAAAACAAAAAACAACAACAACATTTCTTTAGGAGAGCATCAGAGACATTTAATTATACTCACTAATGCAGATTAAAAAGGCAATGATTTTTTTTTTTTTTTTTACATTATGTTAGACACTCTTTTTATTAGCTTTTCTCAAAACTTTGTTCTCCTGGCAGAGGACTTTGTCCTTGCTCTTTTTCTGAGACATCCAAGAAGCCAATAATGAACATGTACCTGGTAATCTGTTTTTTCATCTTTTAGAACACATTCTTCTTTCCCCTTCCTGTCAGTTTCAATTTTGATGACTTTATAACCCTGCTATGTCATATCCTAACTATACAGATTGTCATGTACTATGGACCTTGTTAAAGGTTTACCATTTTTATGCTTCAAGGACAGGGTGGCAAATTCATATTCAGCTGATAAAGTGGTCCCTGTCACATGTTTAGCTCTTACTCAGAGAGGGTGCCATTCATAAATCTTCCCAACAGTGTCTGCGCTTGATTTCATAGGCTCATTCATTAGACTCTCATGATTACTTCAACCCATTTGTCAGGTGAGCACATACAGGGCTCACTTTATTGTCTCTCAAGGATAGTTTACAGAAACTGTTTACCTTCAAATTTGTGATTGTTCTTGGCATAATTGCTCTCCTTATCTAATTCAAAATAAAATGCTGAACTTGAGAGGTCTGACTTGGCACTGGGTGCAAGGGTGATTTCTCCAAGGAGACAATACAATCATGCCAATTTCAAAGAAAAATTCAGTCAAAATTTGCCTTGAAGTGAGGTGCTCAAGCCAAGAACATAAGAGCCTGTTCCTTTGGTGAAAGGTTTCACACTTGAGAGTAAAATAAGTGAAAAAAATCACCATATATCTGGGCATTTCAGGATGGAGACAGTGGAATGGTTAATGCCATGCAATAACCAACTTAATCACCTTCCCCAGGATAATCAGAGAACTTTGTATATTGTATCTATCTACTGTAGTTTCTTTAAACTTCATGAAGTAGCCAGGCATGGTGGCACATGCCTATAATCCCAGCTACTTGGGAGGTTGAGGGAGGAGGAGCATAAACTCAAGGCCACTGGGCAACTTAGTGAGATCCTGTCTCAAATTAAAAAAAAAAAAAAAAAGGGTTGGGATGTAGCTTAGTGGCAGAGTATCCCTGGGTTCAATCCCTAGTACCACCTATTATTTATGTATTTATTTCAATCCCTAGTACCACTTCATGAAGTACACTCAATATATTATACTCTTTATCCATATCTAGTTTTTAATTTTGAGGATTAAGACTAGACAATTTACAACAGTGGTTCTTATACTTTTTAAGCTTAAGAGCTCTTTATATATCTCAAATTTACTGAGAACTTCAAAGAATTTTTTGTTTATGTTGATTTTTTCTTTCAAATTTTACAACAGTAGAACCAAAACTGAAAAGGTGTAAAGTGTACAGATGAAAACTATAAACTAGAATATATTAACAAAAATAGCACTGTTAACATAAAATGGTATTTTAAAAAAGAAAAGTAGTATCCTTGTTTTACATTTTTTACAAATCTCTTTGATATTTGACTTTGTAGGAGAAACCTGGAGTCTTAAGCCTTCTACATTCAATTGTCTAATGTATATCTTGGGTTGATGTAAACAAAGAAAATCCAGCCTCACACTGAGTTGGAAAAGTAAGGGCCTCAAAGACTGAAAGGGTTCCAGGACTATCTTTGATAACCAAGTGACTTTTGGACTAGCTCATGTCATGGGAGAGGTTTGCTCAGGGGCCCTCCTTACTGGCATGAAAATGGTTAAAAGCTGTAGTATTAACTGTGCACTGCCACACTGTGGACCCCATGTCAAGAAAGAACATGAAAAACACAGGCAAGGTAAATACTCCTTTCTCCATTGGTTCTTTCTTGCCACGTGAAGAACTGGAAAACTTTATTTTGCCTGGAAAGATGGGCAGGATTAAAAGCTTTCCCCTGAATGTTTCATTCTTCCCTGGATGGGGAGAGGCAGATATGCCTGGAAAGGAGAATTCAGTGACTGCAAGCAGAAAATCAGCTCTTAGGAAAATTCCTAGCTTTATTTCAGAGCTCTCTGGTTATAGATAAGTGGTTACATGGATATGCTATTCTGTTTTGGCAAGAAGCTTCAGAATTGCTACTTTTATAATGTCAAACCTTCTGGTCTGCATGGGGTTGGGAGAGGGTGGTCCTGTTTCCTATCAGTCCTCGGAACCTGGGCTATAGCACCCAAGTAGAGACAGGAACTGGGCCCTACTTGGTGTCTCATGGTTTTGAGTGTCTGGGCCTGAAGAAAATGTCTACAGGTATAGACAATAATTGAAACAGTAATAAACTTCATGTGACACAGGAAGTGTCAGAAAGACTGAGAAACTTTGTGGCCAACACACTGGGCCTCTGGGAGCAGTGCTCCAGCGCTCAGCCCCACTTCACTATGAACCAGACCTCAAGCCTCCAGAGAGGAGGAGGCATTTCACGGAAGGGACAACAGAGCAGTGGTCGCTGTTCAGCTGCCTGGGAGAATCACCTCAGTTAGGGCTTGGTGTGCAGGCAGCAGCTGTAGGAGGAGAGCTGGAGGTGATGCACTGGCAGGGGATCAGCAGGCTCCAGATACTCAAGTATACCCATCACTCAACTAATGGGGAGTGTCCTGAGAAGTGCATGGCTAGGGCTCTCACCATCGTGAACATCGCAGACAGTGCTAAGACGGCTATGATGTCACTAGGGATAATAAGCTTACAGGACCATCGCTGCACATGGAGTCTGTCTGCTGACTGAGGTCATTGTTGGGTGGTGCATGATTGTACTGGCACCCCCATTGGAGCCGAAGCACTCACCTCATTGAAATGGACATCCTGCATTCCGACGTCTTCCATCATGGAGGCCTCCTCATCGATGTTGGGGGTGATGACCCTGAAGGCAGTGCATCCCTGCCTAAACATGCCTGGGGTTGAGAAAGCAGAGAAAGAGCGACAGCAGTTAACCTGGATGTGGCTAGACTCCAGCATTCTTCCTGCCCTGTTTCTGTTACTCTGGAAGCTTTCATGTGTCAGACCAGCACTCGCATGGGAGGCTGGGACCACTGGGTGCTTTTCTTCTCCCTTTCCTCACATTTACCCCTCCCGCACTTCATTCTCATCCTGTTTATTCCCTCCACCCACTGTTTTAAAAAAATGCATTCAACCTTCAAATAAACTATAAATAAACTGAGAAATAGTTACTGAGTCAAATTAATGGTGGAAAAATATCAAGCAAATGAAAATTTGATTTGGTAAGATGACCCCTGCTCAGATATTGAGAAAAGTTAAGAAGCTGAAACCAAAGCCAATGAAAGAAACAGATGACTTCAAGGGTAGCTGTTCTTCAAGTAGTCAATCATCTTGCCCCTCTGGCTGGGAATAATCCATAACTCATAACTCAGATTACAACTGCCCCTTCCTTTCCCTGGGGCTGTCTATAACATGCAGATGGAACTCAACAGCTGCAGCTATGCACCAAGGGCTGCCTTAGCAGGCTTTCCACCAGCTGCCAGCGAAGAGGAGGGGCCTTCTCCAGGAAATGGACAGCAGGAATACTTCTGGGGCCTCAGCATCTGCTCTCCTAAGGGGAGAAGGTTAAGGTTGAGGGGGGAATCAAGGTCTCAGATAAGGATAAACTCTGAGCAAGAACAGCCCATCTGTGGTCCTTCCTCATCTTAAGACTCGCTGGGAAACATTTTAGTCAGCTGGACAATATGGACTGTGCAAAAAGCTCATGGGAAAAAGGACTTGAAATGTTCTGATAGGCTGTTTTCAGGTGCCTATTCACAATAAAACAAAAGTCAAAACTTTAACTGACCATCTCCTGTGTTTTGGGAAAAAGGAACACAGAGTATTTTGGAATCAAACCTTGAAAATGTAGAACCTAAAACCAGAGATTTTTCTGCTACATATTAGTCCAGGTTTCTATCCACTCCGAGGTAATCTAGCATCTCTATCATGGTCCTAGGGTAGCCTTGCTTTGATTTGGTTATATGGAAAAAGCCCCCAGTGAAAAGATTAATCTAGGAGTTTGAGGTTACATTAATATACACAAAATAAAGTAAAAGTTAACCACCCATGTTTAGACTACAGGATACATGGAAAGTATGTATGTAACTCTACTCCACAGGAACAACAAAAATGATCGCCAAAGTGCTTTCCTTTCATTGCCCATAAGAATAGACTGCCAGCAACCTGGAGAGCCCAGGAAAAGGGAAGGAAGGAGAGCAAAGACTGTCCATGCAGAGTTGAAACAGAAAATCCCCACACCACTGGATGGCACATGAACAGAGCAGCTGGGGCCCCTGGGGAGCGGGGCAACCCTTAGGCTCACCTCCCCGGCTCCTCCTCTGGCAGGTGCTATGGCTGTAGGGGAAGAGAGGTGGCTCCCGCTGGAGTGCTAGTTCCGCTTCTAAACATGAGGAAATGTATCACCTGATCAAAGGCCTCAGCAGGAAACACTAAGTGAACATGGAACCTTCTTTAATTTCCTTCTCATTCAGGTTCTCATGTGTGACAAACCCAGACTCTCTTAAATCCCATTCCACATCACCGGCCTTATCAGAAACAGACATTCCATGGCCTTGGCATCTGTGCCTTTTCAATGCTTCTCACTTTGTCAGTATACTCATTAGCCCAGATCTTGCATTGCTGTTCTCCAGTGTTACATGAGCAGACCACCAGCTTTTCTAAGAACCTCATTATCTCCAAAACAAATGCCACCCTGAGGCTGTGCTGATTTGGAAATGCTGTTTAACCATTTATTCTGGAAAAACCCATGGCCTGCTCATTTGGGAACAAATGCCTGATGCACAAATGAAGTCTCACTTGCCCCACTTCTTCCCCTGGGAAGCCTGGCTGTCTTCAACACAATAAAGCCAACTGGGCTGCATTCCAGAAAATCTGTCTGATAATCCATTACAACTGCCTTTTGATTGATACATAGCTCCAGTGAGAACTATCTTCAGCTCAGGATGGTCTCTCAGGGACAGCTAGATGCAAAGCTCATTAACTTTTTGCAGAATGGAGACACTAGTAAGAGGTCATATGATAACATGCCATCTAATTTTCTTAACACTGCCATTCCTGCTGTGCCCACCAAGTCAAGCAAATGTCCTGTCAGGGAATAAAATAGTGAGCATGCTTTCTATACACACAAACTTGCCACCTCCAGATCTGCCTGAACTGCTCTCACTGGTCTCTGCTACTTTGTACTGTTTTATTCTTTTAACAATTCAGGAATCATTCCTTACCTTTCCGTGTGAGATATTCTGCCACCAATGCTGTTACATGGACGTAGCACATTGCTGCCTGTAATAAAGACATATTTCAGAATGACTGTTTATAACAGGATGTCTAATGAACCTATGTACTTATACTAGGCACTAAACAGGGTTTCTTTCTTTTACTCAGGGCACTCAATCACCGAGCCACATCCCCAGCCCTATTATGTATTTTATTTAGAGACAGGGTCTCACTGAGTTGCTTAATGCCTCACTTTTGCTGAGGCTGGCTTTAAACTCGCTATCTTCTTGCCTCAGTCTCCTGTGTGCCACAGCTCCTGGCCCAAACAGGGTTTCTAATAGCCAAACTTTTACCATGAAAAAGAGATAGCACTTACATTAATTAAAATTTTGAAATTAATTGGGAATTGAGACAAACAGCAGTAAATTTACTAAGGTTTATTTTTATTTAGAATTATAACATTTTACTACAAAAGATAAAAATGGCATTTTTTCCCCCTGACACTTAAGGTTTCTGCATCTTTTCTTTTAAAGCAAAAAGAGGACTGTTAAAAGAAAAGCATGCTTCTAATGCATTCTGAATGTAGTAAGTTCAGTGTAGCTCAGTGGCACAGGACATACTCAGCATGCCTAGGTTCAATCCTCAGCATCAAGAAAGAAAAATCTAATTCAACACAATAATTACTGTAAAAGAGGGGAAAAATTCTTTCACCGAATTGCCATGTTGTTATAAAAATCAAAGATTTTTAATGGGACTGGTTTTGTGGCTCAGGGGTAGAGTGCTTGCCTAGCAAGTATGAGACATTGGGGTTGATCCTCAGCACCACATAAAAATAAATAAATAAAATAAAGGAATTGTGTCCATCTACAACTAACTATTTGTTAAAAATCAAAGATAGCTGTTGAGAGTGAAGCCACAGACAGGTTCTAATGCATGGGGCCCTGTTCTTGTCAATCACTATGTGGTGCCCTAGTCCGGGATCTCAATCTATGATGGCCAACCCAGCCCTGCACAGACTCTATGTGTGCATGTGTGCAAATATCCATCATCAGTGTCACAGGCACTCTTATCTGTGCCTATTATGTGTGGAGGAAAGTCTGTTATACAGTTAAGAGTCATGACTCTGTCTAATCATGAGATACACCTGACATGGTGTATCCCTTCCTACACTGCACAGCAAGAGAGTGCACACAACAGGTGTGCAAATATGTGATGACTTACAGAGCAAGTACACAACACTAGACATGGTAGGAGCCACAAGAAATCCTGTGTATTAGCTGCATTAGTCCCTTATTACAGAGTGCAATGGGTTGGATAGTTTCTTCCCCAAATTCATGACCTTCCTGGAGCCTCAGAAAGTGGTGTCTTTTTTAAAAAAATACAATTATTGCAAATGTAACTAATTAAAATGAGGTCACACTTTTACTTGGGTGGGCCCTAAATTCTATGACTGTGTCTGTCATTAAAAGAGATACAAGAAAACAGATGTGTGAGGGAGGATGCCACCTGACAGTAGAGGCAGAGTGAATGGCTGTGGGTCCAAGAACATCAAGGAATCCAGCAACACAAGAGCCAGGAGAAAGGCAAGGAACAAATTCTCCCCTGGAATGCTCAGAGAGCGGTTCCCCAACTTCTTGCCTCTAGAACTTTGAGTGTGAACTTGGTTTGTTTTTAGTGACCCAGTTTGTGGTACTTTGTTATGGCAGCAGGAGAAAAGTAATGCACAGAGGAACAACTGCAGCTCAGAGAATTCTTTTAAGAAGAGACTTGGGCCATACAAACCATTGTAAAAGTCTAAAATTCTGAAAATGGAATAAAAATTACTACTAATACCAATTTCCTTATATTACGGCTAACAGGTTAGGTCAATTTTATGGTCATATAGAACTGTCATGTTATATGTACATTTAGGACAATGGACTCCTTGAATAAATACACAAAAATAGGTATATAAATTTTTCAGTCTTAGAATCTAATTGAAATAGTTACAGAAATGTCAAGGTTAAAGCAAGTAATTTTGTAATACTGCTGACATGCCCAATGTCACAGGCACAGACTTGGGAATGCAGAACTTGTGTAGAGTCTTGTTTTTCTTAATTTCCCATTTTACAAATGATGTTGTTGAGGAATAGAGGGGTTTAAAAACTGGTTCAATGTCACTGAATTAGGCAACATCTTTTCTTAGATTAAAAGTCTGTTTCTCTCAGTAATGCTGTCTAAATGCTGAAATACGTCAACTCTGCACAGCAGGAACCCTTAAACATCTACTGCATCCAAAAGAGAAGAGTAATGCCCCATCATCACCTCACAACAAGAAAAGTTAGTTTTATCGTCAAATAGCTGAAACTTACAACTATCGAGGAGTTCTGATGCAGAGAAACTGGTTGTATTCTTTAATTAGCAAGCAACTATATGAATATGTATAATTCTAAGAGCTTTCAACATTCTTTTGTGATAGAAATAGCCCTTACAAATCTAGGGGTTTTTAAAATACTTTTTTTTTAGTTGTAGATGGACATAATATCTTTTTTTTTTATTATTTATTTTTAAATTTAGTACTGAGGATCAAACTCAGTACTTACATGGTAAGCAAGCGCTCTACCACTGAGCTACAATCCCAGTCCAACAATTTGTTTTAAATTATCAATATGCTCAGGTAACTATTAAGTCATCTTGCTCTAATAAAGTATATATTTAAAGTATTACAGTTTTAATTGGATTCTTTGAATGAACAGGGCACAACTAGAAAACCACGGTCAAGAGGCTTGCAGGGCTACCTACCTCAGAGAGGTCCCCATTTTTGACGTGGATCCTAGCCATGCTGTCAAGCCATGTCTTCCTGAGCTCAGGGGTGCTGGCATAGGACTTGGCTAGGCTGTACTGGAGGTCCACCAGCATCTCCGGATCATTCTCATGCTCCTTCATCTGGGCTGTGGCCATCAGGACAGTGCGGATCCTCTTGGTCAAGTCTTTCACGTCAGAGGAGAAGCTGGTGTGCTGAAACAAGGTGGGCCAAGGAAGGACACATAGCTTTCATCCACTTTCTGCCTATTGGCATGTATGTCAGACAAGGAGGCAATGTCCTGGGGCTAAAAGGTAAAAACTGGCCGGGCCACTCACCTTGATGAGCCGGTCACTGTTGGCACAGTTGTTGATGATAGATAAGGACTGCTGGAACCTGGTTCCGCCGATGCCAACCACATCTGCAATCAGCTGGCTGACAGAAATGATGACCTTAAGGACATGGAAACATGAGCAAATCAATTTTCCTTCAGACGATTGTCCAGGATAGGTTTTTATGTTCAGTTAGGATGAACATGAGGCCAGGGCAAGGGGTAGGTGTCACTCCAGTGAGGGAAATGAAGCGAGTCTTTTTTCCCCACTGGATAAACTTAAGAATTTCATTTGCAAAACAAAATGCTAATCAGAGGAGCACAGAAGAATGAGAAACAACCCCCCATCACTTGGATAGTCGCTTACCTATAAACTTTCTGGCAAAAAGGGAGAACTTATGATGATTCTTCTTAAAATTGGGAGCCATCTCACCACAAAGACATGAAAAGCTAATTTCGGCTTTACTATAAATTACTGCAAATTCTGAACTTGCTTGAAATGCCTGCCTGTGCCTTGAACTCACCCATGCTTGGGCTCTCTCTGACCACATAGCAGCCTTCCCTGAAACTTTAGTGACACCTCATAAATCTTGGCCTTCCCTGGCCAGATAACAACCCTCTCTGAGGCTCTAATGACCTTCATAAATTTTGATGTCGGGACCAGCAAAAATGTAAACTAGCCTTTGTGTTATGCTCATCAGAGTTTTGTTATCTGTAACCACCCCCCCACCCCCCGGCTTTGTGTAACTTTCTGGGCTATAAAGCTGGGCTGCAAGAAAGATGCAGTGCTGTCTTGTTCCCACGATTTTTGGTGGGAGAGGCAGCCCGGCCAGTCGAAATAATAAGCTTGCTTTAATTTGATTTTAATTGGAATCAGTGGTCTTTTCTTTGCGTCCTGGTCTAATACTTGTAATTTACCTCTCTGGGCTTTGGTTTGAGTTTATATGTATTCAAGAGGTGACCTGTCCCTTGCAATGTTTTTATTAGAACAGGTACACATTAACAGTGAAATGGGGACCTGCCTTTTTGTGGTTTATGAACAGTGCTGCCATGCCTCAGTTGCTTGAGCTCAAGCATATTTTCTCCTTTTTCTTCACCATACCGGGTATAACTAATCACTAAGTATTGTCAACTCAATCCATTCTTCCTTCCAATTTTACCTTCCCTCCTCCAGAATACCATCCTCTCCCTCCTAGATTTAACAATGGTTTCCCTAGCTGAGATCTAAATCCTCATGATTTGTTCTGAATGCTAGGGTCCAGAATATTCCTCCAAATATGCAAATATTTGGATATGTAACAATGTATCCTTCTCAACCCATATTCTAAGCTCCATACAGAGGAACTTCTCCAGTTCCCTAGATAGGTGAGAAATCCCTATGGTACACCCATGGCTGGAACATGCTCTCTGTTCTTCAACTACCACTCCCATATATCCTTTACATCCCCTGGGAAGCTTCACCCTAGTTCTCAGGGTCCCCAGACAGATGCTCCTCCAGTGCACTCAAGCTTCTTCATAGCAGCATTGGCCACACTGCACTGTAAGGTCTCAGTTTGCCTAGGACCTCCACCCAACTGAAGGCTCCCTGAAGGCCAGGAGAGGGTTCTGTTTTGTTTGTAATTATATCTATAAATTCTAGCATGCAGTATGTATACAATAAATACTGCTTCAAAAAAGGAATAACTGAGAAATGGAGAAGGGACTCCTGCTCTGCTTATAGAAAAAGTATATAAAAATACTTAAGACTGATCTCAGTATCTTGCCTGGTTTTCAGAGAAATGTGTGCTTAATACTGGAGAGATAGCAGATGTTTTAGTAGATGGAAGACAGAAAAGAACCACTCTGGGTTTTTGTATCTTACTTAAGATGTTTACTACTAAGCTTCCTCACATAGGTGTGTCTGTGTGTGTGTATTGGTGCTAGGGACTGAACCCAGGGCCTTGTGCCAGCTGGGCAAGTGCTCTACTACTGAGCTCATCCCCAGCCCCTCACATAGATTCTAATCTTGATTCAGTGGAATTTCAGTAGTCCAATATTGATCCATATTTAAATATCAAGTCACCAACAAAAACACATCCTGGGCCAGGACCTTACTGCACAGTATGAAATAAACAATCCAGTAAATGTTACTTCCCAGTTTTCCACTTTGGGGCCAGATGAAGTAAATAGTTCAATACGATACTCAAAGTTTTCTTGCTAAAATAGAATCAACTGGGTAATTAAACCACACGCACTTGCAAGTGTGTCCGGACAAAGGACTTCTTTCCAGTGTAGTCGAAGTTGTTTCTCATTAAGAAGTAGAGCAGCTGGGAGGCCTCGGTCCGGATGGAGCTGAGTTTGGAGTTACAGCACTTGAGGATCTCATAGCACAGAGCAGCACACATATCTGCCCTCCCCTCGTAGAACGTCGAGGGAAACTAGACGGAACACAAGGAGCAGGCAGAGCACAGCATGGTTAGTCCTTGGGGAATGGTCCCTTCAACTCCTGGTCAAAGGAGGAAAACTTTGACCCTCAATTATGAGTATCACCAATAAATTTTAGATTTATCTTACCTTATAAATTAATGACCTTAAGGCAGTGAAGACATTTTTTAAAGCTGTTTCAGACTGATGTTTTTGAAGAAAACACAGGTAGACGTCAAAAACTTTTTTCATGAGAGGATTATGTCCGTGATCTGCCAAGAGCTGGTTCTTAAAACACACAATGACAGGGGTATCAGTAAGCCATACTGGCACCTCCAAGAGATTTCATATAATTTTCAGGTTCAAAGACCTATTGTCCAAGAATCAAGACAACTTATAATTTAAATTATCTCTATTATGGGTCTCCTAGGAAAGCATAGAATGCTCTTAAGGGACAAATAACTCTATTAATAAATTTATGCTTTGAGGATAAACTTCCCAGCAAACTGTAATAAACTGTTGCTTAGTATTGATTTGGCTTCGATTTATTTATTTATTCTTATTGTACACTGGCAATTGAAACAAAGGCAATGTCTGTAATGTCTTAATTCTAACAGAGGAGTGTTACTACAGGTGCTAGCTAATGAGTGGGGGAAAGAATGCTAAAGTAAGAAATATGAAGAAGGTCTTCTAAAAGTGAGGCCCCCATCCAGCCAGGCTTCCCAGGCATTCTGTTGGGAAGAATCAGACAGTTTGGTAGGTGGAAAATGTACAGGCTTGGGGTCAGGTTCCACTTATCATGGGCATGGATTGCTCAGGTACACTGAACCCCAGAATTCTCATCTGTAAAACACTGACTCTAAGATTGACCTTGCCAGGCTACTGTGAAAAGTAAAGGTCAAAGGTGGAAAATATCTGACACATCCTTGCTCTAATTTAGTAAGAGGTAGCTGGGAGGATTTCAACACTTCACAGATTTTATCAAACAAAAAAAGAGGACCACAATTAATCGTTGCCAATCATTCTTTAAAATTTCCTCCCCTCAGTCAAAAATTCACACTAATTCAATACTCTGGACAACTGGTTAGCTAAATCTTCTATTGGTTGCTGAATACACACAGCAGCAAGGTATAGCTCAGCAAGAAGCCAGCATGGAGTTTCAAATAAGACAAACCAGTATGTGTCTGGGTGCAATCCATATATACATTCTGCACACGTAAGTAAACATGGTAGTAAAGAAAAAAATTCAAGAGACTGCTATCTCAAACCAACTAACCATTTGGCAAAATGAACAGAAGTAACTTTTATCTAAATAATTTTACTGCATAGCAAATTATGGGTGGAGTCTTACTTTCAAATCAAGATCAACCTCATTTATTGTTGGAGGGAAATTTTGACTAAAAAAATCTGACTCAAGGAAAACAATAGTTTTTTTAAGGTAGGTCCAGTAGGTACAGATATATCACAACTGGTAAGATACTTGGTATTCACAGTGATTTTCATATCATAAAATTCTGAGGCATCATACTGAATTCTATCATGTGAAAGAGGAGCAATTTGCGTGTACGTGAGAGCGTGCACACGCGCGCGCACACACACACACACATACACACACAAATTATTCCAGTCCTTGGGGTATGCTTACATGTTGTGTCATCTGTAAACACTATTTTCCCTGGGAGCCCTAGTTTGGAAATATTTATTGCTTTTCCCATTGAGATTAGTTTCCTAACTACGGGTGTATTAAAGTTTGGGTGAATCTGGAAGTAAGTTTTCATTTTTCTCAGTAATCTTTGTTTGTAGCTTGGCAAAAAAAAAAAGAAAAAGAAAGAAAGAAAGAAAGAGGCCAAGACCCAGAGTCCTGCTTTCTGAATTGGTTCTTTTTTTTTTTTTTTACAACAATCACATATCTGTTATTACAGGATACTGTGAGGAATTTTCTATTTTATTATTGGCTATTGTTGTTAATCTCTCTCTTTTTTTTAATTTTTATTGTTGGTTGTTCAAAACATCACATAGTTCTTGATATATCATATTTCACACTTTGATTCAAGTGGGTTATGAACTCCCATTTTTACCCCGTATACAGATTGCAGAATCACATCAGTTACACATCCATTGATTTACATATTGCCATACTAGTGTCTGTTGTATTCTGCTGCCTTTCCTATCCTCTACTATCCCCCCTCCCCTCCCCTCCCCTCCCCTCTTCTCTCTCTACCCCCTCTACTGTCATTCATTTCTCCCCCTTGTATTATTTTTCCCTTTCCCCTCACTTCCTCTTGTATGTACTTTTGTATAACCCTGAGGGTCTCCTTCTATTTCCATGCCATTTCCCTTCTCTCTCCCTTTCCCTCCCACCTCTCATCCCTGTTTAATGTTAATCTTCTTCTCATGCTCTTCGTCCCTACTCTATTCTTAGTTAATCTCCTTATATCAAAGAAGACATTTGGCATTTGTTTTTTAGGGATTGGCTAGCTTCACTTAGCATAATCTGCTCTAATGCCATCCATTTCCCTGCAAATTCTATGATTTTGTCATTTGTTAATGCAAAGTAATACTCCATTGTGTATAAATGCCACATTTTTTTAATCCATTCGTCTATTGAAGGGCATCTAGGTTGGTTCCACAGTCTTGCTATTGTGAATTGTGCTGCTATGAACATCAATGTAGCAGTGTCCCTGTAGCATGCTCTTTCTAGGTCTTTAGGGAATAGACTGAGAAGGGGAATAGCTGGGTCAAATGGTGGTTCCATTCCCAGCTTTCCAAGAAATCTCCATACTGCTTTCCAAATTGGTTGTACCAATTTGCAGTCCCACCATCTGAATTGGTTCTTGTCACCAAGTTCTTACTACTTCAATTAAATTTCTCCCCCACCCACTCTCTGGTCAAGGTCTTTGCTTTCCATTTTCAGGATTTAATCCTTTTGGTTTCAAGAATGGTAAGAATGAAATTAGGGGGTTGGGGTTGTGGCTCAGCGGCCGAGCGCTCGCCTAGCACATTCGAGGCCCTGGGTTCAATCCTCAGCACCACATAAAAATAAATGAATAAAATAAAGATATTGTGTCAAACTAAAAAGTAAATATTTAAAAAAAGAATGAAATTAAAATTAATATACATTAAGATGCAAATAATCCCTTATATAAGGTAAAGAATCTTCATCCTCCCCAGTTTACCAGCTACCTTCCTTTATTTTCCAATCATCATCTTACCTCTTTTTCTCTCTGTTGCTGTTCCCTTCATTAGAAAGTAATATACACTAAATGCAAACAAATCTTTGAACATTTGGAAAGGTCCACAGGGGGAAATGGAAAAACAAATGTCCCCATTGACTTCCCAATTCAGAAATTATCACAGACACCAATTTAGCATATCACATTTTGACTCTTACTGAGGATGGAAAATTTCCATTTAGGATATTAAATGAGACAACAGGACAATATAATGCCAAGACTTATTTCTAGCAATAAGGTAGAGACGAACTCTCCAGGAATTGTTTGGTGGGTTCAGGTCTGACTTTTGTAACATAGTCCCTTATGGTGTTTGACCCAGGAAATGGCATTTTCAGAGAATAAATGCTCAATATCAGTAATTCTCAAGATCCAGGAACACAGAGAAAAACAAACTTAAGTCTTGGTTACCAAACTGAGATATGTGGAACAAAGTTAATTTAGACAAGTCCTTCCTAGGCATAGGGCATTACTGTTATTTAAACATTGATTTTTAAAATAACTTGTAAGAAATTCAGTTTGGAGAAGAGCTGTTTCAGTTGCAGAGGTCCCACAGTCACTGTGAAAACCTAAGCCTAGTCCATCTTTGTAGGTCAAGTTCAGGTTGTCTCAACCAGACTACTAACAACCCAGCAAGACTCCAAATATTTACATGGGCCTTGCTCTTAGTTTCTATTGCTCCTTATACTTATGTATTAGCTCTCACTATGCAGTTCAAACTAAGAAAAGGTGCTAAATGGGATAACTAAAAATACATTTTTTATATTAAATCTGTGAAAACACTAACAATATTGTAAAATACTTAAAGATCTACTTTAGTTTGGGATTATGTTAATAATAGACATTCTAAGACAGTCACAGAAGAACCATCTTTCTACATGTGACTACCTCAGTTTACAAAATGCACCCTTTTAGGATTAAATAAGATAACCTATGTGTAAGTGTCCCGTACTATACCTGGCACCTGGTAAGTACTTGGTACTTTTCTTCTTCTTTTCTCTGTATGAGAGATCATTCAAACACTTTGATAGTCACTCTTCTCAACGCCCCCCCCCCCCCCAACACACCTGGATTGGTTGAGAATAAGGTCTTTGGACAGGCCAGCTGTATAGTGGTCTTGGGTAAACTTCCTAACCTGTCTTAGCCTTTATTTCTTCACTATAAAATGAGGGATAATGAGATCTACTAGGCAGGGCTATTGTGAAGATGATGTCTGAGGTGCAGGAGGCATTCAACAATTAGCAGGAAGCTAATATAATAATAACAACCAGAATTCAGAACTTAAATCTTTTAAAGCATTTAATCTTATTAAAAAATTGATTTCTGGGTTGTCTTTGGCAGTTCATTAGATGTGGTCAATTAAGAGAGACAGTTTAACAGGGCTTAATCTGTAGAAGATGATTTTCTTGCACATACTTATGTCAGCCAATTCAATGTTAAAATATGTTAAGGTTCTCCTCAAAAAACCAACTATATGACCCAACTATACCATTTCTTGGTATTTATCCTGAAGAATTAAATTTATCCTACTAACATGCATACCCATGTTTATAGCAACACAATTCACAATAGCCAAACTATGGAATCAGTCTAGGTGTCCACCAACGAATGAATGGATAAATAAAATGTGACATGTATTCACAATGGAGTTTTAGTCAACCATAAAGAAAAATGAAATAATGTCATTTGCAGGAAAATGGGTGGAACTTGAGACCAATATGTTAAACAAAATAAGTTGAACTCAGAAGGTTAAGGGTTGTATGTTTTCGCTCATGCGCAAATGTTAGAGAGGAAAAAGGAAAACAAAAGTGGGGTGTATCTCCTAAAAATCAAAGGGAGATCAGTAGAGGAAAAGGATCAAGGAGTGGGAGGCAGGAAGCGGGGGGAAGGACTGGGGAGTGATACTGGCTAAATTAAATTGTTTTACTGTGTGCTGCATATAGATAAATTCCATCATTAGGTACAACAAAAAAATGTGAGAAAAAAATCTGTTAAGGTTTGGATATGAGATATCCTTCAAAAGCTCCTGTGTAATGCAACAGGCAAAATGATTAGATTATAAAAGCTATAACCTAAGCAGGGAATGAATCCATTTGATGGACTAATAATTTGAAAGGACTACTGGCTGGATAGTAACCGTGGGCAGGAGGAATGTAGCTGGGGGATGTAGATCACTGGGGGTATGCTCTTGTGATTGTATCTTGTCCTCTGGGCTCTTCCTTTTCTCTCTGCTTCCAGTTGTCATGAACTGAGCAGGTTCTCTCTGCTAGGACTTCCTCTGTGATGCTCTGACTTACCTCAGGCCCAGAGCAAAGAAGTCTGTGACCATGTACTGAACCACTTAAATCATGAGCCAAACTAAACTTTCCTTTCTCTAAGTTATTTTTGTGAGGTGTTTTGGTCACAGTAATGAAAACCTAACTAATACATGATCTTTCTGAGATGCTGCGACATGTGCCTCAGCTGAGCAAATATGTGCCAAGGAAGATCCCAGTGGTTGCTGTATGTGGGCTTCACATTCCTGTGAGTTTGAGCCATGTGAGCTCAAAAGCCAATGCCAGACTGCACCAGATACTTGCTCATCTTCCCACTCTTGATGGGCATGCTGAGCTTCAGAGAGCACACATTTTTGCACATAGGCACATGAATGCTGGCAGAGATCCCCTCAGTTCTATATCTTAACTTTTCTGGGGGACTCTTAGGAATCAGGTCCATCACCATAGGGCAGGGAGGAGTGAAGCCACATGAGACTAGTGCTTATTGCCCAGCTAGAGCAAACACTTGCACTCCTGCTATGTTCTGGCCCCAGGATGGATGTTTTTGTAAACTTCACATTTGAACCTCAACCTTACAAAGTAGGTATAACTGCAATATTTCAGCTAATGAAATCAGGACTGAGATATCAAGTAGATCTAGCTCAAGGCTGAAAAGCTGGCGAGTGGCTGGGACTTAAGAACCCATGGTGTCTTTGTATCCATGCTCAAGTCAGCTGGACCTGGTATGTAGCAGTAATGTGAAAGGCTCTTTCAAGGGTCATCTCACTCAAAACTCACAACAGCTCTGTGAGGTAGATGCTATTTTTCAATCTTACACATGAGGAATTTTAGGTCCAGAGACATCAAGTATTTTTCTCAAAGACTGTTCAGTCAGGTAACAAATGTCATGACCAGCTTTCATCAGAAACTGTCAGATGCCATTTTTTTCTTGGGAGTCAGAACCTACCTGGTGACCAGACATTTGGAAATCTAGGAACCCTGGCAAATACCTTCCTAAATATTAAGCAGGTAACAGAAAAGAAGCTGGATAAGAATTACAGGCAGTCCATGAAGAAACTGTCACCACTTTCATGGGTGCCATGCACAATGCACTTGTGCTGCATGTGCCCTTCCTGCCTGTGTGCCCGCTCCACCCCAGCCCTGACCTCCAAGGCTTCCTGCTTGTTGCAAGGTGGGCCAGGCAGAGGGTGCAATGACACACATGTGCATGGCTGAACATTCACATGTAGACCCTCCACTGTCTATATGACTAAGGCTTTTAAATTAAAACTATCCAAAAGAAAACAGAAGTTTCAAAACCTCTTCAATGGTTCTATTATGGTGGTAGTCCTTAAGCTGAGGGGTTTGGGTCTCATGCTCAGAGTAGGTCTGGGCTGGGGCCTGAGAATTTATATTTCCAACAATTTCTCAGGAGCTCAAGTTGCTGCCATCCTGGAGACCACATTTTGAGAATTACTATAGCAGAGACTCCAGGTAAGAAGACACTGATTCCCCGCATTCTCAATTCCACAGTGCTCTGTGTTTGCTCATTTCTCAACTGGGTTCCCAGTAATGACATTTCATAGGGGACAAGAGTGAGAATAAAGAATAAGGGTATATAATAATGAAGTGACATGTCAAAAAAAAAGTAGTTTTACTTTTCTTAGTACAGAAATGTGCTTTATAAGTAGAAAAGATAAGTAAAGCATGATAAAGAACAACTTTGGTTATATTTCCCAAATAACTTGTAATGAAATATACTGTTTTGGTATTCATAGGATATTAACACTAACTCAATTTCCTCTTCCTATGCTGGAAATGAAGTAATCATTTAGCAAGAATGGGAAGTGTTAGGTTCCTAAATATAAGAGAGTGGGTGAAAAGTCCATCTCCAACTACTTGAATATTATTTGCTAAAACTGAAAAACAAGAAAAAAAAAGATTTTCTATTCCTGGAATACTTTAAGCATTTGATTTAGAAATTAATAAAATATTTTAAAAAGATGAGTTTATATTTATTGTTCCTCTCTATAAACATCTGATTTTAATTGCTATAACACTTGGATATATTGTGAAGACATTCATGATAGTAATGCCTACTGGGTTCTGTATTTATCATCCTGAGGGGCTAGGAGAGCCCAGTTTCCTCGGGTAAATACTTGTTTCTGGGCAAGAATGAACTGCTTCACCCTCTCCGAGCACTTGGCACATGTGGACCAGTTAAGCTTTATTCCATTTCAGGTATTTCAAGCCATCCACCATGGAACACTTTCATTAAAGGTACCTAAGGATTAAATGGCTGCCTTATAGCAGCAAAAGCTGAAGAATACAAAGCTGTAAGTTTGCACTGGTTGAGTTTAGGAAGCTGAATGGATTAAACAGGTAAAACTCTAACCTGGAATGCTGTTTAATACTAACCTTAAATGCCAGTGTAAAGAGAGAGAGTGTGTCCAGAGCTGTAAGGCAAACCTCAGTTGCAATGTTGGCTTCCAGCAGCGACTGATGGAGAACATCTGCATCCGAGTGGCCATAGCCTGCATGAATTACAACACAGGATTACTGCCCAGTGGTCAGACAGCAAGGCTGGCAGGAGGGCAGAGTCAGTCAACTTTTGATTATTTACAGAAGGTTCCCTGAAGGTATTATTAATACCCCTTTAGGGAGTATTAACAATGTTTCTATTTAATTATAAGTCTTTTTTGATTCTGGAAGGGCAACAACATTCATTGTCTGCTTGCTATGTGCCAGCCACGAGTCAAGGAACTTTACACATATTATCCCATCTAATCCTTCAATAGCTATATAAAGTAAGTATATTATTAAACCCTTTTTGCAGGTAAGGAAATAGAGGCACAGAAGGGCTAAAGAACTTGTCTAAAGTCAAGCAGGTAGTAAAGAGTGGAGGCAGGATTTGCACCAGGACAGATGATGGTCATTTTGACTAAGTTGTCAGAATGGTGAAATTATTGATAGAGAGTGAGGTTTCCTGAGCTTCCTGTATAGACAGAGGCAGCAGCACAGAAAATGAATATGAATATGAACATGAGCCCGGGATCAGGCTGCTGGTCAGAACCCATCTCCACCATTTACTAGCTGTGTAACCTTGGTCAAGTTATTTGACCTCTTTATACTTCAGTTTTCTCATCTGTAGATTGGGATAATAAGCGCATCTACCTCAACAGGTTGTGGTAAGGATTAAACTTGTTAATATTTGTGCAGCTCTTAAAATAGTGCCTGGTACATAGTGAGGGCTATAAAAAAAGTACTAAATCAATAACATCAAAGTCTGTATTAGCTAGATAATGATAATGCATGATAATCAAGAGTTGACTGTACAGAGAACTGTTTTCTACTTGCTTTAATAAAAAGCATAAAAGCCAATGTCTGAAAGAAATGTTTAAGAAAAGGAAAGAACTTGAAGAATTTATCATGTGAATTTAGCTTAATCATATATAAACACAAACTAGTGGCTGCAAAATCAATTTAGTACTGATATAAATGCAGCTGACATACAATTTGAGATATTAAATTATGAAATGGTATGCATTAGCAGAAATACATGTAGGGATGCAAAGATGTTACAGTATTGACCTAGATTATAAAGAAAGATGGCAGTATAATAAAACACAATGTAATGTCTTCCTCCAAGGAGTAAAAATAAATCCACACTTATTAATTGGCAATTTTCTTAAGACTCCAGAGAGGAGGACATTTTATATATACAGATCAGGAAATGAATACAGAAAACCTAAGCAATGTCCTTGAGACCAGTAATGGGGATAAAACAACCCACACTCTGAATTCCTTATTAAGGTCACCATCATAGTACATATTATTAGGAGGAAAAAAATAGCATGATGTCATTTTAACTTAAACAAATGTTAGAATTATAGAATTATTTTTAAAAGCCTAAAAAAAGTTTCTTTTAAAGCCACAGACGTGCTTTGTATCATATAATAAGAGCCTTTGACAGCCAGTGTTTTTCCTGGTGAGGATATGTAACACACTTGGCACCTTGCCAGTTCTGTTTCTTTTTGTTTTTGCTTTATGGGCATAAGATCTTTGGGCAAGAAAGGATAAAAAGATATTGGGGTGTGAATATTAACTGTACAGCCTTTATACAAACCAAGGCATTAGTTCATTCAGGGAAGTTTTTTTTGGTAAGATACAGAGACAATGAAAACAAACAGATTGATGATTATTCTTAAAGTGATAATTAACCATAGTAAGAGGGACCAAAACCAAAACCAAAACCAAAACCAAAAACACAACACCTGTTATTAGACCAACCAAAATTTCACAGAGATAAAAGGGACCCTTTATGGAGGGCTGCCATTTATCCCAAATGAGTTTTAGTCTGGGTTTAATTTTAACAAGGAACTTGCTTTGATGACTGTTAAAATTTCTTTTTTTCTCTGCATAGAACTGTCTTTTTCTTTTTCTAGAATCTATCGGTTAGGTTTATCCAGGTGACCATTATAAATGAGATGGTACACACACTAAGGAATTTTCCTGCCTTTGTCTAAAAGCCTAGGAACAATTAAAAAATTAGAATTTGACAATGTGCAGGCTTATTTATTTATTTATTTATTGGTAGTATAGGAATTGAACCCAGAAGGGCACTCTAAAACCGAGCTATATCCCTGGCTCTTTTTATTTTGTTTTAGAGACAGAGTCTCAGAAGCTGTCCAGGCTAGCTTCAAACTTGCAATCCTCCTGCCTCAGCCTCCCTCATCTGACCAGTGACAATGTGCTGTTTTAAAAACATATGTAACCAATGTGCCATGCTAATTAAATCTACAATCATGTATATACATAGGGAAATGTAATGACAAATTTCTCTAAGCTAACACAATACCCATAAGCCAAAATACCATTTATCTAATCTCTTTTAGAATAAGAGATTCATATAGAAATCTATTGGTCTTATATGACTCTGTCTGAGTCATACAGAAATCTAAAAGAACTAGTCCCTTTAGCCACAACATGTCATAACTTGATTTCCTTAAACTGTTCCATCTCAAAAATCAGCAGGATTCCTGAGCTAGCACTATTTATAAAACTCTGTAAAAATAAATGGCAGCATGGACTGCCTCAATCACTGAGACTGAAAACAGCATGCCCCAAGGTCCAGGTTAAAGTTACACACGAAGGAAGACATTCAACAGTCACCGTGTTAAAGATCAACACAGTAAAATGAAATGAATTAGGAAATCCAGGAAAGTGGTCTTAAGAGACAGAAATTTCTTAAGTCAGTGGTGAGCAACTTTTTGAAAGCGGATTCTGGCCAGGGGAAGTAAGGAGTGTGGCGTGAAAGATACTGATTTCCACTAGGGGGCAGTGGTGCCTTGGAGCGCTGTACAGAGTCCCACTACCCTGGCTGGTCAGGGCAGAAGGGCAGAACTTCTCTACAGATAAGACATCTTGGGTAAGAGTGCCACAGCTCCTTCTGAGTCTTTAGAATTCACTGCTTAAATTCACACAGTATTTATTCTGCTGTCACTGACAAAAGACTTATTCTAAAATCTTTTACCCGCTTTTGTCATCTGCTATGCTTACATTTAATTAACCTTGTTCAACTTTATACATTCATCTTACCCAAACAGATCTACTTACTAATGGTGACTACATATGGAAACTTTTCCTTATTCCTCACCCTGACATCAGAGGTGATGTGGTGACCTTGGCAGAGGCCCATTCCATAGTCAAAGGCCTATTCTGATAGTGAGAGGACGTTTGGAATAGCAGACTAAGGTCAGATCCAGAGTCTTACAGAATGTGCTTCCTTCCTGATAGCTGCCTTTCCTTTAAGAAATTTTGGACCAAAATACAAATCCAGAAAAAGTAAGAAGTTTTATGAGAAAACGAAATTAATGAATGATGAGAAATCTTGCTAAAAGAATTCCCCAAATGTAGAAGATCTACTGTCTTAGATATATTAATTCATGGCGTATGGCTTTACTGAATGTAAACATTTTTGCCAAATATCAAACTGATCAACTTCAACAAATCCATTATTCACCTCCCTCCCACTTTTATTGGTAAGGTTTTCTTCAGCAATTGATAGGAAAGGAGTAGAATGTAGAATAAGGAATGATACTCCAAGGCAAAAATTATGTGACTTGCTTTCTGCCTGATTCACACACAAGAAAACAAATATGCTCAGAATGATCTGCAGACAGTCTGCAATCTAGGAGTCTGTAGTTTAGAAGTAGGTGTCATGCCATCAGCTTTCTCTTCGCTATAGAACACTGTACCTAAAGCTCAGCTGTGTCTAAAATGGTGCCTAGCATGAATATAGACAGAAAACTGTAAGAACAGTTGGTTTAGACATATGATACTTTTAAATTTAAAGTGCTATTTAAGGACATTAAAATGACTGACTTTAAACAAGCACTGTATCAGACTTTCTCAATTCTAAGACCCCTATCAACTACAAAAAACACCAATTAATGATAGACAAACTTATTAGATGTAAAATGAAGATACAGCTCAATTTCAGAAATGCTACAAAATGTGCAAAAATATGTCTCAGAATCAAGGAAATGTGGCTTTACAAACAAACATTTAATTTGCTATCTCACATATACAAGTTAAAAGCATCTGAGTACATTTAACCAAATTTTAAAGATGTATTATATACACTTAAAAACTTTGAAAAGATTAATTTTAATTCAGAGATGCACACATTCTCTGTATTTTTCATATTAATCCACACCTAAATTCATTTTTTATACAGTAAAGGAATTTAATTATCACCTATATTCATTTTCTTACTTGTGCTTCACAGATATCAAAGAACTTCAGAGCTAAATAAGGCCTCAGAAGCCATGTCCTCTCATTCCTCACACAATACTTAAATGACGAGGACAATGTCCCCATAGGGTCTCATTCCCTCTGTTTTCACACCCCAGCTTCAAGTGTTCACTCCAGCTTTATAGCTTTACAGGTAGCTCAGCACACACCACTCACCGGCAGTTTAGTTATAAAATGCTTTCTCACCCTGACCTGAAATCAAATTCTCTGTAATTCAACCCAGTGATTTTAAATGCCTCTTGTACTGGGTTACATGAAACACAAGTTTTCTTTACATGTCCCTACCTCTTGGCTGGCTTTCCCTCCTATCCTACCAGCAGGAAAAATGAATTATCATGCAAGTGAATTTTGTGGGTTTTTTTTTTTTTTCCGGTAAATATATCACTTACTTACAAACACCTTTTCACCTAGTTTTCCCTTTCTTTGGGCGTTTACATATTTTACAGGTAGCTATCACTCTCAATTTTTTCTTTGATACAAATTTCTCTTCTATTGACAAACAATGAGTGCAAGTACACTAAAATAGGTCAATAGTTAATTGGTTAATAGCTCAAATACCCGGGCAAAGACCCAAACATTCTTTAAGAATGGTTTTCCAAATAATTAAGACTATTTGGCCATTGTGGGGTTTTTGCCATTTTCATGATTTCCTACCCATATTGAAAAATAAATTTAAGTTCCTGTAAGAATTACATGTGCAGCACATATGGTGTCTCTTCCCTGGTCCTACTCAATAGGTGTTGGAGATGGCAAGGGATGCTGCAAAATGGCCAAACCTACAGATGACTAAGTTTCTCACAGGCCTCTGCTGCTCCCTGCTGGTCTAACTAAAGTCTAACAAACATTTCCTACTCAGAGAGGACACAATGGTGCAGACGTACAGGGGTTCTTACTATTTTTAGTCCTTTTAGACTCTGAGATACCCCTGGCAGGTCTCTCACATAATGGATTTGTGTCATATGGTTGGCCCAACAGAAGGTATTGTATTTATTGGTAATAGGATTTTTAAAAAGATATCTCTACAAATTCCCCATAGGACACTTAGGTGAAGATGTAAATGAACGAGTATGAACATCTCCATACACATGTTCACACCCATACACGTGTATACATACATACAGTATACACTCCCTTTTCTGTGGCTGTGGCTGAACTGACCATTCAGAGCTCAAAGAGCTACTGGAGGGAAAGGCTGAGGTCACCCAAGCACATACTCAGAATTAGAGATGGAAGGGAAGATTGAGTCCTAGGAGTAGATGAAATGCTTAAGGGGGCATCAGACCAACTCAGGGTGAGGAGGAACTGTGAAAACTCAGACAAAGGCTAAGAGTCAGTGATACACTGTTTCCTGCCAAAGCAGAAGAAAACGTGATTGATGACAGGGTGCCACTGAAAACTGATGAAAGTGAAAACGTGAGACAGAGAGAAGGGAGCAGGGGAGACGGGGTTCTCTACGGGTGGCAGGAAGAGAGAATGGAAGTCGACCATGTTAACAACATGGCTCTTGGCAGCAGCACAACACCAGCTGTCTCTCTCCTCCAATTCAAGCTACCACCACAAAATCCATTTGCAGCAAAAGGAGCTTCTGCATACTGGAGTAGATTAAGACCATTTCTTCATGGGTTGATCATTAATTAAATTTTTGCTTGTTTTTTGTGTTTCATAAATGATTATCACTGGAAGTGGATCCTTGATCTGCTTTTGATTAAAAAAAAAGGCTTTAAAATTAAAGCACTAATTTCAACTGACAGTGAATTAGTCTCTGTGTTATGTAAATTATCTGGGCAGAGGGAGTCTAGCAGGTCCAGCATATCACCAGGGACTGAAATGCTATTGCTAAATAGGAAATGAAAGTTACAAATAAAAAACTTCAGGTTTTGTTTGTTTCATCTCCTTGTCCAAAGTTTTAAAAAATCAAATATTGTAGCCCTAAGTCTGTCATTAAATGTGCATTCTACAGCTAAGTGTAGAACTTAGAACTAGCATTTTAAGGCTCTCAATTCATTGTGTGGTAGATTGACACAATATTGATTTAATTGAAGCCTAGAATTTTACACAGACTATACCTACTACATTTAATTTTGTTGGGATGGAAGTGTGAGAAATTCCTCACTTGTTTTACTTTGAACTATTATCAATACTAGACAATGAGAATATTGTCTTTACTCTTAGCGTGTATTAGAGAGAGGTATGAAAATCACAGTGAATGGACATTTGTGATAAGAAATGATGAAAAGATATTAACAATCATGTGTTAAAGACAGTACTTGGAATGAGAACAAACAATACAAATACAAATAGTCCAGGTAAAACAGCAGATAGCTAGGTCATGCTTGGAGAAGAGATGGAACAATTCAGAGAACACAACACTAACAGAAATGGAACTTATAGTAGAAGGTCATATTAATTTTTTCATGTGCTGGATGGTTTGTTTTCTCAGGTTTTCTGCTTTGAGAAACCCTTAAGCAGATGAAACAGGAAATTTCTAGAAACAGCACATGATGCCACGACCCTTCTGTTGACTGATAAAAGTAAATTTAAAATAAGCTCCCATGTTTTGGCAGAATCTCTATTGTGAAGTTAGAAAAGCCCCAAAGTTAGGAAGGCAAGATGAATAAAAAGATCTTGGTTTGCAAGTGAAGCGGCCTCATAAGCAGACTTCAACCTGATTAAATCTTACCATTGTCTACAGAAATTCCAAGCACACTTGATATCTTTCTCACACTGAAAACACAGAAAAAGTCACTTTGTTATTGGATGCTTTTCCACACCCTCGCAAATCGATTCACGGACTTTTTGTTTTCACAGCAGTGTAAGGATTAATAAACATTCAGAGCCAGAATGTCAGAATGTGGACGCTTGATCAATTACATGCACGAGATCAGGAGGGCAAAGGCGTCTGTTCCAGATGCTCTTGGGAGGTACAGGGGAAAATCAATGATAAGCTGGCTACAGGCAACGAATCCAAGCATTATGTTTAAAGTACTGGGAATCTTAGGCTATTGAGCCTACCAAATTTTGCTTTGGGGATGGGGCAAAGGGTCTAGCTTTTAGGACTGGTGCTGTAGTTGATCGTGTACCACATTTTGTCACTCCCCAGGGCTCAGGATTCTCCTCCAATGAAGGGAACTGTGCCAAGAGCTCTTCATCCTATTTGCTTTGAGCTGGAATAAAAATCAAGTCGATGATGTGGTACGGTGTGGCTGGGGATCTCCCCTCTGAGATGGCAGAGAGATGGCTGGCTGTTACGATGGTATGTCATGGGACTTACTGTGGTTAAAAGTGACAGAGTTATCCAGGCTGCCCAGCTGCTGCAATCTGGCATGCATCATTCCTGTTCTGTTACGGGAAACAGGCAATGTCTGAGATTTTCGATCATGAACTATGGGTCCCAACCCCTCCTGGTTCCTGCAACATGAGTGAAATGGGATAGAAGCAAAAGTTAGATGTGTTACACTGCAGCGAGAGGGGAGCATTAGTGAAGCCAGGACATGGCACAGAGGGGACGAGCCACGCACTGACAGTGCAGTTGAACAGCCACAGACACACAGGCAGCAGCTCTTACAGTGTTCACAGCAAAGCACCTGATGACAAAGAAGCAAAAATCAAGCCAAAGCAGAGAACTTCTCATTTTTAGGAAGTACTACAGAGACACAACTTTCAAAAAGTGAGCAGCACTCCAATGTGGATAAGATGTTATGAAAGAGCAAAAAAACCTTGTTTCTAATAACATACATGCAATGGGAGGGTTATATGAGACTAAAAGTTTAACACCTTTATTCTTACCCAAGCAGGAAGGAGAAGAGCCACACACTTTGTTAAACTTGTCAGCAGTCAAGTAGAGAAAACACAAAAGTGATCTGGGTTAGCAGTCAAATAGCTGACTTCCTACTGTGTACCATCACCAGAGCAGATGGAAATGGGACCTGTCCCCCGTCCCTGAGCCAACCGTGCCCCTCACTGTGTTACTGTGTGTAGGAGAACAGGGACATGCATGGACTATCATCGACGGCATGCTGCTGGGTGATTTCCAAGTGACAGAAGAAGGCACAATATTCATACACCTGGACCATCGAGGATGGCAAACACTGACAATGTTCACGTTATGGTTCAGGATATTTATTGCATGCAGCAGAAACCATGGCAATTTTATATAAAGCAGGACTTTATATATATCTTTCCACAGTGCATGGAACAAAGTAACAACACCTCCACTTCTATCTTCCTCTGATCAGCTAACATTAAGGCAATCCATATCATATGCAAATATGTACAGGGGCTTATGAAATCAGGTTTTCTTTAAAAAAGTTAAATTTATGTCCACTGGAAAAAAGTAGCCTCTTTGCAAAACCCAATTCTAAAATATTTTGTCAGGACAAAAATCTTCAGCTTTCCATATTTGCCATTTTAAGCTCTGAGGCATTTTAGTCTACTTGATAGAACATTCATTAAATGCCATCTTGTGACGTAAGTGACAGTATCTGCAAAGAGGGTGTGAAGATCACCCAGCACAGTGTTTTCTGGTTATAAAATACACTCCTTGCCCATATTTGTGGGACAAAGTCAAAGAGAATAAAAGTCAAGGTAAGAAATTATTGGTATTGAGACACCTTGTATATATTTGCATTTGGTACACAAAAACTCAAATATAAAAATTATTGTTGTGAATAAAAAATGAAAGTTAAGATTAAAATACTTTAAATGCTACATTTCAATTAAAAATAGAAAACATCCATAGAAGAAAAGTACAAAATAGTCTAAAATTTTCTTCTTTTAAAAAGAAAACACATGCTTTTATTTCTTAACATAAAACATAATTCTGAATATTTCTCAAGCATCCCTAAATGAGGACAATGCTAACATAAAAAGCACCGCAGAATGAAGGCCAAGGACTAATACTTTATACTCCAATAGAAAGTCTATTAATGTCTGTTAAAGTTTATTGCTATAAAATAGAATTAGGAAAAACAGGTCTCCATTACAACTAAACTTTAAAGCTTTTCTTAAAACATAAATGTAATCTTACTTTAAACGGTTAAAAACAACAATAGAAAAATGTGCTAGGTAGAATAAGAGAATGGGCCACCACACAGACACTCCAAACAGCTACCAGGCAGAGTAAGAGCCTGGAAGGACAAGACGTGCCGTGCTGTGGGGAAATGCTGTGTGGACACCTCAGCAAGAGCTTCCAGCTCTCCTGGGGTCTAGGAGTATGGCGCCCCAGGGCACTAGGAAGCTAGGACACTCAACAAGAGTTCCAGTCAGATACAACACAGGTACTAACTGCTGAGTCAGAATAGGAGGAGGGAAGGCTCCATTTTAGAGAAGAATTGTGGAAATCCACACAATCTGAGACAGGCTAAAAAATTCTTTAAGAAAGAAGGGTGGTTACATGAGAACATAAGTTGGGAGAAAGAAAAATAAAAATGACCTTTGAATGTGAAACAGGAAGAGAAATCATTGAGAAAATAAACTACATGAAGAATGGGAGAAAAGTAAGAGAAGGAGACATAACAGAGCATGAGGGAGAATCTGGAATGAGGTGTAGAAGTTAGCAGTAGGCCACTGCAGACAATCCTTCCAAGAGAGGAGCACGAGACAAAACAAGACAGAAGGAATGTAGGAACACCAACAAAAGATGCTAACAGATTCTATGGTGGCAATCCAAGGCCTGCCGCCTGTCTCCATGGCTGTTTATGTGAATCCCACCTGCCAATCACCACAGACGACCATTCCCACACATTCAGATCCAAGTAATATAGAAAATGATGGGACATTTCAAACTAGAATGCCCCACGGTACCTGGCTATGTATCGCTTCCCCATGTACTGGAACTGGTGCAAGCAGACCCTGCAGATGGGATGAAAAATTATCAGGCAATGGGAAGATAAGACTATTATCAACACAATGTTTTATTTAAGCCCATTAATAATAATAAATTAAATATGTCTACCACTACTACTGTACTTCTGGTTTTTAGAGATTCTCTGGAAGGTCCCTCTAAACCCAGAGAAATTATTACATTGTAAGAGGAGCCCACAGTTTAATAATTAGTACTGTGGTAGCTGGTGGAGTACCACAGAATGAAGGCCAAGGACTAATGGGACTTCCCATCCACTTGGGGCTGGCAGATTTACTCCAAGGCAGTTTGCCTTAAGACTGTGTTGGAAGGGCTAGGGTTGTGGCTCAGTGGTTGCACGTGTGAGGCACTGGGTGTGATCCTCAGCACCACATTGAAAAAAAATAAACAACTACAATAAAGGTATTGTGTCCATCTATAATTAAAAATAATAATAATGATAAAAAAAAAGAGGGGCTGGGGCTCAGTGGTAGAGTGCTCGCGTAGCACATGTGAGGCACTGGGTTCGGGCCTCAGCACCACATAAAAATGAAATAAAGATATTGTGTCCACCAACAACTAAAAAATAAATATTAAAAAAAATAGTATGTTGGATACCCTAAACACTAAGTTGCTTATCCATCCTCATTCATATTACTCATTCACATCTGTGAAAGGAACTCTGTTTTGGCTCAAGTGTATGGAGTAATAATACCTTACAGATATCAAGTATGTAGTTTTTTGTTTTATTTTACTGCACCTACAACACTTGACTCTTTTAAAAATCATGCAATAAGATAGTTAAAACAACAAATCCTTTGGAGCTGATTCTTCCCTACATGACAGGTCCCCTGTTTTACTCAGCAGAGGGAGTAGTCATGAGGCTTTGAAGGAAGCCCCTGCTAGCAGGTCAAGCCCATGGCCCTTTACTTATAATCCCCAAATACACAAAAGCTCTTGAAAACAGGGTTTCTGCTTGTTTTCATGCAAATACATTTGCCACCAAAACATGATCAAACTAACAGACATCAAGAGTTATGATTTATCCAATTATTGTGAATAATAATAGAACTTCAGTTTTTTAACTGCAGATATTTATGTGTTTGTGGAGTGCTGAGATGCTGCCACTCTATATAAATACACTATATAAACTTTTCAAAAAAATTTAAAAAATTCTAAATTTGAAAAATTATCTGCCCCTGGCAGTTTTAGAAGGCATTGTGAACTTGTGTTTCTAAAAAGAAAGAGCTTAAAAGTAATCAGAAGCTCATACTAAGGAGATAAAATGAGATAATATAGTTACTAGATTCAACTTAGAGAAGCAGCATCAGCCCAATTCAGTGAGTAAATTTTGTATTATTTTATGAAAATGACTTAAGTAGTTACTTTTTATCTAGAACAATCACATATCTGCAATAATTTAAAGTTGGCTACTGTTTACTAGCTCATAAGCTCTGAAAATAGGTGCTGGGGTCAGGTCTAGGAGAAAGAGCTTAAGGAATAAGAGTATGTGACATAAAATTCATTCCTGGCTCAACTACACAGTGCTCTTCAGACCTCTTCTTCCTCTGGGAAGAATTATGAGGTAAAGCTTGAGAGTATATAGCTGAGATGGAGCATATGTCTAGCGTATGCAAGGCCCTGGGTTTGATCCCCAGCACCACGAGGTAGAATTATGAGGCAACAAAGACAAAATTACTCACTCAGATATTGTAAAAAAATCCATAAGTTCAGATGTTGAAGCCTTGTTCCAATATGTAAACAAAGCATCTAGAAAACAAATATTTATTTTGTCAGAATTACAATATATTTCATTTACATTATGGAAAATCACCTACTGTGATAATGGAAAGAGATGTTAGATTGTAGGTCTCCAAATCCTTCCTGTGCCCCAAGTCATAGATAATCAAAGGACCAAAAAAAAAAAAAAAAGTGGGTAACATACATAACAGGCTTAAGTCAATTTATTTACTGATAGCAAATTAACAGTATTTATTAAAGTAATAGAAAGAAAACAGAGTTCCTATAGTGGGAGGGGCCCCAAGAGAGGATTACTCCAGACTTATTCAATTTAAAGAAGCTACACTTGAACACCCGAATTTGAATCTTATCATAAATCACCTGGTACTATATTATAGCATAAGGATTATTTAATTTATACAGATTGTGCTCTTGAATAGTCAAGAAAATTAAAAACAAAACAAGTGGGCACACAATCCAAAGTTAGGTTCTCATTATTTCCTACTACAGAATCCCTCCCCAGAAGGGAATCTGCAGAAACTTTCTACGTGATATACATACTATTTTGTCTTTTGAGTTTTAACTGAACAGCATAGCTTCATCTACCTCAAACTTTTCCAAGATGCACAACATTCCTCTTTATGGATGCACCATAATTGGGTTAACCAATCTCCTTATTGATAGACATTTACTTTTCCTATAACATTTTCTACTATAATTATGTCTTTATGAATGTGAGTTTTTGCATATATATCCAACTACATCTTATAGGAAAAATTCCCAGAAGTGAAATAGTTTATTGTATGATATGTATTTTTAAATTTATGTATGAACCCTTATCAGTCTGGTATTGCACAAAGGGGCTATCACTTCATAAACAAGCATTTTTGCCCTCTTAAATTTTAAAAAGTTGGAAAACAGATGAAGAGATTTGCAGCCTTTGGAACCTGAAATGAATGGAAAAGATGGCAGCAAACAGGCTGATGGCTGCATGCCCACATGCTTCACACTTATGAGAAGCAGTGACTCAGGAAAGACATGGGAGCTTATAGCAAGAATTTGTGCCAGGCACTGTGTTAGTGCTGTCCCAATTCTCCATATATTGTGTCATCTAATCCTCACTCTCATTCCCATGCAGAAGAGTGCTGCCATTTACAGATGCACCAACACAGCCCTCAGACATTAAGTAATTCTCCTATTTACCTGCCTAAAAATATATATCTGAATGGAGATGTAAATCAATTGTTCCTAATTCTAAAGGCATTTGGCTCATTAGACCAGTAATGAGAGTGGGTCAAGGGAGTTTCTATTTTTGGGAGATCTTGTGCACAGAATTCAGATGGAGAGACTGTTTACTTGTGGCTGGTCATCCTGGAGAGCCCTTGAGGAGGCAAGGAGAACCTGGCAGGTCCTCCATAGGCACCGTAGCTGCCCCCAGCATGCAGACACAGTAACCAGCAGCACATTTACTCCTCACTCTGGACACTAGCTATTGAGCCCTACAGCTCTAAAAAGAGGAAGCAGGCACAAGAAGACACAAATAGCGAGGGGCCCAGCATTCAAGTACTCATTAAACATGGAATAGATCGAAGGAACACACAGCTACAGAAATACACAATTGATTTTGGTTGTCTCATAAACTATCTCTGGAGTTAATTTCTCCTTCAACCTATACCACATACAAATATCGAATCTAGGTAGATTTTTAGATTTAAATGTAAAAATTGAAAAAAAGAGTCTTTAAAGAAAATATAGGAGAAAACCTTTATGGCCCTGGGGATAAGAGATTTCTAAAGTGGGACACATACAAACTTTAATTATAATGGGGAAAATGATAACTTGAAGGCAATTGAGGGATAAAAAGATATTCTAAAATTGATTTTAAGGAGGGGCCCAGCATTGGTATCATACACATATTTTTAAAATGGCTGCATTTTAAAAATATGTGTATGACTTTCCAAAGGGTTGAATTTAAAGGATAACTTTTACTTGGATGCAAAAGTACTGGTATATTTGTCTTCAAAAAGCAGTTATGTTCTAATTATTTATCATATTCAATAGTTGAAGTTTAAAATATTTTAAAGAAAACTTTAAACCAAGAAGAAAAAGGATATAACCAAAAATACTAAAAAGCAGAATTTAGAACTTTTGACTTAAATTTCAATTTTATAACTCAAATATCAAAATAAGTACCCCATGCTGGTGTATTTGGTCATCAATCAAGAAAAATCTTGCTCATTTTGTCTTTGTTTTTTAAATTGCTATTTTAAAGTAACAAAATCACCCACTCCTTAAGCACTTTAAGGACAAGTGGGTCATTCCTACCGCTTGTGTTATAGTCAGGCCACTAATGCTACTGAAATGAAAGCTCAATAAATAAAAACAAAAACATGATGTTCAGGCAGAAAGACCTTCTTACCAGATTTGTAGCACTCATAACTATGGCCACCAGATACACATAGCACGAGTTCTCAAAAAATGGCATTTTGTTTTCAGAGAGTTTATCTTAATCCAGTGACTTTAAGGAAGCTCCTAACACATCTTCTAGTTTGTTGTTGGGAAAATAAGACCAGATTTTTGACCAGGATAAGAATTATGACACTGAATTCTGACATAATTTCTTGGGATTGGTTATACCACACCACCAGAGCTCAAACTGTGCTGTCACACATTTATAAGCTTTACACAATATAGGTAAAACAGGAATAGTTCTGCTTATTTCTATTAAAAAAATATGGCTGTCACACTTTTAATCAGAAACATAATCTATGATAATACTATTAGAAAATAAAAACAACTTATCTCTCTTCCAGTTAAAGCCAGGAATATTATACAGAGATTTGTAAATGGAAGGAATGCTTAGATCCATGAGCAACATATTTTTTAATTCAAAGACTGATCAATCAATACGTTATGCAAGTTGCCAATGTTTGTTTAGACAGATGAAATTAAAAAAAAATCAAAAGCTATTTCATTTATCTGCTTTTGTCTCCTTTAGTTAAGATAATAAGCCAAAATTTAACATAAATGTTAAAAAACAGGTCAATTCACATTTTAGAATTCATTTTCTAGAATAAGATAATTAACAAAATTTTTTTCAAATTAAAGCTTTTATTTCTACTGCATTTAGTAAATTAACAAACATTTTAAGTAAAGGAGAAATCCTTTTATATCCTTGAGTTTTTTTAAACTGATTACAAGTTTAAAAAAATTAAATAGTGAAACAAGGAAAGCAAAACAGGAATCTTCATTTTTTTAACCTACCATCAGACATGCTTTTTAAGATGTACAGGAAACACATCAGCAGGCTCTTAATCTCCAACTGGTCAAGTTTGTCACAGCGAACCACAGAATTTCCCAAAGTGCTACCTTGTTGGTGCTAAAAAAGGAAACATAGGTAATATTTTTTAATTAATTTCATTACAGGAAAAATTCATTTACCTTTTCTTCCTTGAAAGACAAATATTCTTAGAACTAAATTAAATCATAGAAACTGGAAAGTACAAGCAAACTACAGGCACAATTAAAAGACAGGCATACTTTCACCCAAATATAATACACACAAATGCTGTTTCTTAGAGTTCTGGCTTGTCTCCTTTGCACACTTGCCTAAGGCACAAGCCAGAAGGCACAAACCTGTCACAATGGATAGCCAGTCTAGAAATGCCAAATAAAACCTCAAGCAAAAAGTGTGCACACTGGGATCCTATGCAGAAGTGAGGCCTCAGAAGACACCACCCAGTCACCCAGCTCCTTCAGAGAACGGCATGGCTGCAACAGTAAGGAGAGCCTGAGGGGCTGCTGTGCGCCAGCCACCAAAGCCTGCAGCTGAGCTGCTGTCATTCAGGGTCACTGTGGGGCAGTCAGTGGGCACCACTTAAACACCTGGCAGGCTCCAAGGGGACAAACAGGACACCTCAGTACAGCACTGCCAAAGACCTAAACCAATGTGGTTCCTCCATCATCAGCTTAGCAGAACACAGCACACGTGAGGAAGGTTGGGGCAGAGGGGAAGGCAGTTTTACCACTAGATAGCAGGTTCCCATTTAAACAAAACACAACAATAATCTCATCTCATGATTAAAAACAAAGGAGATTTACAAAAATTCCAAGTTATATTTCCAATTAAAATCAGGAACACTTTTTTGCCAAATACCAAAGTAAAATCCAAAAAACAGTGAAAGATGTTTCATTGAAGTTGTTGGTGGCCAATTGAAAAAAAATATATATCTATATAATAAACAGCCTTAATTACTAAGATATATGAATATTTTTATTTAAGGAAGAAATAAAGATGCTATTAGTGGCAAAACAGGTATGGATGGATCATCTTGCCCATTTGCTTAATCAGAGCCACTAGAAATCAGTACTTCTCGCAGAGGGAGGGAGGGAACAGCATGCATCATTTCCTCTGGCAAAGGTGGAATGGTTAGAAGGGAAAAATCCACAGTGACCCGGTTTCTCCTGGCTGACTGGCAGCTCTCCTGCTCCTCTCCAGCACTGCATATGACATAAGTAGAGTGCCTTCTAAGCAGCTTTTCCTTCTACACATGGAGGCAAGTTGGGATCAAAGAGAAAGTTCCACATGTCACAACTGAGATATCGAGCCTTGACACACTGTACTTAAAAACAATCACATCAATACCATCCACATGACCAGATTACAAACCTGATGCTGAGGAATATGTTGGGGTCTGGACATTTTCTGATAATTAGGAATACATCCTTAAATGGTTCACCTGTGTATTGGTAGAAGCACTTCCCTATTATAACTTTAAAGAGCTTAGGAACAAACAGTGCCCAGGGTGATACCAGTCTACCATGGTTCTGGATTTAAATTTAATCTCTATCCTTTCCCACAAAGTTCCAAATAGTCTGAGCCTTTAGTAACTTTAGGAAAAATGGTTACCTATAAGGAGGAAGTGTTGTTTTGGGGGTGGGCACAATGTGAATCAAGAGTGATTTCAAATTTCACCTTATTCCTGATATAAACAATTAATCTTTTCTGGAGCTGGCTTGGATCTAATAAACACGTGTGTGGGTAGTTGTGTTATAAATGGTATACTCCAATGTAAAGACTGTGGGGATTCTAAAGAGGGCATTTTTTTTTTTTTTTTTTAAATTTTGGTAGTGGGGACTAAATCCTGGGGTGTTTTATCACTGAGCTACATCCCCAGTCCTTTTTATTTTGAGACAAGGTCTCATTAAATTGGTTAGGACCTCACTAAGTTGCTGAGACTTGCCTTGAATTTGTGATCCCCCTGCCTCGGCCTTCTGAGTTGCTGCAATTACAGACATGTGCCACCATGCCCAGCTAAAGAGGGCATTTAATTTAATTTAAATTAAATTAAATTTAATTTAAACCACCTGCCAGAATAACCCAAGGCGCTCTATTGAAAGCATTGTCCTGACCTGAGATCCTGAAACAGAAATCAGAGTTTCAGGAGGCTAAGGATGTAGCTCAGTGGTAGAGTACTTGCTTAAGGTCCTAGATCCCCAGCACCACAAAAAAAAAAAAAAAAGAAAAGAAAAAGAAAAAAAAAAAAAGGGGGAATGAATCCCAACTTTAGACAAAAGCATCATCTGCTTCAGGTTTAATGAACTGTTTGAAAAAACAAAAGGTCACATCTAACAGACAGTAGAATATGAAGCATGTTTACTGTAGGAAAAGAAATCACCTTATCCAGGGAATTACTCTTCTCACTGTTTCTTTCTGGAAGGCTGTTGCCTGAATCTGTGCTTATGAGAGATCCTCTTGAGTCAGCATTTCTCACACTGTTGATGTTTGGAGTTGATGCTGTATATGGAGAAGCTATACAGAAATTGACGAAGACCAAAGTTTTGGTAAAAGAGAACAAAATAAAGTATTACACTTTAAAAGAAACTGCTTTTTTGGCATTTTCCCCTCCATCTGGAGGTTGGCTCACTTTTAAAGAGCCAGGTCATATAAAATGAGATAAAAAATAAACTTTTAATCAGAATAAATGTCACCTCACTTATTGTCAACTCATTTATTTGATTCTAAGTACCAAATAAACAGAACTGCTAGTTATTTGATTGCTCAGACTACAGGGGCATACATTATTCAGAATGGAATAGAACAAATATTGGAAAATAAATCCATCTACAACCATCCAACTAAGCCTCACAATAAGCCTATAATATGTAAGCTTTGTACTAAGGGACCCTACTCTGCATGGTTTCATGGTATATTTTAAATTTTCAGGAAAACACAATGATGCTTGATACTGGCTGGAAACTGTGGTTTCAATACTGGATCATGCTATGTTGAATCTTGTTGAAGCTGAAGCTGAGTATTTGGTGGTTGCTATGACAAAAAGCAAGTACTAGAAAAAAAATCAATCAAAACAGGAAGTGAGAATGGTGGTAGAAAATCTGAGTCTGAAGTATGAGAAGCTATGAGCATCTATTAGGCAAATAAAACTCACTAGTAACATTATGGTTATTAAAAATGAAATAGAAGCATTATTTTCTTTAAAATTTTAGGTGTATTGTTATTTTTACAAATGCCTATTAAGTTGTTAGATCATAAGTATTTATTAGTTTATTTGGTCCTAAGTACCAATAAACAGAATTGCTAGTTATTAATAAACAGAACTGCTAACAGATAAGTTCTAATAAACAGAACTATTAGTTTTGGCCTAGGGATATCACAAAAAAATTACTGACAATAAGATCCACCCTTATTCTCTGTGAACTGAGAATATTTGGGAATCTCTATTATAAACATTTACGGGTAGAAAGAAAGCTCAACTTTGAAATAAAACCTGTGATGGCCCTTAAAAATACATTGACTTCCTGCTTAGATAAGCTTTAAATGAATTATGTAATTTTAAAAAGATTCTTTGGACTTGTACATTCTGTGCTGAACCAAAAGCATGCCACCAGTAGAAAGGCCTGGCTGGTTTTGCAGATGGCACGAGGGGAGTTCTGGCACTGTGCTCAGCAGCTGTAAGCAGGCCTCACAGACCCAAGCCAAAGATGCCATTATTGGCACCTCACAAAGGCAAGTTATTTTTTCAGATTCAGCAGGCAAATTCACTGGCACGGAGTGAGATGCTTCTAAGTTAAAAAATAAAAATTAAATAATAGCCAGCTTGAGTTGCACCAAAAATATTTTTTCACTTTTAAATTTGGTAGCTAATGGCATAAATTTATGTCTTAGGTAATGTCATGATGCGCCCCTGCCCAAGTGCTGTAGATGGAACCCAGGGCCTCACAAATGCTAGACAAGCACCCTACCTATGAGCTACCTCCCAGCCCCCAAAATAGTCTTTAATGTTAGAAGGAAGACCCATGACACAGAGGTTGTAAGTCCTTTCCAAAACACTCAGATTTACCCACTACTATCCCTGAAAATGATCCAATGTATTAAGGTCAAGAAAAGAAAATCCAGGGGAATTTGGAAAAATGAAGGCTGAAACAGGGGTCTTATTGTAAGCCCACAGGCTGCATTTCTCTAGCAGAGAACTGTGTGATCAACTGTCACAGGAACAGAAAAAACTCTACGAAAACACAAAAACCATTTTTTCTATAAGAAAAAAGAAACATATACAATGACCAATTAAAATTATCCAAATATAACTGTACTTCATGATTAAGGTAGAATATGTAACTCAGGATAAAGGCACTCAATAAAGTAAAATTAGGCCTTAAATTCTCGGATTTTTAGGCTTGATTCCAAAACTAGAGTTGTAATTTAAGACAAACAGATGCAAGTGCAATAAATAAAAATCATCATGCTTAGTTTGTCGTGTGTGTGTGTGTGTGTGTGTGTGTGTGTGTTTAGTATCCTGTCCCAGGAAATGACCTTAAACATGTGAGCAAATAAAACATTTTGTTCATCCTTCTCTGCTTTGTACCAACAGCCCAATGTACTGTGTGTGGAAAATGGGACCCTCAACCCAAGAAGCTTTGCTTTTTTAAAAAATATTTTTTGTTGTAGATGGACACAATACCTTTATTTTATTTATGTGGTGCTAAGAATTGAACCCAGTGCCTCACACATGCTAGGCAAGTGCTCTACCACCGAACTACAACCCCAGCCCCGGAAGTCTTGCTTTCTAAAATGAATGAATCTCGGAGTATTTTTAACCCAGGCAATAAATCTATTTTAAAAATTATCATGCACCACATTCCAGAAACATTTAAAAAATTGGTGAATGGGCTGGGATTGTAGCTCAGTGGTAGAGCACTTGCCTCATACACATGAGGCCCTGGATTTGATCCTCAGCACTACATAAAAATAAATAAATAAAGAAAGAAAGAAAGAAAGAAAGAAAGAAAGAAAGAAAGGTATTGTGTTCATCTACAACTTAAAAAAAAAAAAGGTGAGTGAACATTCTTAATATGTGTGGAAACGGAATTTCTTTTAGACAAAGATGCAGGATAAAAGTCTGCTCTAAAAGATAAGCACCAGGACTAAAGTCAACTGGAAGCTGACAAACAAAAAAGGAATTGCTACAGCTATGAGGAAAAAACTAGCAAACCCAGGTCAAGGTGGGGATTTTCTAGAAGGAACTCCTAAAAGAGAATAAGAATTTAATCTTCAAGATGAAAGGAAACACAGACAAAGTCTGATGATAAATAAGATTGTTGTGTGGCAAATTCCTATAAAAAGTAGATTTGGGTCTTGAAATTCCATGAAGTGTGAAGAGGGAGTGCATCAGTCTCAAGCTCTTTTCATAACTACACCGTGAGTGCAGAGCAACCAAAGGCCATTACCACTGTTCAGGCCACGCTGAGGATGTCTGATGACTCATCTCCATGTGCTCAAGGAATCTCAAGTCCTAATAAGGTGAATTCTGCACTGGACAGAGTCCACTGAGTTAGAACATTCCCTTACTGTGGTCTGATCATTTCCACAAAGTTTGGAATGCTTCTCTTATGGTATTACAGAGTACTGGTCACAGAGAACACAGCATTAAGATTTTCAACACATTTCTGAGCTTGTGGACTCATCTAGTTGGCTACTAAGCGTGTATCAAAAAATATGAGTAACATAATATAATTGTGCTTGTTATACTGACAAAGAAGAGTACTGAGTGTTTACCATGCCAAGCACTGTGCACACTGACAATGATTTTGTGTGGAAGTATGGATATGGAGGGTGCAGACGGTGGACACCCTGCCCATGACACTAGTCAGCAGTCCAGATCCAAAGCCATATGTGTCTGACATAAGCTAGTGCTATTAACTACTGCACATGAAACCCTCTAAAAAAGATCACCTCTTCACTCCAGAGTGGCAGCTTGACATGTGGGTAGAGCAGGACAGAATGAAGGCCTCAGAAGAAAGGTAAATGGAAACTCAACAAGAGCAGCCAACATTTGCTGAGCATTTACTGTGCACTAGACTCTGCTCCAAACATTTTTCATACATTAACTCTTGTTACAAGGGAAATCTAACTATGAAAACCATACATGACTATAAGGAAATTAAGGATTGGTATTGGTAATGTAGGAAAAATTGAGGCATTCAAATGAGTTTTCTAATCTTATATTCTACCCTGTTTCATCATCTACCATGAAAAATGTCATTAACAATACAAAAGGTAAGAACATATATTCAAAGTGACAACAGTCTGTAAGTTAGCTGAACAAATGGAATACACTTTTTTCTGCCATGAATTTATACCATTAATAGATAGTCTAACCACTAGCCATAGTAGGACATTTTATTTATTTAAAATGTGGTAAAGAGAGGAAGAAATAAAGACAGAAAAAGACTAAGCATCTATGACAATCCCTTGAAGACAGAATATATATATATATATATATATTATATATATATATTATGTAGATACATATATTGATATCCATTATCTTCATGAAGCTATGACTCAGTCATCAGAATACAAATAGGTACATTTTCTCCGGCACTTTCTTATGAAAAAACTAAATGAATCTTGATTTATACCATCTGTTTCCCTCCCCATGGGGGATACTCCTTTTCATTGTTTCATATAGAAAAATATTGTAGGACAGAAGATTTTTGAAAGCTGATTTTAGGATTGAATCCCAGCCACAAAATGTGACAGAATAATCCCTTCAGGAATCACTCTCACATTTTCTCTAAATTGCCAATACTACAACTTTTATCTCCTGCCAACACCTGCAAAGATATTCCTTTTCTAAAAGCATGAACAACCTAAGATTTAAAATACTTCACAAGAATTTTACAAAAAGCAAACAGCACAAGCAAGTGATTAAATATATTATGTTCGGAATTCACAAGAATTCTGAAATCTTTATTACAGTGTATGGCTGAAGAATTTCAGTTGTGAAGTATCACACTATGAAAGAATACTCAAGGCAGAAACCCAGTCCTAATTCATGGTGTAATATGTTAAGAAACTGCTAAATCAATGACACCCAAGTGACATTGGAGAGAGACTGACAAGTGCATAGAGCATTACCAATGCCAGAGATGGCGCCTAAGAGGTCTTTGTGCAGGCTGTGGTCCAGTGTGTTTCCCTTCTGTGGTGTCACCAGCGGGTTCCCAGCTGGCAAAGCAAGGGGTTCCTCCTTCACAGTCTGTCAAAGAGGGAAGAGAAGAAGTAAACAGATAATAGAGTGAGTTACCAACTGTTCTCAACATGTGAAGGCACATGTAGGAATAAGCAGAGCAGCCCGACACGGTCAAGGGCCTAAGGGGGAGAAGCAACCACAGGGGCTGTTCTTCCCAAGTGAGCTGGAGTTTTAGCAGTAATGACAACAGACTCTGGATGGTTGGAGCTCCATGTGAACTTATCAGAGGAGAAATGACATCATATTTAGTTAAATCTCTTTTTAAGGGGATTTTACTTCAGTGAAATTCAAAGAAAGACCTCGAATTTGTGTTTTTCAGGGTTGAAACAGGACAGAGTGTCACATTCTGATCTGCATTACCTATTCTGCTTAGAAAAGCAGTTAGAGAATACACATATGGAAGGCAAAGTTGTAGAGGTGAGATCAGCAAGGGGCATTTAGGAAAGAAAGTTTATAAGAAAAAAAATCTATAAACATGGATCACTTCAGTGTAACAGTATTTAGAAAATATATGTGGAGGGGTAAAGAGGTAGTATAATAAATGGGACCATGCATTGCTCTTGGGAAAAAGGGAAAGAAACATGCATGGAAATTTCCCAAGTATGTGTTACAATGATGAAATGGCAAGATTAATTCTTCATCAGTTCATGGTATAATAAAAGGGAAAGGGAACTGGTAATATCTGTTCATATTATTAGCAGATAAGCCCTGAGGCCAAGAAAAGAACTTTAGGAAGACAACAAATACAAGTTTTAGTTTGTAGAATTTTTATAAACTTTAATAATTAAAAATCATTATGGGTGAATAATTTAAAAGCCTTTTGCAACTGAAATGTGATAAGGAATTTGATTGTGTTAATGCTGAATTGTAAGATGCTACCAAGAATCTTTTTTTTAAATAAAAAGACAAATTACCATGTATCAAAGACAGAGTATATAAACAAACCAATCTCTAGTCAAAAAGTTTTAAAATAATTTCTGGGATCATTCTTCAGTCTACTTAATTTCCCATGCCTCTCTAATTAGTTACAAATACAAACACAAATACAATATAAATTAAGAAGGAAGGGGCTGGGGTTGTAGCTCAATGGTAGAGCACTTGCCTTGCATGTGTGAGGCACTGGGTTTGATGCCCAGCACCACATAAACATAAACAAACAAAATAAAGAGATATTATATATATAATATCCCTTTATTATATATATATATATATACACACACACACACACACATACACACAGAGAGAGAGAGAGTGTGTGTGTGTGTGTGCGCGCGCGCGCGTGTGTGACTTCTTGAAGGCAGGGGATTCTGGTCCCTCATCTTGGCATCCCTGACATTCAGTCTAAAGAAGAGAAACTATAGCCCAGAGAGATGGCTTTTCCAAGACTACAGCATATTACTATCAGAACTGGAGCAGGTCTGGGCTCTAAGGAACATGGGTTAAAATCATGCCCTTTAATTTTGCTCCTCCTCCCACCAGAAATTTGTGTTGAATATACAAATGAAAATCCCAAAGGCTTACAAGATATTAGGCCATTAGGAGAGCAAGAATTGAAGGTTTACTGATTGACCCCATCTTAGCCAGAAATGTAATTTACCAAGAGTTATTACAAAGTAACTGCCAATTGTGGTGTTATTGCCAAAACAGAGGAGAGGGTGTGTACAGGTTTGAACTGTATCCCTCAAAACTCGCCTAGAACCTCAGGATGTAATATTATTTAGACATATAATTTTTCCAGATGTAATTAAAACATAAGTTAAGAATAAATCCCACCAATGGTGTTCTTATAAGAAAGGAGAGGACACACAAAGACTCAGACACACATCAGGGAAAAATACCATGTGAAGACAAAGGCAGAGATGGCAGTGATGCCACCATAGCCAAAGAAAAACTCCAAGGACTGCCAGCAACCACCAGAAGCTCAGAGAGAAGCACAGAACAGCCTCTTCCCCTGATGCCTTGATGCACCTTGATTTTGGACTTCTGGCCTCTCAAATTTCTGCTGTTCTACACCCCATTCGTGGCATTGTTACAGCAGCCTTAAGACAATATGGGCTATGTCCAGTAACTATGCTTACGTACAGTGCCTGGGTTCACAGGGAAAGGTGACACATCCCTCACATTGATCCGCTGGACATTTTCAATGAGCAAACCAAACAGAGGCAGGTAGAGTGTGGCTATTCTTGCCTGATGACTCTGAAACAAAGACACAAGTAAGTTTGTTCCATAGCTCTGAGAACAAATGACAGAGTAATTTGACACAGACTATCTTCTTTATTTAGATCCACTCTATAAGGACAAATATTAGATTTTATTCCGAAAACAGAGGAAAGTCTTGTACTAGTATCACAAATTTTCTAATTAGTACTCTCTTCATATCACTTAAAGGACATTTATCACTGCGTATTTGCTTCTTTTGAGGGCCACTCACCCTTGAAGCATATCTATCATCAAAAGAATGCTTTATCAGCAGGTTCTTGAGCACACTGATGGCGATCACACGGACCTCCCGAAATTCCTGGAGGGCAGTGCCCACTTCTCTTAGTAATAGTCCTACCAAGAAGTGGTTTCTGCAGAATTCATCTGTTAATGAGTAGTCAAGCTGGAGATCTGAAAGGAGGAGAGAGACTACTTTAGTCAGGGAGGGTCCAATGCTCTCTGAATAAAATAAAAACTGAATCCATCCTCTGCTTTCAGCCTGCCCTGCATCTGCCAATGCATGATCAGACCTGTCTTCAAATAGGAAAGGGTTGAATCTAAAATGCTGCTATACTCCTTTACATATCAAACTCCTATGTGAAAACCAAATTTAAATACAAATAAGTGCCCTGGATTTTGGAACACATAGCATCCTTCATGATTGAATATAAGTTTTAATACCAATTTTTAGAATATAGAACAGCATGTTACATTATAATTTTGTTACTGAAAAAGTTAAAAATAAGCTATTGTATTAATTAATATAAGCATGGGAGTAATTTGTGCATAAAATTATGTAATTATAGAATAAATAAATACACATGCCTTATTAAAATGATTTACTTCCTTAGTTCAATATTTATTTCCTGATCATCAATGCCTGCAGAGTCCTAATAAAACCCAATGTGTTCAAAATGAATAAATTTGCACATAACCTATTTATTCTGCTATCACTAAAAGAAGAACTTATTTATTATAGTATTTTCTAAAATATCTGTTTAATACTTCCACACCTCTAAAAGCAAATAAATATAAACTAAAATTGGAAGGGACAAGCACCAAACCAAACTAGTAACTCACCAGCAAGCTAAATGAAAAAGTTGAGAGCTCTTCTGGAAAAGATCTAGAAGTAAACATGGACCTTCCTGAGGGAGGTAAAAGCAGCTGAACATCACTCCAAAGCTGCAACATTCCCTCTCGGGAAGCTTAAGACAGCACTTGATTTCTTACACTGACTCCATTATTAAAGGATGATCTACAGATACAGATCCCTCCTTTGACTTCAATCCATATCTGTTATTTATATTTAAATTTGCCCAAATTTTGACCTAGGTCCAGTAAAACCCTTTAGTAAAAGAGGAAGAATATTCATTTTCCCAGAATAATCTGTTCACTGTTTATGATTACTAAACCCAGTCTACCCAAACTGTAGTTCACAGTTTGAATTCACATAAATCTCTTTATGTGAAAAGAAAATGATTATGGCTTAACTGTGTGTGCTCTTACATACCTGTGCTTGTGGCATATGCATGTTCATACACGCGCAGCTATGAGTTCATATGGGTAGGTGTACATGGGAAAGAAGGTGAGGTGGGGCAAGTGAGAAGAAGGTAGAGAAGAAGAATGCTAAAAGAGATTAATTCCTAACAATGAGACAAGGCAAAGGATCCATATCTTAAAGATGCCCACTTGCCTAGGGCAGCCCCTCTTGCACCAAATACCCTAGAAACACTCTGAAGGTGTGAGTCCGCCAGACACCTGACAGATTTCCGTTGGCTCAATTCTACAGGACAAACAACAGAGTCCTGCAGGCTTAAAGGGCAATATGGGCAGTAATACATTCCCTGCCCCCCCCCACCACCACCACCAGACATAAATAGCTACCCTTAGCACTCTGATAGGGGAAACGAAGAAAAGAGGCCAGTGCCCAAGAACGGGTGACTGTGAGGTGAGGGAGGGCATGGATGAGGGTAGGGAGAGGAACTAACTCCACGAGGAGCTGGGAGAGAGTGAGGACCCTCCCTGCAAGGCCCCACCGGGACCTGTGGTATGGCTTCTGGGGAAGATGAGGACTTTTGTGGGAGGGACTATTTAAGAGGTGCTGGGGTAGGCATGCCATGGCTGGAAAGCTGGGAGTCAGCAGGGGTACATGGAATGCCGGGGACAGCGGGGTGTGAAACAGAGGTTAGCCAGCCCAGGATAGACTGCATAGCTGAATTCCTGCTGCTCCTTGGCCAGGAAGCTCCCTCTCAGACCTGCGGGTGCTGGGCTCAACCTCTCACTTTCTCCCAAAACTCTTATCTACCCACCCTATCTCCACTGTCACCACTTTTCATATCCTCCTTTCCAAGCTTTATTATTCCCCTTTAGCATTTATCAGTCTCCAACATTCTGTGTATTTCACATATATAAAACAGCCAAGGATTTTTATTCAGGTTGTCCACAACTGTATCCCGAAACTAGACTAGTTGGTGCAACATAGTTGGCTCAACCATTTGTTGAACAAATGATTGCCAACTCCAGGGCCACAATTTGCCTTCTTGTTCTTTATAAAGTGTTACAAATCTGTTTGGGGTGGGGGGAAAATATTTGTCTCTGAAAGAATATCTCTGCATGTTTCTCCAAATTTCAATGTGTCATTAATAGTTTGCTGGCTTCTTCCCACTTTTTCTGCTTTAGCACAAACAAACCTAAGCACATTATAAGGCACTAACTCAATGAATATTGCTTGATAGACCTGTCATTCTACTTTATTCAAGTTGATTTACTTGATGAAGATAAGAAACATTTTGACCTCATTCCCTTCAAACTTAAAGACGATACAGAACAGTTAATAAAAACTCAACATGCAAACATAAAAAGCATGTGAAAAAGCCATGTTGCTTGTGATTCAAGCTACTGCCACCACTGTGGATGAAGGCTATGGAAGTGGTGGAATGCAATTTTGGGGTGAAGTAGGACTTTTTTGTTTGTTTGTTCTACTTGAAGAAACATCCTAGAAAATCTAGTAACCTTAGGAGCAAGATGCCTCCCTGGGATGTTACTGCAATGTCTTAGCTACAGTGAAAACAAATTCACCACTTCATCGTGAGTTTAAAAATGATCGAATGCCTAAACAAATAGTATAGGTAAACATTTGAATAGTCACTTGCATTCTTTTTCTTTTAAAGGAGGAAAATGCAAGAAAGCAGGCATCATATCCCACACCTACCTACAGGAGTGTCATTTGACTCCACAGTTGGTGAAAGAAAAGCTAATTCATGAGAAAAAAAAGAAAAGTGAAACAAAAATAAACTACAGTAAATAAAATGGATTTCTATTTTTTTAAGCAAAGGAATTTTTCAATGAAAATGAGTCACATTGGCATGATCTGCAAGCTAATAAGTTTTATCAAAAAGTAAGTTTCCATGTTACACTTATCAATACATTTGAAATGCAAATTTAACAAGAAAAAAGTTAATTCTTCAATGAAAATCAGAAAATACTAATATCATATTTGAATCAATTCTCTTTTCTTATTAGAAAATGAATGGCTATCTCTGAAAAAATTAATGCATGTAAAGATAGGTTACCTTGGTATCTTTGAATCCTGCCTTTTCCAAATGGCATTGGTAAGTTCAAGGGAATATAATGTTCATGATTGCACACCACACGGAGAAATTCAAACTTGTATTCAAAGAGGGTCTGCAGGAAAAAATGTTTTATCATAAATTAAATGTTTCACTAGATATTTTACATGGGACACTAAAAAAGCTTATCAGAAACAACACACCCAGGCATCAGCAACAGGGACCTGTGGGAAATGCACGTTCCAATCCAGTTTACAGATTTTAAAATGGCTGCAGGGACTTCTTTGACAACTGAAAACACATTTCATTAAACAATGTTCTCAGGTGATGTTTAGAGCATTTATTATTTATGTTCCTACTTCCATAAAGGATTTCACCTACCTTACAATTATAGACACAGATTCAATACAATAAAAAAGACTAGTATGCCAGAGCTTTAAAAAAAAAAAGAATGAGAACAGTCATAATTCCAGCAGATAAAGGTTACATGGTTACTTTTTTTCTTTTCCTTAAGTAAACTGTGACTCATAACATTTATACTTTTCATTTTGTGGTTGAAATGTCATTGCGGTATTATAAGAGCAAAATCTATGGGTATGTTTATCTCTCATTCTGAATTACTATGTCCCTAATATCTCATATTAGTATAAGCAAGTGACAATATTTTCAAGAGGGAAGTGAGCTGTCCCTCTGGGACTGAAAGATTCATATGAGAACTGAGAGGACAGGTGGATTTTCAGATGTGCATCAGAGAGACACAAGGAACCTCATGCAATAGTCACACTACCTTTGGGTCTCCAGGAGCAAAGCAGCTGATATAGTTGTTGATCTGTTTAAAGACAAAGCCCCTGTCCATGAAGGTGAAACATCTCTGTGGAGAAAAACAACCCACAAAGGTCAGTATTTCAGGCCTATACTTTTTGGAAACTTAGGCTAAAATCAACACTTGTTAAGGATAAAAATCAGCGCTTGTTTAATAAGTTATAAACTTGTTTAGTAAGTTTATTTTTCAGCATAAAAACACATCACTGTCTATGCACTCTGCTTAGGAAAAACTTAAAAAGCACATCTTAGTTGCAGCTGACGCCCTCTCCCCTGGAGGTTCCCACCTTGATGAAGACCGCTAGGCTATGATTTGCGTTCTTGGATGCCTCTGGGTTATCTCGAAACTTCTGTGTGATGTGTGGCATCAGCATATTCACAACAGTTTCCACTGCATGATGGTAAGATGCAGGAAATCTCTGGTTTCGTAATAACTAAAAGGAATTCAAAGCAAGCATTTACTATTTTTTTTAGTTGCAATCCTTTAGGGGAAAATATCTTAACTTGGAGTCCATTTTTTAAAACCCAGAGTTCTAATCTTATTTGTCTGAAATTAGATAAAATGAATTACTCTTCTTTCTCTCAAAGTACTATACAAGTGTTCAAATATTTCAAATAAGTGCCATGGATACACTTCAGCATGATAAAGACTGTCTATAAAAGTGGAGCTACAGTTTCTATTCCCAGAGATTCTGACCTAAAAGCTTGGCAGGGAGAAGGTATAGGAACCTGCATTTTTAGTTAACATCTTTGGGGATTCTGGTGTCTGCACCTCTTTTAGAAAACACTGGTCTAGGCTTATGCTCCAAGTACTCAAAATAAAACACACAAAGATTGATGACTGTACATGACCAGTTTAAACTGCTTAAGAGGCAGCAGTCTGCTTCTAGTTAAATTTACATAATAATCTTTATCATTAATATTTACCTAAAAAATTATATTGACTACTTAGCAATTAGCTACCATTTGTCATTGAGTATCTTTTTACATTAGGTATGTTTTTATGCACTTTTTCATTCGAATCTTATGAAATCCCCATGAATTTAGTCCTCATTTTACAGAGGAACAGAGAGGTTAAGGAAATGTGTCCTTAGTCACACAACTAAAATGCTTCAGACCCAGCTCTACCATGAGTTTAAAGCCTGTGCTCCTGCTAAGGGAGACCACACTGACTCCTCTCCTGGACACATAAATAAAACCATCAGCTGAGAATCTGAAACAGGGTGGTGGGGTGATACGAAATTACTTAAATGCTCCACTATATCTATCCATTGATGCGTTCAAAGAATTCTAACTGCCATGTGAGGGGAGTCTCATCATCCTCATTTTACAGATGAGAAAACTGAGGGTTAGAGTTCAGTAAACAGTACTAACCTCTAGTTTTGAAATTTCAAAGGGACTGTGTTCCAATGTGTAACCAATAATTCTATATCCTGAGGTGTTAGCATTAATATATGAGTGACTTCCAGGACTCTGGAAAGGACAACTAACCACAAGGCATGACTGCTAGTCACCCAAGCTGGCCACTCCCGAAAAAGTGGTATCCCTATGGACTTTGGGAGGGGGCTGAGTCAATGACTGCTAAGGCCATGAAAAATGGATGAAGAACTCTATCATGTATACATTAAGTGAACAGCAGGCCAACCTATTAGCTAATGTTGTTACTATCACTGAAGGTAGGACAACCAGACATAGAGGCCTCCTGAGACCATGCGGTAATACCAGCTATGATGTATCGTTACCAGAAAGAAAATAAAACCTAAATCAAATCAGGCTCCAGACATAACCACTAATTTATAGGAAATTCAGGGATTAGAGAACCATGTTATGTAACACTATGAGATTCTAATCAGCGAAATCTAAAATGTGAGAAATTCTGATGGACCAATGACCCACTTTCTTTAACAAATATGTTCAATCAAAAAGTGAAGAGGGAACAATTTGAGAATCAAAAAAATCTCAGATTCACATCAATAATATGCAATATGTGGACTTTATTTAGATCCTGATTCAGCCAAACCAACTGTAACATGACATTTTGGGGACACCTGGGGAGAACCGAATACAGACTGGGTGTGAGACGATGATAAAGAAATATTGCTAGTTTTAAAATGTAATGCTATAAGAGTTATATCTTTTTCAAAATCTGTTAGAAATGACACACTAAGCATTTCAGAGATAAGATGCTGGTAAGCTGCTTTTAAAATGCTGTAGGCAAAAAAAGTGTAGTTATGTAAAGCAAGAATGGCAGAATGTTGCTAACTGCTGAAGCTGAACTACTGGATTACGTGAGAATCATTACACTACTCCCTAAACTTCTAGACTTAAATCTCCACTGTTAGTTTTTATTTTAAAAGATGTGAAGAATGATGGATAATTTACATAATAGTCCATAATTAATGCTGCTCAGTGATTAGAAAATGATAACTTAGAGCTGTAAAGGCTGAAAAGAAGTTTCCCAGCAGTGAAAAACAGCTATGGTAGTGGTAGAGCTCTTGCCTACTATGCTTAAAGCCCTGGGTTTGATCTACACACACACACACACACACACACAAACAAATCCTAATTTAGCAATAAAACAAATTAAAGTCTTTTTACAAGGCAAGACATACACATCCAAAGATAATAAAGACTTAGGTAATTAAATATTTTTTTATAAAGATTACTAAGATTACTATAAGCTGAAATGGAAAGAAAACCTCTGGGACAATGGGCTAGTGCCCAGGGTGGTAAATATATAAGAGCAATCAAAGGAGAGGACCCAACTTCTGGCCATGGTTGCTGGAGGGTCTCTTGTCAGTGCCACTGCAGTGTCCCCATTGAGCCAGCACCACCATCTGCTCCTCCAATGGAAACTGCCAGTGTGGGGTCTGCAGCCCAGCCTATTCTCACAGGACCAGCCCCCTCCAGCCTACCTGCTGTGGAGTCACTATGTCTATCCTGCTGGCTGTGACTCCACTACATGGGATCTCCCTGAAGACCCACATCCAACCTGGCTGCTGAGGCCCCTGTGAGCACTGCTGTTAAAGCCAGCGGTTTGCAGAGACTCAGCAATGGGCTCCCCTGCATCCTACAGGTCTCTGCTCCTCCAATCACTGCTGTGCTGGTGAGCACTTGGGAACAGTCATCAAATGTTCACTTCTGTGTTCCTTACTGAGTCCTTCCACTCTCTAGTGGGGTTTAGAGACTTCTTTTCTATGAATTGTTTTACTACTCTGTGAGACACAATAAATAAGACTTAATAAGTAAACATTTTGTTTAGGCTTTGTAAACAACAACAAAAGTAACAGGGCTAAGAACTTCGTCAATGACTTTTGTCAGCAATCTGAGTTAACCTCTCCTTATCACAGTCCCTACCTAACTACCTCTCCTTCCCAATTTTTCTACAACTTATTTTCTTCCACTTATCTCCTTATAATTTTCTGCCACAATAATCATTCTCTGTAGATTCTCCATGTTCATGTCCCTCTCTACCCAGATGGTGCCATGAGAACTATGCCTCAGATCTCCAATTGCAGTGAACAGAGGTGCCTGATAGACCCCTCTACTGTGCTCTGAAAGCTACTGCAGTGTCTGTGCCATCCATACCTTGTACTGTCTGCTCCCAGCCAATAACTAAGGGGGCAGAGATGCAAAGGCAGGCTTGTTACTGGGGGATGTGGACTCTGGTAACTGGCTTTGGTTCCAGGACTCTCTCTTAAGATCACACTGTGCTTTCGGAAGTTCCCTTCCCTTTCGCTCTCCTTAACCTGGAACAGACTGAACCCTCCTTTGATGGCTCTCCCACCATCTCTTGGGCTACTTCCTCACAGTCATTGCCTTAATAAATCTCCTTCATGGGAAACTGATCTGTCAACTGAGACTAACACAATCCATTTTTCTCAGAGAAAAACTTAGGCTTATGATTTCAAGCAGACTAGCACTCACAAATCTATTTCCCTAGTTCTAAGCCTGAGTCTCCACCTGTGGACTGGAAATTGGTTCTCTGTGCCATTACCCCTTTTGACAGCTGCTGGCTGTCACCCAATATTGTTCCTCCCTCCCTCCCTCCCTCTCTCCCTCTCTCTAAAAAAGCAGTGTTAGAAACCAAACCCAGCTCAACAAAACTGGACACATGGATATCCAGACTAAAGACTTCCATCCCTTGCAGCTAGGTGTGGCCATGTGACTAAGTCTGGACAACAGGGTAGCAGTGGCAGCAATGTTTTCAAGTTTAATCATATCCTAAAAGGAAAAGGTGTGTCTTTCCCTTCCTACTGGCTGCAATGTGGATGTGGTGGCAACAATATTAAATCAGCACTCCAGCGGGGCAAAACAATGAGAGGGAAGGAGCTATAAGCTCCTCCTATAAGTGCAAGCTATAAGTTTACACTTGAACACTCTTGTTCCTTGTTTAAGTTACTGTTATGTCTTTATCACAGCACCTGAACCTACAGCCCTAAGGTTTAAGTTATTCTAAGCAGAACTCATCACTGCCCATCTCCCCAGTAAGTCACATCCCCTGCTCCACTCAACTTTGACTTTACTATGTTCTGTGTGTTTTAGGTTAGGGTAATGATGTATAATTTATATACAATAAAATCCAGACTTTTAAAGTGTGAAGCTGGGCAAGTCTTGACAAGTGAATACAGTGTGTAACCACCACAGACAAGAAGACAGTCCACTTCTGTCACTTCCACTCTCCATGCCCAGCTCCCACGTCCACTCACCATGCTGTTTTCTATCCCCATAGATCTTCCTTTCCTAGAATGTCACTATCAATGAACTTGCTCAGTGTGTAGTCATTTGTGTCTGACTTTTCTCACTTAACATAGCACTTCTGAGATTCATTCATTTTGTTGCAAGAATGAGTATTCTGCTCCTTTTTATTTCTAAGGGTATTCCATTATACAGGATTGCCACATTTGCTTATAAATCCAGCTGATGGGCATTTGGGTTGTTTCTGGTTTTTGACTACTATGAATAAAACTTCTATGAAATTTGCATATGAGCCTTTGTGTGGATACATTCTTTCATTTCTCATTAATATACACCCAGCAGGGAACTTCTGGATTGAATTCATAATTCTGTCTTAATACTGTCTCTTATTCACTCATGATGCTATTCATTCTCAAACGGAATCCCACCTCATCTTTCCTGATGCTAGATTTTCATCAGCATCATCATAAAATGTCATTTCATGCTATAGCAGTTAATTAAAGAAAAGAGAGAAAAAAAAATATATATATATGATATATATATGAATATGTACATATGTGTGTCCCACATAGGACACAACTCTAGATAGAAACTTATATATCAGTGAGTCTAAGTTACTTTGTTAACATTTATATCTTTTTAAACTTCATTATTCCTATTGAAGAACCTACTCTACCTCTCTGATCTCTATACCAAACTGTCAGCTGCTTGGTTTCAAAGCTCCAGATAATCTAATCCTTATTTTTGAGTTAATCCTGTTTTTCACTCTCCTCCCTCTAAGCTCAATCTAGCCACCCTGAGCTCTGCTCCAGAGGCTTATAGCTGTCTAAGACTCATTCTTCTTTCCCTGAGTTGTGGCATCCTTCCATGCCCAGGTTTCACACTAATCTCTCATCACTCCTGGAACCCACACATACACATACCTTCCTGAATTATGCTCTGTTTGTCTAAAGCTGAATGTCTTCTTTTTCCAGTGATCATGTCAGCTTCAAGGTTGAGGCTGTGTCCTCTATTCCATTTGCATTTCTCCTCTGTGCTCTGTGCCTACCAACTGTTCAAAATACTCATAGATGGAAGTGTGCATATTAACACTCTGTCACACAGGTACAGGTGTGCATAAATGTTGGTTTAGGGAAAGTCAAAACAATCCATTTAGGAGAAGAAACATATCATCCTTCTTGCACTTTACAAATAAAAGTTCTTTTCTTGTGCAATTAAGCTAGAAATTAGTTGCAGGCTAAACAAGTAACTAACTTAGGGGTATATATGCACCCTTTCCTATGCCAGTTTCTCAGCCTCCTTTCCTGAAGGACACTTGTGGAATGCTAGTACTTAGCTGGATTCAGTGTGGGAGGAAAGGACATCAAGTCTAATTAAAATATACAATCCTAACTTCCATGTGTAAATTCTCAATAACCACAAGACAAACATATAAACAAGTAACTTGAACATATAAAGCTCATCTCTCCTAAGATATGAGGCAAACTGCATGAAGGCTTTAAAAATATTAGAGGAGTCCCTGTATCAATCATGTGTGGGAAGAGCAGCTGGCATCTTCAGTGACAGAGGCAGAAGCCAAAGAAGTGGCATAAAGTGAAAACATGAAGTACTCCCAAGGGGAAAGGAGGTGTTTTAAAATTTCTTTTCAGAGTAAGTTATGTTGTGGTTAAAGCTTTCTCCTTTTGGATGCCAGTGCTCTCTTTCAGATACAACTGGATAATAATTTTTTTTTTTAAAAAAAACAGTAACTTCTAAAAACACTCTGAATATTATTTTAGGACCAAAATATAATTAACTTATGGAAAAGGCTGTTCATGGTAGCATTTGAGTGGTTTGGATAAAGTTCCAAAGAAAAATAAGCCACTTCCCAGAGCAGAGGTGCTAGGGAATCAGTCATAAGGCTGGAAGTGGCAGGACATGTGGGAGGGTCTGACCACAACCAGTCAGGTGATCCTGGGCAAGTCACTTTGTAGGTCTGTACTTCCTCCTCTGAGACAGGAGTGGGGGTTGGATCAGAAGATAACCTTCAGGTCCCACCACTCCTAGAGGGCTGTGGTTTAATTTGGCATCTTGACAATAAAAACATGCAATTAAATCCCTTTACTAATCTCTTAACATAGTTCTAGGAAAAATAGCACTGAGGCTTGGGTTATTTTTTGGGGGGAGGCACCAGGGATTAAACGCCGGGGCACTTGACCACTGAGGCACATCCCCAGCCCTATTTTGTATTTTATTTAGAGACAGACTCTCACTGAGTTGCTTAGTGCCTCGCTTTTGCTGAGGCTGGCTTTGAATGATGATCCTCCTGCCTCAGCCTCCCAAGCCACTGAGATTATAGGCATGTGCCACTGCGGCTAAGAATTCCGGGAAGTGTCCATTCCCTCCTGGACCATCATTGCCATCATAAGAAGGAAGCAGGCAGCTGTAGTGCTCTGATGGACTTGGTTCCCAGCTCTTTACCACCACAGTTCTTTTTCTCAGCCCAGTATTCATTCTCCTTCTTCAGACCTAGCCAACTCCTACCTATTGGTCAGAACTCTCTAGTTTCACTATCCCAGGCAGCTTCCTTGCATTTGCACTCCATGTCCATCTCTCATAGTTTCACCATGAGACCACTGAGGTATTTATATACGCTTTCCCACTAACTTCCTCAATGGCACAAACCATGCCACATTTAATTTTTTAACACTTGAGCCTCGCACAAATGAATGTTTGCTGAATGAATCAGTTATATTTTTAAATACAGTCAAGTCACCACTTGCTCTGATCACATTAATTTAGAAACAAAAATAACAAAAAATCTCCTGGGGCCTTGATACAGGCTGAATTGTCCCCCCACCCTCAAATTCATATGCTGAAGTTCTAAATCCTGAAATATCTCAGTAGGTGACTGTATTTGGAGATAGGATCCTTAAAGGAGTGATTAAGGTAAAGCAAGACCATTAGGGTGGCCTCAATCCAGAAGGACTCTTATCTTCAAGAGGAGAGAATATGACATAGACCTGCACAGGAGAAGGCAGCCATCCAAAAACAGAGAGGCCTCCGAAGAACCCACGCATGCAGACATCTTGACCTAGGACTCCTCAGCATCTCGATTGTAAGAAAATAAATTTCTATTGTCTAAGTCACCTATTCCTTGGTTCTCTATTATAGCAATCCTAGAAAACTAATGCAGGTTATAATCTCATTCCGTACATGACAACATTTTTAACAGAAAAGTCATATATTCAAATATCTGCGCGCATGCACACACACACACACACAGGCATGTATACTGCCAAGGAGACAATCTGCTAGATTTTTTCCTTGGCAGGATGTTCTGGCATGATTTAGATGGTGCATTTCTCTGTGGAAGCAGGGCCCACTTCCATCTGGCATCTCCCTGTGCATTAAAAATCAGAATCTTTAAATTGGATTTAAAAGAAACATCTTCCTCCCACAAAATAATAACAACAACAACAACCCCACAACGGAGAGCCACCTGGTCAGACACCAGTGCCTGTTCTACTGGAACAAAGTACGGCTTTGGGTTCTGAACCACTAACCTTCTGTCCAATACAACAATATAGCAGCCTTTCCAAAGGCTTCCTTTGAGTCCAGACCTCTTGGGCAGAAGGCCTCAATCTGGACTTTCTGAATGTCCCTCCCTGTGAGTTCCCTCTCCTGCCTGTGAGAATCACAGCCCAGGAATTCACTGTGAGAAAGTGTGTGGGGCACTACACCCTCAACTCCACTCTCCGCACTGTTCCTCCTACTCCTAACCAGACCCCACATCCAGCTATCCTATGGCATAGTTCACTGTCCTGTCTCATAAGGAATTCTTCTAAAACTGAGAAAGTGACATTGCCAGCTGTATTTATGCATTGTAACTTTATACAGATTTAACTCCCTTAAGCCTTAGATAGCCAGTGGGCCAATCACATATCAAGAGGCACCAGCCTAGAGACCAGGTCCATCATTCAGGGATGAACCCTATAGGTCAAAGGGGCAGCATGAGATGGTGGGAATCAGGGGACAGTGTCACAGGCACACACATTCAGGCACCACCAATCAAAGGTATTAAGGGACAAAGCAAATTTGAGATTGTACATTTGTGCAGAGATGGATTCTCTCAAAAAGTTCATTAATTGGTTCTAGAGGACACAAGATCCATTAGATACTCCCATCTAAGCCCTACAGAAATGTCTACAAAGGACAAGACACTTAATACAACTACATAATTAAATTAAAATTAACACTTTAACTACTATTCTCATTTCAATAAACCTGAAGCCTTCTATGCTTGTCAAAGGAAAGACATATTTTTCTCTGGATTTAACCACACAGTGGTCAGAAATGAAGGCTGTGGAGCTGGACTATTTTCAAAACCTAGATTCCTCCACTCACTAGCAGCATGACCTTGGGCCTATAACTCAAATGTTCTAGCATCAGTTTTGTCATCTATAAAATGGGTAAGAACAGTATTTTTCTCACAGGGCTGTTTATGAAGCTAAAATAGTTTCTTATAAGATACTTAAAAACAGTCCCATAACTGGCACATAGAAAGCATTAATCATTGTCAGCCACAAACATATCCTTAGGGACTTTTCCCTAAGAATACAAACTTGCACATGGAATAACATACCTTCACTTTGGAGTTTTCTATCAAATGCTGAGCCATGGATTTTATCAGCACGTCAAAGAAAAACCAAGAATACTAAAAGAAAAAATAAAATAGCACCGGAGTAAGAAAAACAACAAATTAGCAGATAGGAGGTGAGCGCTCTTAGGCTGACAGTGTTATTAACCAGAAGCAGGTGTCACACTGAAACACAGTTAACAAGTTATCATGAGACCCAAGAGGTGAGCAGAGATGTCCTCTGCCTCCAAGCCCACAATAAGTAACTCTATTCCACCAGGAAGTTGGATACCTACCCAATAAGGGGTACTGCTGGATTATTTGTGGAGTCATTCCTCTTTACTGGTCTCCTAACTGGTGACAACTGCCTATTCAGTAGGTAAATCAGCATCCCTTCACTGATTTGAGCTTAATGACTTATACTCAAGAGCCAATGAGATTTTGAATGTGGTAATTCTTTGCAGCTCTGATCTCAAGACACAATTAGCAAAGCTGGAATGGAGAACTAATTCTGTTCTCTTTTTTAAGGGGTGGTGATTATATCTAAAATCATACAAAAAGGGTAAACTGATCACGCTGTGGATTCTGAATTTTTGTTCATTAGTTTTTAAAAATTAACTAATTAATTTTTATTTATTTTTTTGAGATGAGGGTCTTGCTGTGTTGCCCAGGCTAGTCTCAAACTTGTAAGCTCAAGCGGTCCTCCTCCCTCAGCCTCCTAAGAAGTAACAAAATCCTGGCTCTTAACTTATTTTTTAACTGATGAATTGTACATATGAATAGGGTACACCATGTAATGTTTCAATAAAGGCACATATTGTATAATATTTTAAAAATGTTAATATATGTCTCTTCACTTTTAATCTCTTTGGAATACCTTTAAACCTTTTCTTCTAGTTTTTTGAAATGTACAGTTGTTTTCTGCCACCTTACTGTGCAACAGCACACCAGAACTTCTTGCTCTTAACTGTACTAAGCACCCACCAATCAATCTTTCCCTATTCCCTGCCCTCGTTACTGAAGAGAGCTATACTGGTGATCCTGACATACCTTAAGTAGTTTGTTGCTGGTGAGGAAATCAGCAGAAGGCTTGAGAATGGTGGTCATGGATTTGGTCAGTTCTTCATGCACTGTCTTATATTCAGAAGCAATGTACGGCTCAGCCTTATAAGCATACTTTGAAGAAATGGGAAAGAGACATTAATGCATTGGTTTTCCAAGTTGGTTTGAAGGTTTGGGAGGCTCCATAGAATGGATATTAGGGACTGAGGTACAATTTCATGGGAAGAAGAGGAAGGAATGAAAAAGAAGGTGGGAAGGGTGATTGTTATGTGACAGAAAGAGGGAGCCCAGGATGTCTTCGGGGAACCCATCAAATACACAAATCATCTGACTCAGTCAGACCAGTGACCATCTATCCCATTACTCCATGAATAACAGGGACTGCAAGGAATGTACCACATGACACTGATAACTAATATCCTAAAGAATCCAATGTTATTTTTTAAACTATCACATAGCTCTAATTAATTCACAAAAGGGATCTTAAACTAAATAGAACATATGTAATTTTTTATAACAGTAACTGCCACCATATTTATTTAATGTTGTATTTACATAAAGCATCTGTTGATGTTTGTCCTAATGATATCTTTTGTTGTCCCACATAGTCATCTCATTTGATTGTGGCCAGAACTATCCTTCCTACCTTGGGAGAAGCCCTTTTAGATGAAAATTTTACATGGAAAAAGATAAAATGAAGGTGACTAACTCTACCAGAGGCCTAGCCAAGAGCAACTTAAAATTCTTCAAACTTCTACACCATTTGAGTTACATACGTAGTTCAAAGGATGAAGTTAAAGGAGTGGTGCCTCTCCTCATACCTCCCCTTGCTTGGGTCTAAGTATTGAGGATAGAGACAGGAGAAAAGCATAGGCATAAATTTCAAGTACATCTGTAAGTAACCAGGCTTGTAAAAAGTAAGTCCTTAGAAGGAAAATTGGAGAGCCACAGATGTAAACAATTGGAACAGTTTGTTTTACATACCTTAACATATGACCTCAAGTGGCTCTCCAATCCTTCCTCATGGCACTGGGCAACCACATGAATAATGACCCTACACATCACAGGAATGAATAAAGCAATGAACAGTAATGCGAAAAATGGAAACATTTCATTATTATCACAGCAGTAGTAGAACAATGATGATGCCATTGGCACTTAAGAAACAAGAAGATGAGGATTTAGATGGGGTCCCTACATAAGGATCAAAAGACATTTCTTCAATAATGTTCAGCACATACTAGCATCCCAGATATGCATGACTATGCTCCAGATGTGGACAGACTAGAAGGAAAGAAGCATATCCGTCCATCCATCTCCCTTACCGAGTCACATTAACTGCCACTTCCTCCTGGGTGGCTCTGGTGAGGACTCGAAATAGCTGGTTCAGGATAGTGGGCAGGAAGGCGATCATCACGTGGCCTTCCATGGCATGCAGACTCTACACACAGGAAACGGCAGAGTTTATGTTAGTTTTTCAATGTAAATCGACCCCAGGTAATTTCCACTTAGCTTCAATTAAATTAGAAGAACTCCTTTTGGAAAGCCAAGTGGGAGGCACAGAATGGCCCCTCAAACATGTCCACGTCCCAATTCTCAGAACCTATGAATATGTCACATGGCAAAGGGGAATTAAGGTTGCCAATCAGTTGGCTCTAAGCTGAGGATTATTTAGGTGGGCCTTATAAGGTAAAAAGATCCTTGAAACTGGAAGAGGGAGGCAGGAGAGAAATGGAGCAGTGGGTAGGAGGAGAACTGTGACCAAGGAAGAATGTCAGAGATGCTGCACTGTTGCCTTTGGGGTGGACGAGTGGCTGTGAATCATCACATATTAAAAAAAAAAAAAACTTTAGTGACATATATTTATATATCCCCCCCCTTGCTTAAACCAAAGAAATCTCTATCCTATTACTCACATTTCTTATTTTGTCCCCTGCCTGCAATGTTTTAGCTACTCTCTCTCATCAAACTGCTTTGCCCCAATCACATTCTAGATGACAGTCCCCTAGTGCTCTTGCTGCCCAGCCACACTAGAAACCTCCCTAACTCCTGCACAAAGCTATGACTAGTTATATGTGTTATTTCCTTGTTTAATTTATCTTCCTAGCACACTGTCACCAAGTTTGCATTACCTCCTGCAATGGAACAGAAATTGCTTAAAGGTAAGGACTGCTTGGTTTGAGCATTCCCTGAAAAGCATGCATTGGAAACTTAATCACCAAGGCAACAGTGTTGGGAGGTGGGGTCCAAGAAGAGGTGATCAGGCCACAAGGGCTCTGCCTTTATGAGTGGATTAGTGTTCTTATTTATGGAGTGGATTCATTATGGTGGGACTGGGTCCCTTACAAAATTATGAGCTTTTGTGCTCTCTCTCCCCTCTCTACTGCCCACTCTTGCTTTTGCTACAAAATGGCACAGCAAGAAGGCCTCACCAGATGTTGGCACCTTGGCCTTAGAATTCCCAATCTCCAGTTCTGTGGGAAATAAGTTTGTTCTTTATAAATTACCCAGGCTCAGGTATTCTGTTAAAGCAGCACAGTATGGACTAAGACAAGGACTGCTTCTTCTGTGCCCACCACTGTGCTCAGTATCCAGTGAGCACTCACAGAGGCCTGGTCAAGTGGGTGGTTTTACATATATGAGAATAATACGCTTTAAGGTCCAGTTTTGAGAAAACATGGGACTGGCACAAAGGCAAGAGTGGTGCTATTTCCAAGTCCACTTCTCACCACTATTAAAAACCTCATGGAGACCACTGAGGTGATAGCATCCAGGTAACAGCATCCTTACAGAAGTGTAAGGAGAAGAACAACAGTCACCACCAGAAAGAAGACCCTACTTACTTCAGACTCATTACAAGGGGCTACTAAGAAAGTCATCTGATACCTTAAGGTATTTTACAAGTTCATTCCCTAAGGCTTGGGCTCCAGATTCAGTTTTCTGACAGTACTGGAAAAAATTATGCAAATGTTGATCCTAGGGTGAGGGGAAAAGAAAAGGAAAGTCTATTAATATATATATACTATATAAATAGGAATATTTGCTTCTTACAAGCAAGCATGCATGGTTTTTACGATTATGAAACTGACCACATAAAAATGAGAACGTCAAAAAGATCCTCCAGCATAAGAGGAAAATTGTTGAAAATATTACTTGTACTAGTCATTTATATCATTTATATTAATATAATATATATTATATTAATATATATAATATATTATATATATTACATATGAGTAGCTTCTATGTACTTTCTTTAAACAAAGATCCATAGAGTAAAAGTATATCTGTATAACATACTGCTGTTCTGTTTTACAAAAAAAAGAAGTACAAACTCAATCACAGAGCAATCACTGCTAATTTTAATGGACCAGCACATACCTGAGTATACACTGTAGAAACCAAATGAGTTGAAACTTTCAGCAATGGCTTGCCTCCATCTACCCATTTAATTTCTGGACCATAATGCTGAAAAAATATGCAGGGGAAAAAAATTACAAAACATTAACTATCTGAGCTTCCAATATGATCATCAGTGAGGACTGATGAGGAAGTGAGGACTCAAATAGCTATGCTTGGCCAAAGCAAGAATGCAGCAGATACTAATTTCTGTCCTTTCCTAAGAAAAACACTTTTCTTACTGGAAGAGTCAAGTATCTGTGTTGATTTTAACTTCTGAAACCTCCTTTTTTGGTCACGTTTAGGCTTAAAATTATAACTGAAAGTTATATGATTTACCCTTCTTTTGGCAGACCTTAACTATTTGTCCATAACTTATACTGAAATTTGGTATTATTTAAGTGCTGAGAAACACTGCTTTCATGAATCAGAAAAATTTCAGAATGGGCTTCTATGTGGAAATAGATTTGCTTTCTGGATTTATAGTAAGCTGGAAGAAAATTCCTAATAATTTTCATGACCCTAAAAACTCCTCATTTGAGCATGACTGACTACTTTTCAGAGTCTGACTTCTTCCTTCACCAATGTCTTCAAGTTTCTATTTCCCCACTGAGGCATTGCCAGTTCAAGGCTTATAAGATGCCCACACTATAATTCTGACATTGGGGTAAATATAAACTGAAATGGCTTCTAACTGCCAATATTTACATGATAATGAATAACAAAAATCAAAACGCTGGAAATGGTAAAAAGTTTGTGTGCTACTTTGTGTTGTTGTTTTAGTTGTTCTTTAATGTTTTTTTTTTTTTAAGGAACTGAGATAAATTAGTCTTCAAATCCCGTACCCTGCCCATCCCAAGCTCCTGGTAGCCAAGATAGCCTGATGGAAGGTTAGCAGAAACAGGGATGTGCTGCTCATTGGTCACCACTCTTCCATCCTTCAAGAGAGGCAGCCAGGAATAGCCCACTGTTGAAAACAAAGAACAAAAACCCACTCTCAGTATGCAAAACCTTGTGAAAGAAAGCCAAAGTAATTGATTTTTTTTCCAGAACTGTTAATATCAATCAAAATAAGAAATTTAAAAGACTAACTATGATTGCAGGATATTTTCTAAAATGTACTTTGGCCTCAGAATTGAAAAATTCCTTTTATTCTGGCCACAGCAAAAATGCAGCCAATACTAATTCTGCCCACTGCCCTTTTCTAAGTACAATACTTTATTGGCTGGGTTTTCTAAGTCATCTTTCGGTTTAGTTGCAGTTATGTTTAGTTGCATAAATTTATATATGCAACCCAGGAATGCTATTTTTGTGTTACCTACAAATCTCATACAAAACAATGCAAGTTCAGAATCAAAATCAATTTAAGAATCTAGTGTGGAAATGATTAAACATCAACCTTGTGTTTCAACAACATCCTTCTTCTTTGTGCTTCCTTTACTTGAGTTATCACAGCTGACATGGAAGAATGTGAACAACAAGTGGTGCTTTTCATGTAGCTGGGTGGGCAATTCTATTTTAATCTGCAAGGAAGACAAAATAACAATCTTTCCAACATTATAAAGCATCAAAAATTCTTGCAAAAGTGGAGATATGTGTACAATGTACATTTTGTTCTCCAAACTGTTATTAGCGATTGTATTCAAAGACAGCTGAGCTGTAAGCAGTGCCAAGACAGAAATGGATCCTGAATCCACTGCCCAGAAACAGAAGAGATAGATGATGGACATTTCAAATCTACAAGAACTGGAAAGCACAGGACTCTGACCATTATGCTAACTTCACACAACCAAAGCATATGAAAGACCAAGTTAGAACATTTCAAAGTAGATTTGAATAGCAGCTTTTATGAACTACTGTTGATCCTTGAATAACATGGATTTGAACTATGTGGGGCCAATTACATGTATAATTTTGTTTTCATTTTATAGTGCTAGAGGTTGAATTCAGGGCCAAGCACGTGCTCCACCAGTGAGCTACCCTGCCCAAGCCCTATGCAGAATTTTTCTGGAGATTCTCAACAATTTGAAAAAAACTTACAGACAAACCATATAGCCTAGAAATATTTTTAAAATTAAGGAAAACATTAGATATGTTGTGAATGCAACATTTACTACCATAAGATATACATAAATCTCTTATAAAAAGTTGAAATTTATCAATTTATAGACACATTTACAGACCATACATGGTGCCATGCATAGCCAAGAAAAATGTAAACAAACATAAAGATGCAGTAAATCATAACTTCATAAAATTAACTGTGGTACATGAGTAGGTAATCTCATAGACACTTCCTGTTGCTATTGCAGTGAGCTCAAATGTTGTATGTTATCTGCTTAAAACACTATGTGACACTCATCTCTGTAAGAGGTTTGTCTCTCCAGTAAATTGTGTAAGGCAGTAAAAAGTGGTTCTCATGCATTTTCCCCAATGATAAAAAAGGAAGACTCTCAGGTCCAACAAATGCAATTATACTCAAATATGAATTTGAAAGGAACTATGCCAGGATATTAACTGTGGTAGTAATGGTAGGACTATGATTTTTTCTTTTCTATGTTACTTGCATTTTCTAAGTATATATACATATGTAGGCATTTATGTATTTACTTATTTATTTGTTTGTTACTGTGATGCTAGGGATCAAACCCATGGCCTCATGCATGCTAGGTAGGTGCTGTTCCACTGAGCTACATTCCCAACTCTAAATTTTTATTGTTCAACAGAGAAGACATTAATTATTAGGAAAAAATATTTAAAACAAATATTTCAATATTCAGTTCTATTGCTATAATTTCATTATGGCATGCAGCTTCTCTTTACTTTTGCTATAGCAAGCAAATAAGTTGAAATATCCTTTAAAACTGTTGAATTGGGTTTTCCCCTTGAAAACATCACTTACCTCATCATAAAATTCTGGGTTCTGGTGATGGTGTAAAACCGCAGCAAAGGCGCTTCTTGTGAATACTGGGCCACCAGGTCTGCCATAAATGCACTGAAATAAGAGTTAGCAAGGGCAAACACAAGGGTTCAATTAGAGGAGTAAAAAATTAAACTCAGATGCATTGTTAAGAAAGTGGTGTCCTACAGCAAAAACAACACAACCTCCTCAGACAGATTTCTTCTGCCTAGGAGACTACTGGCTTGCAGGCCCTCCCAGACCACCCACCTGGGCATCTCCAGGACTATTTGCCTGCTCCCATTCCCACTGCACCCCATAGGCTAAGGACTTGCTCACAATTCCCTTTTATACCTCCACCCCTGCCCAAAAGACCTTTGCCCTTGTGTTGCACCAAGCAAACTCATGCATCCTTCGAAATCTGGTAACTCCTTCTTTTGTGTCCTCTCAGCATTTTTCCTCACTAATTATTCAGTTTTGTAAAAAAATCTATTTCCATACCTTCTGTGTGCCCGGAGCTTTTTCTTCATGTTTGAGTTTCTCACTAAGCTGTAAATTTCTTGCAGGTAGATAATATATTCCTTTTTTTTGTCTCCTTCCCTTTTTGGAAGGTCATTTTAACACAGTAAAAAAATTGAGCTCTGTAGCTAGACTTCCTGGATTTAAATCTCATTTCTACTAATGTATGTTATGAGCAATTTATTCATATTCTGTGCATTACTCGTCTAAAAATATGGATCTGAATAATATCTAACTCAAAACACTGTTATGAGAATTAAAAAAGTTAAGGTACACATAAGAGCAGTGCCCAAAGTACAAACAGTATTCAACAAATGTTATCTAAAATCCACTACTATTGTACTGCTGTCCCATGATATGCATTTAATTAAAATCATTTGTTGATTATTAATTCCATATCAATATTACTAATATCATAATTCTTAATACCCATATAATGCCTGCCTCATGACATGTACACAATATGGATTTACTGAATTGTTAAGAAAGTGGTGTCCTACAGCATAAACAACATATGTATAAGAAATTTCATCCCTAAAGAGAATAACAAAATAGTCAATTAGGAGCCAGCATGTGAGTATTCCATATTCTACAAGGTTCAGCATACTTAGTTATATGATGTAACACCATATATTTTTGGTTTATGTCAATTAAAATTGCTAAATTTGTTTAGTTATACAACAGCATGCAAATGCACTTTTAAAACAGAAAAATCAGAATATGCAGGTGAATATGCATAAAAAAATCAAACCTTTAGAGGCTGAGAGTCTTCCTCATCTGAATCTTTGAATTCAATGCAAATAGCAATATTTCTGGCCTGTGGCAATATTAAAAGAAAAGAAAATAACAAAAAATAACAACAAAAAGTTAGAATACGTAAATATAAAAGTACAAGGGAAGTCAAATCCTAAAGAAGAGTTTGATATCAAGAATGAAACTGCAATCTTCGCACTCACCTTGGCAAAAGACTTTTGACTATCATATTTCAAGTATTTAGGATAAACATAAAGATGATTGTTGTAGACAGTGTAAGGCTGAGTGTGTTTTGGTATGCAGGGCACAAATTCCTCTACTTCAAATGTGATTGGAGTTTTAGTACAGGCTTCAAATTGCTTCATGGGTATGTATGATGAATTCACATAATCTGAAAAGATATTCAGAACAATTCAACTAAAGTAAAAACCAATCAAACAAAAAACTTGTCTGTTTACTATATAGAACTTATACTTACTAGGGAAATCCAAGGAAACATTATCAATTGTAATGTCTAGATTGCCTAAAATCACTGGGAGTTTTGCCATCTTCTCAGGTCTACAAACAAAAGAAGAGCACATCAAACACTTATAACTTACTAACTACGAAACCTAAATTCGAGAGCAGCACTTCCAAGAGAAGTGCATTTATGAAGCAAGCCACAAAAGCAGTTATATTTTCTAGTAGCCACCTGAAGAAACTGTAAAAAGAAAACCAGCAAAATATTATTATTATTATTATTTTGCAGTATGGAGGTCGGACCCAGGTCCTTGGGTGTGCTGAGCAAGTGGTCTACCACTGAGCCACATCCCCAACCTTCGGTAAAATTAATTTTAATACTATATTTAATTTAATCTGACAGATCCAAAATATTACAATTTCAGTATATAATCAGTATAATAATGTGCAAAGTCTTCAAAACCAGGTGTGTGCTTCTCAGTTCAGACTATCTATATTTCAAGTGCTCAACAACCAAATGTGTCATAAGCTACGGTGTTGAACAGCATGGGTCTAGATAAAGAACACCAATAAAACAGTTAGAAAGTATTATTTAGAACACTTATTTAGAACCATCAACATTCAGAATTAGAAATCATTAGGTCCCAATGGCTAAAAAAATGCTGGGTAGAAAATAGACACTACTCAATGAAACAGTTGTTTGTCTTTGATCTGACTCAATCCAATACAGGCATTTCCTCTGATGTTCCTGACAAGCACTGCTGCTCTCCAACCCTTCCCAGTGGCAAGGAAACTTTCCATACAGCCATTCCCATGGCAGGCTGCTCTTCCTCTTAGTATAGTGAAATTTACTTTCCCCAAGCATCTGTTCCTCAAGGGGGCTGGTTCTGTCCCTCTATCTGTCAACCACCTAGAGCCCCACATTCTCAAGTCCTCCATTCTTAGCACTTCGGTGCCTTCTTTTAATGCCACTTCTCTCCCTGAAGAACATGCTATTAAATCATGGTGCAGAACTTCACAGATTAGGAGCTGTGTAGTCTGACCAGCTGGAGTAGAGCAATTGTCTGGTTTGAGCAATAACTCATTTACTAATGCAGCCCCAATGTCATTACTTTTGATAACCACATCACCCTAGTGACCCACATTAAATTATAAATCACCTAAAATCTCAACATCTGTTTTCACATGCTTTATTATCATGCTCATCTCTGTGCCCTGTCTTTATACAATTATGATTTTGGACTTCAGAATAGGATTTTATTTTACCTAATGAAATTTCATCTTTTTACATTTGAGCCATTTCTAATTGATCTGAATCCAGAGTCTAAGATCTAATGTATTAAATATTCCTAAGAGCTTTAAGTCATGAAGACATTTAATCAGTACATTATATCCTCATAAACATTATTGATGAAGATACTGCACAGAATATTGCTAAGAACAGGCTCCTTCTCAAATCTCCAGAGGCCCCTTTCCAGATGAACACTAGTCTGTTAAACACCCTTCCTGGTGTCTGATTATTCCAGCAACTGAACAACGCCTACTCACAAGTGTAACACTTTTCTGATTTGTTCAAAGGATATAAACATGATAAATTCATTCTGCCAGGGCCTTGCATTTCTCTACTTCACCAGCTTAGCAACCTTTAAAATAGGGAAGAAATGAGGGAGGTAGGATAACTAGCTCAATATGACATGACCTATTCCTAGAAGACAGAATGCCACCACATGGCTCTTCATAAGCCACCTGTTTAACAATTTCTTTCAGAGTGTGGCCAAGGAACGTAAGAGCTTAGTGGCCAACAGACTCAGCATTTGGTTTTGATCCCATTTTTTAAAAGTTCCTACTTCTTATTTTTAAAGAATCCTCTGACATTACTGCTGTCCATTAAGCAGTCTCACATGAAAATTCTCAGTATATCTTGGAATCTTATTTATCTGAATTAGGACCTATAAAAATTTGAAATTCTTGCTTTCTTACAACCAGAGGCCATGTTGACTCGTTCCTTCTCAGCCCATCCCTTCCTGGTGCTAAGATGCAGAATCTCTTTCTCTGAAGGTCTCTCATTTCCACTTGTCTTATATTTGCACATGAGTTTAAATGTGCAATTCACTGAAATCCCAAGAGATACAATAATCAGGAAGGCAAGTCAATATCTCATAAGTCAATAAATTCTTTCTTTGGTTAAAAAGAGTTCTAGCTAAGAGATCTCCAGGTACAGTGCAGCATCTCCCTGCGTTTTGCCTCTATGGCCACTGTGAGAGATGTTTCACACAAACACATGGTCTGTCTTTTCCAGCAGGAGAAGGGTTAGTGTTTCCTCTACAGTCACTTCCTGAGAGCTCCCAACTACATCCCAAGCGCTATGTATTACCACAATGGTATACATCACACAAAGTTCTTTAGCGGAATTGACCCTCAGATGCATGGGATTTTATGCAGGTGAAAATTTCCTGGCACATATTGCCCCACTCCACCTCTTTATTTGAGCAATTTAGCATTGCAACATCCCAGAAAACACTGCAATCCACAAAATCTTATAAAAACCTATGACATTGTGTCTGCTTCCCTGAGTTTGAAATATTCCATTTATTTTTTAAAAATATTTTTTAGTTATATATGTATACAACATCTTTATTTTTATGTGGTGCTGAGGATCAAACCCAGTGCCTCACACATGTGAGGCAAGCACTCTACCATTGAGCTACAGCCCCAGCCCAAAATATTCCATTTATTATAAACAACAGTTTTAAAACTAAGTATCCAAGAGTAGTGTTTTTTCACTTGCTCCTTGTTATTTCCATCTAGGAATGATTAGGCATCTTCTTTATTTTAAAAACATCACTCCAATATCATCCACATTTAAATTTTTGAGAGAGCTAGACTTCTAAGCAGACAAATTTTAAATAAACAATCTTCACTGGAAATATTTCTACAACATATTATGTACTTCATACCTAAATACATCTATTTCTTACTGTTTCCTCTCTACTGAGATCTTTTCCTTGCAGTGCTGCTTCTATGCGGGCAGTATTTCCAAATGTTTCCAAGCACAGATCTGAGCTCAGTCTATACCACAAGGCTTTGTGAAAGCTGTTTACCAGCTTTAAGTTTTTAAAAACATGATCTTAAACCTATTTCAAAAGTTTATGGGTGTTGTTGAACCTGGCTTACTAAAAATCAAAATCTCTGCTGCCATTTTTTTATGTATTTCCAAGTGGTGCTGTGAATGTGTGTGTGCCACATGTGGTGAATTCTCTCATTACTGGAATCAGATGTTTTTTGTTTTTAGTGCTAAAAAGTCTATATTTTATGTAAAAATTTACAAAATAATGCTTGAACATGAATACCCATTTTAAAACTGAATCAATCTGATATAGATGTACTTAAGATATCTGGCACCTGGAAAATGCTCCTGTCTGTGTGTAGACTTAGGTGCTAGGATCAACCTTTTTCTTAGGAAAAGCTCTTTCTTCCAACAGCAAGAACATTCCTGCTGACTCAACAATTTTCACAGAGGGAAGGGGAATAGAATCACAAACTAGCAGTCATCCTGTGTCCCTGGACTTGGGGTCCTTCCCTATGTATTTCTGCAGCTTGGACCTCTCTTTCCTACTTTCTGGATTGTTCCATTACAATGGTTAATTGGCTATACAGGCATGCTTGCTGATGGTGAATTTAATCTAATAGCATTTTGTAAAAGGAAATAATCCCTAAAAGCTGTGGTATCATAAAACAAAAACACCAACAAAAAAACCCCTTCTATTTCTGGTTGCTCTGGCTGGAAGGTTGAATATTGAGTGTCTGGAGAGGTCAGACTGCTGTCAGGGAAAGTATACCAGCACTTTTCCTGAGCAGGAGCCACCCCCTTCAGTGGAGGTTGATCTCCACCAAACTTAAGATTCACTTCAAATATAGAAAAAGTTCATGTGATCATATGTATTCAAAAGCATTAATTCAAAAGCATTTTAAAAGAATCATCTTAAAAAGGCATAATGGCCCCTTGGACATGGATATGTACCTGAATATATTCATGGAAAACTGTAACTTCCAACTGTAGACCATGGGGGATAGAAAGGGCAACATTCAAAGTTTCACATTATATCAACATTCCAGGAGAAGCTGGCTGCAAAAGGGCGCAGGGGTCCAGGGGACTGAAGTGAAGCTTGGAGACAAATGTTTGGCTTTGCACACAATGTTTCCTTTGTTGGTGCATTACTCAAAGGACTCAAATGGGGATTTGCTGCTTTTGTGGTAGCTGTAGGGGCCAAATATTATCTGGAGTCCCAGAAAAAAGGATAAGAAGCCATCAATGAAGATAGTGCCTGGAAACATCTTCATGATTTCTTAACTCTTATAAAAATAAGATTTTTTCACTGTTGTCTGAGTGTTTGTTCTAAGTAAGAATGAGACTAAGGTTTTTAGATGTCTGTTTATTTGTATATACTAGTAAGGTTTAATAAAGTAAGAAAAACATAAAAAATAAAAAGAAACATATGATTGAAAGAAATGACATGTTTTTGTTTAAACAAAAATCATTTATAAAGTTATATCTATGAGAAAATCCAATAAGCATTTATCAAGTGCTCAAGATGTGTTACAATGGACACTATACTCAGTACTATGGGCAAAGTACAAGTGAGATATACTTCCAGTCCTCAAGAGGACAAAACCTCTTCATATTGTCAACTACTTATGACAAAGGAGGATAATTACTCTCATGCAGCATGTACAAATCTCTACCAGAAGGTTTAGTGTCTAGCTCTACTTAGAAGCAACAAAGGAGACGAGACCAGCAGAGAAATACCACTCTAACATGGCCTTTTATTCATCATCACCACTGCTCTAGGTGGCAGGGTTATTATGACCCACCCTTAAAAAGAAGACAAGACTTGGGCAAAGAAGCCAAGAAACTTGCCCCAGGTCTCCTCAAAAGGATATGAGCTATGGACTGAGTACTGAAAAATGAGGAGAGTTCTCTCAAAGAAACACAGATTGATAAGGGACATGCATGCTGTGTTTGTAATCTGTGTGCTGCCAATGGGAAAGGATGGGGACACAATTTGGACAGAGGAAGAGTATGGTAAAGTCAAGGTCCACAGTAGGTTTGAGAAAATCAAGTAGTCCTACCTAGCTTGATACAGTGTCAACAGAGTGAAGCAGGGGTGAGAATGTAAAATGGGGATGCAAAGAAAATAAATGTCTGAATACAGACACCTAAAAACCCTAGTCACATTCTTACCTAAAAGACCTGAGGTAGTAGCATTTAAAAAGGTCTACATTTTAACAAAAATACTCCATTTTAATACTTATGCCTTTGGATTTCCAACAGAAGTTAAAGATAACACCAGGATCAAATAAAAATGTAAAATTTAAAACCCCAAGTCTTTCTTCTAGATACAAATATTTTCAGGGCACATATGTCAGCTTTACTATCCGTCTGATAGAACTGTTTTGTTACTAATTCGGAACATATCCAGGGATAATTATCTACAAGGGAAAAGGGAAGAAAGGCTTAGGAACGTTGGCAGCAATTCTGTAAAAACTTGGGAAGTTTTAAGAATTTTTTCTCATATATATTTTTAAATCACAGGAGCAGAAACAATAGCTTGGATTTAAGCTGGTACTCAGGCTACTGACATGAGATATTTCCCACAAAGAAATAAAGTGGAAAGAAAAAGAACAATGCTAAAATTTTGGTATATATCCTATATGACTATTTTTATGCTTGTTCATCTTTCCTAGCTGTTTGCCTGTTCATTTCTCTATTTGTATACAAAAATATATATTTTCTTCTAAAAAATAAGGACATAGGTACAATTTCTTCTTCTTAATCAATTATGTTTACCTTCTTAAGTGAATTCATGTAGACCTACATCATGTTTATTAAGAGTTGCATGAGGGTCTAGGGTTGCAGCTCAGTGGTAGAGCGCATGCCTAGAATCTGTGAGGCGCTGGGTTCGATCTTCAGCATCACATAAAAATAAATGAATAAAATAAAGGCAGTATGTCCACCCACAACTAAAACTATTTTTAAAAAAGAAAAAAGATTTTCATAAAATCTAGTGAGATAAGATACTGTGATCTATTTAACTATAAGCAACTAGCTTTTCAAAAAATTAATTTATTATTTATAAGGAAGGTTAAAAACTTCCAGAAAAAAGTAAAAAAAAAAAACAAAAACCCAAAATGACAATAATTACTATATGACAATAAGGTATATATAATACATTTCCCATGATCATTATGATACTTTTTTTTTAAAGATGCTAACTGTGGTTCATGTTTATAAACCTGAAAAATCAGAAATATTCTATCAAAAATTGAGGTAAAGATCTAGTCTATGGTTCACCTGCTCAATAGGTTATTATAATATTCATTAATAGGCATTAAAATTATATTTATAAAAATTTATTAACCTTCAGGAAATGCTTGTTATTACAGAGAAAAACATATGCTTAAATCTATATAAATATATGTATCTAGCATGACTATAACTCCATAAAGTACATATAAAGAAAATACTCCTTCAAAGTTCAGCATGGGGGCTGGGGCTGTAGCTCAGCAGTAGAGCACTTGCCTGGCATGTAGGAGGCACTGGGTTTGATCCTCAGGACCACATAAAAATAAATAAATAAAATAAAGGTATTGTGTCCATCTAAAACTAAAAATAAATATTTTTTAAAAATTCAGCATGGTCCTCTGTGAAAGGTAAAATTAGGAGTAAACCATTTCTCCTCCTCTTACTCTTTTGCATTTCCCCAAATTTCTATGATGATCATGTATTATGTTTATAAATGAAAGAACCTCTTTTAAGTATAAAAATAAAGTGCTGTTCTTTCATTTCATCTTCTAAGAATGGTAGCACATTCACAGAAATCTAGAAGCACTCTCTGACTAAGCCTTATGTCCTTACCAGGGCACACTGCTGTTGGATGGTGACAGCAGCCCCTGTGGCCCAGGAATCCTGGGAGGCTAACCTAGCAGTCTTCATTCTTTACCTACCTCCTTATGGACCCCTGCTTCAGTGACCTAAATGTGGGGGTAAAGGTTCATTTAGAAGCAACCAAATGGGTGTGTACTGTACTGCTGAACTGGCAAACCTTATAGATACAGCAGAGATAACTACCTTAGTGATAGCAAACTGAGGTTTTATTTCTCATTAAAGTCCCAAATAAACAGAAAGGCAATAAAAAACTGTAGAATCACATAATCAAAGGACTTTAAGAATCCTTCATCAGTTTCAAAGAGACCTACCTGGATCCATCTAAGATTTCTACCTTTTGAATTCTCTGACAAAGACTGCACATCATGGAAGGCTGAAGCCACCTGCTGACATGGGTGTGCTTAAATTCTCATTAATAGTACATCTCTATGGTTTTGGAACTTACTGAGCCTCTTTCTAATATCTATGTCTTTTCTATTCTTCCACTGAAGAAAGAGAAGAAAAAAGTTTAACTGAAGTTACAGAAAACTAAACAGCCATTCTTGATTTTCAGGCAAACTGATAATATTGGTATTTTGATATTTTATTTTCAAATAAAAATATGAGTCATTATTATTTATCTATGGCTATTATTTACCTATGAGTACCCACTCTGGGCCATTCCTTTCATTTTATTTCATTGTTATTCTGAGAGCTCAGCTAGAACAACTCTAATATCAATCTCCCCATAAAAGAAATCAGTTTCACAGGTTCAGAAGTGAACTTATTAGGATGGAGCTACAAAAGAGCACAGGTTAAAAATACAGACCCTCATGTCAGATGCAGTGGTGCACACCTGTAATCTTAGCTACTTGAGAGGCTGAAGCAAGAGGATTACAAATTTGAGGCTGATGTCAGCAACTTAGCAAGATATTGTCTCAAAATAAAAAAATAAAAAGGCCTGGGTATACAATCAATCAACAAATATATGGAAAAATGTACATCATCTCTAGCAATTAGAGAAATGCAAATCAAAACTACTCTAAGATATCATCTTACTCCAGTAAGAATGGCAGCTATTATGAAGACAAACAACAATAAGTGTTGGCGAGGATATGGGGAAAAGGTACACTCATACATTGCTGGTGGGACTGCAAATTGGTGCAGCCAATATGGAAAGCAGTATGGAGATTCCTTGGAAAACTGGGAATGAAACCACCATTTGACCCAGCTATCCCTCTCCTCGGTCTATAACCAAAAGGACTTAAAAACAGCATACTACAGGGACATAGCCACATCAATGTTTATAGCAGCACAATTCACAATAGCTAAACTGTGGAACCAATCTAGATGCCTTTCAGTAGATGAACGATTAAAAAAATGTGGCATATATTCACAATGGAATATTACTCAGCAATAAAAGAGAATAAAATCATGGCATTTGCAGGTAAATGGATAGCGTTGGAAAAGATAATGTTAATCCCCCCAAAAAACAAATGCTGAATGTTTTCTCTGATATAAGGAGACTGACTCATAGCGGGGCAGGGAGGGGAAGCATGGGAGGAATAAATGAACTCTAGATAGGGCAGAGGGGTGGGAGGGGAAGGGAGGGGGCAGGGGTTAGCAATGATGGTGGAATGTGATGGACAAGTACATGTATGAAAACATGAATTGGTGTGAACATACTTTATATACAGAGATATGAAAAACTGTGCTCTATATGTGTAATAAGAATTGTAATGTATTCCGCTGTCGTGTATTTAAAAAATAAAATCGATTTTTAAAAAAAGGCCCGGGGATGTAGCTCAGCGGCAGAGCATCCCTCAGTTCAATCCCAAATACTGCAAAAAAAAAAAAAAAAGAGAGAGAGAGAGAGAGAGAGAGAGACAGAGAGAGAGAGAATGCCCCTCAGGCACACTGACTTCCACCTACTACCAGCTATGTGATGTGGTAATAATACCGCTTAATCTCTTCATGAATCACTGTTATAGATTGAAATGTATCCTCCAAAAAGATCTGGCAAATTCCTAATCCCTGAATGAATGTGGCTATATAAGGAAACAGGGTCTTTGCAGATATAATCTGTTAACACAAGGTCTCTCTAATTAGCCTGCTCCAATGTGGCTAGTATTCCTCCTAAGAAGGAAATCCAGAGATAGGAACACAGTCACATGAACACAGAAGCAGAGACTGGAGGGCATTTGGCCATGAGCCAAAGAATGCCAGAGGCCACCAGAAGCTAGAAGGGACAAGGAAGGATCTTCCTCTAAAGACTTTTGAGGGTGTGGCCCTGCCAACATCTTGATTTCAGGCTGTAAGCCCTCAGCACTATGAATAAATATCTGTTTCTTGAAGTCATGCAGTTCACAGCATTATTGTTATAGAAGTTCTATAAGGAAAATGATACTCTCATTATTATTAAAAGAGCATTTAGAATAATTCGTGCAAAAAAGTAAATACTATGTAAGTTGTTATCTTTCGCCCAATTTCCCATCCCTAGGAATTGTTTATCTCAGACTATCCACCTCTCTCCGGCTCCTTCCACCCTAACACCCAATCAGGAAATCAAACCCAGTAATTGTGTCTTTCTGATGTCACTTGAAGTAGCTCTCTTCTTCCTATTTCCTCTTGAGAGGGCTTTGCTGTGCCTCTTCTCAACTCTTGACAGAGCCCCTCAACAGATTCCTTTTTTAGGCACAACTCTACCCCCTAACCTATCCCTCTCAGCACCACCCCAAACATCCCATACAGAATTAAAAATAACCAGGTTACTCTGCTGGTTCCAAATCTTTTCTTCCTTCTGAAGGACTTGGGGAGATGTTCTGTGCCCATTCCCCATTCCCTCTGAAGTCTGAGGTGAGCAAGTTATGTGACTGTTCCCATCTCTCTCCCCCCACCATGCAACCTCTGTTTCTCAGGCGTGGAAACAAGTAAGAATTTAAACTCACTTCCGAAAGTCTGCAAGTAACTTGAGCATGTCATCATTCGATAGCTTATTACTGTCTTGCCTGTAGACTGCAGAAAATCTGGCATTTTTATCAAGGTTTCCAGATGCATCTTTAAACAATGTCCTGAAATAGCAAAACAAGATTCCTAAACTGGGTTTCCAAAACATCAAAATAAATTCATCATTTAACTCTGGTCCTCTGCAAAGCCTAATAACTATTCAATTGGCTGTAGTCAACAGAAACCTCATTATCTAAAAATATGGAAAATACTAATGAGGATGAATGTAACTAATTCAATTTACACAGAAAACAGTTCCAGCAGACAGGCTTGTGCATAGGAAACAGCACACACATTCAAATGCATAAGAAGTAAAGACCACAGGGAGAGGCCACTGCAGTCCTCCTCAACTGCCCCCAGCTGCTTCCTACTCCTAGCTGGAAGCATGTGGCAGGGACCTGGAATCCCTCTTGAGCTCACCTCCTGCGCACCCTTTCAGTGGTAGATGGCTACGCTTTGTCCAACACCTTTCTTCTGTGTAAGTCTGCTACATGATTTTTCACACTTAGGCTTGCTTACTCTCAGCTTTACACATTCAGATCCTCTTTGACTTGGATAACAAACCAAATAAGTCTATCTACTTATCTACCTGTCTATCTATTTATGTTATAAAAGTTGTTCTCCTTACCTTGCTGCCCAAGCAAATGGCATTCTGTACTGTCCTAGTCTTTGGCATGCCTGCTTGGCATTCTTGAGCACCTTCTGGGCAACCTTGAAGACATCAGAATAAAGCCATGAGATGCTGAATCCTACTGACAGGAGAATTACGATCTAAAGAGCCATCATCACACATTCCTTAAATCAGCTCTCACTGTAGCATCAGATGCATGGAAAAGCACATCCTGTAGGAATGAATATGGCTTACCCACACTCAGCACAGACTTCTTTTTTTAATGTACTCTATGATTTTCAACAATGTTGAATGATTACTGTTTTCAAAATGCATGTCTTTGGTCTTTGGCAACAAACATGATATTTCACAGACTTTCATTTGTATTTTTAACTAAGGGCTATTTTATAAGTCCAATGAGTTATTAATAACTACTAAAATATTTGGATTCATGCTGAAATATACTGCATTACCAGAATTAAAGGAGAACATCAACAAACACTAAACTTTCTCAGATCCTAATGTTCACCAGTTGGAGCAGATTCTCACAATTTAGGGGTTATTTATTAGTAAGACATTATTAGGTACAGACTTAGGCTATGGTTTTCAATTGCTGTGTTTTTGCTTCCTACATTTAAATTACTGCTACTTTTACTTCCTAATGATCGATTTTGTTTTGTTGTGAATTGACTGATAAACCCTTGAGTACAAAACAGGCACATTTGATTTTCGCCAAAGACATGCATGTCATATATATGGCAGGTCTATAAATGAGATGTTTGATTGATTCAGATAGGGTGGTGAGTTAAAAGAGTCCTTAACATTACTGAAGACATCAAAGTCAAACCAATTTTAGGAAATGTACTCTAGCATCTATGAACCAAAGTGGGTATGTCAAACTGCAGAGTCAGTGTCGTTGTTAGAAATGCAATCTCAGGGCCTGCCCCAACCATCCTGGATTAGAACCTCATCCTGAAGAAACCTGCAGTGACCTGTGTGCACCATCAGGTGTGAGAATCACTTGTTAGAACTCTTAGTAATAGAACAATAGAGTTAAGTCACCCTGAATCCAGCTGTATGTCTCCATAGGCCATTAAACCTGTCTGAGCTCACCTGAAAAATAAAGGGCTTGCATGATACTTTCATGATCTCTTCCAGTTACAAAACTTAATGATCCTCCCACAATCATACTATGGGAAGAACTGCCTGCTTGAGTGAACTGGACTCAAGTCCAGTTAGTTAGTGAGCTCTGAGGCATATGCAGTCCATGGATAAAAAAACAGTCTAACATTCCTGGAGAGTCAGTTTTACTTAAACATTTTAAGATTCAAGATTTTTAGATTCTACTAGTAACATATATTTACATTTATATAGTAAAACAGTGTTTGCATAAAATTTAAAGCTAGAATAAAGCTTTGATAAATTTCACTCTTCCCTGAAGCAAATAAGGCCATCTCCAAACTCCAGTCTCATTCAAACTCACCAAGGGTGCAAAGATTAAAAAAAACAAAACAAAACATGAAAGAGTGAAAAATAAGATTTTGCCGCTTTGGCTTTCCCCCTACTCCTGTCTTTTTTTTAAATGGTAGATACTACAAAGACTTTTCATATAAACAAAAATTTATTCTAAGTGACATTCTAGACCATCTAGATGAAAAACAGGAAGAGACAAATTTGATAGAAGAAAATAATCTTCTCACTGTATCATCCCCACCAAAGCTTCTATGCTGATGTGAGATGGCTGAGTCTTAATTTCTGCTTTAATTTAAGGTAGGAAATTAATCCCTAGACGGGCTTTACATGGCATAAGTAATGAAAAAGCAGACTTCAACAGATGCTCAATGGACATTGGGGAGTGTGCAGAGTAAGGTTTAGCCCAGTGATATTGAATTTTTCACCAACATGCCAAATTTCAAATTGTGCACGTGGCAAGCAGTAGTAACAAGGCTGATGTGTACGGGCTTTGCAAGTATACTGCAACCACAGTTGGAAAGTAGATCTTAACTGAGCTTTCATTGATTATTATTCAAAACATAGAAGAGCTGAAAGAGGTTCTTATCCAAGGTTTAACAGCCTTGTTTTTAAAAAAATAAAATGGCTTCTCTCCAGGGACCAAACTTTTCTCAGCTTTTATCAGCCAAAAAGGCTTAATGTTTGAAGCAATGAGCCTGGTAAATGGGCTTTTAGTTGACTGGGGCCATTATAAATCACGATGCCTTGCATGCTTTCTGTGATTCATGGTGTCTATAGCAATGGCTCATACATTATCTTTTTGATCCTTACCCAGTCCCTGAGAGGAAGGCAAGGGCAAATAGTAACATCATCCTGCACCCACAGATGGAATATCTGGGTGCTAAAGAGGTGATCTGACCAAAGTATGCAGGATAGTTAGGCGTTCTGCACCCACCCAGGTCTTCTGACACTTGGAGCCTATTCTTTAATGACCATCCTGCATCTCGGTGGACACATGTGACGTTTGATGGCCACAGTGATGAACAGAAGAAGAACTGAATCAACTCGGTAAACCTCAGCTGGACTCTCTAGTGTGTCCTTGTCAGTGTATCTAGGCTCTCTCTCAGATGACTACTTACAGCATTAAAAAATAGAGTTGGGAGCAGAGGCACGTGCCCATAACCCCAGCCACTCAGGAGACTGAGGCAGGAGGATCATTAGTTCAAGGTGAGCCTGGACAACATGGTGAGGCATCATTTCAAAAAACAAAGTAACTAAAAGTATTGTAAAACTAGTAAGGGCAGCAACACTCAACAGCTTATTTTAACCTAGTGGCACAATGTGCTACAAAGTGATAGGAACACTTTAGCCACTATAGCTGTGGGACATCAAACAGGTAACCACAGCTTTGCAGGCCTTAGTTTTCTGAAGAATGAAAGGAGATCTTATATAAGATGGTTTCTAACATTTAACAATGCTGTGGATGTCCATACATAGGCACTTCCCAAGTAACAAACATCTCTTTGAAAATACAACAAATATATATCTTTGATGTTTCCCTAAGGTCCTATCACTTCTGTCACAATGACCTTGATCCTCTAACAAAAAACAAGTGAACCTGAACCACTGGCACCACTGGCCAGACCATCTGAGCCAAGGCCATCTCCAAACTCCAGTCTCATTCAAGTATAACTGGACTAGTACAATTCCAGAACCCACAAGACATATCAACAAGTGGAATGAACTCTGTTTGGCTATTATACAAAGACATATCAACAAGTGGAATGAACTCTGTTTGGCTATAATACAAGTACCTTCTAAGTTAGAAAGTTTACAATCAAGCTGGCACTTCCTTTGTGAAGTACTTTAGGACGTAAGAATAGACTAGTCAAACAAAGTATTTTATTTACATGCTGAACTACTAGCATTAAAAATTGGACACATAGGGTTGGGGTTATAATCAGTAGCAAAGTGTGAATTTAGTATGTATGAGGCCCTGGGTTCAATCCCTACCACCAAAAAATAAAAAGTAAAAAAAAAGGAACACATAAAGTTAGAGAATAAATATATGCAGTGTTCTACATGTTTTAGACTATAAGTATGGCTTACCTTTTGTTTTATTAAAAATCTAATATTTTGATTACAGTAGATGGGGTAGAGAGAGAAGATGGGAGGGGAGGGGAGGGGAGGGGGGATAGTAGAGGATAGGAAAGGCAACAGAATACAACAGACACTAGTATGGCAGTATGTAAAAACGTGGATGTGTAACCAATGTGATTCTGCAATCTGTATATGGGGTAAAAATGGGAGTTCATAACCCACTTGAATCAAATGTATGAAATATGATATGTCAAGAGCTATGTAATATTTTGAACAACTAATAATAATAAAAAAATATATAAAAAAGACCTTAAAAAATCTAATATTTTGAAATAAAGTCCTTTTCTCAGATTGCTTTTTATCTTCATAAAACATGAAAGTCATTCATACCTTAGAAGAGTCTGAACTTTTCATATATGGCTCAGCACAATGTGTGATGCTCCCCTGAAGGACTTTTTCAATTCTGGCCACAAGAAATATGTCTGGATGAGGGCATGTGACTGAAAATATCCCCTAGGAAAAAAACAGTTTTTCCTCAGTAAGTAGAATTCACAGCGGCATTAAACAATATCATAACCATTAAAGCAGCAAAGCACAATGAAACGGTACAAGTTGTAGGGGGCATCAGCGTCCAGGTGATAATCAATAGGTGATCATCTGTTCAAAACGTCTGTTTGACAGGGGAGGCAGCTACAAAAAAGCTCAGAAAAAGAAATGAGAAACTAAAACCACTTCTCCCTCCATTTGCTTTTGCTGTCTAATTACATATTCTATCCATATAATTAACAGTCCAAGCTACCTCATTTGTGCATTACAAGGTTTCACTTTGGCATTTTCAATGTTTTTGTATATCATGTGCAAAATAATTCTGAGCATATGAGTGCTGGGCCCTTGTTCCCCACCTGCTTTGGATACTGCATGGCAGCTGCATGAAGGACGTCCTGAAAGGCAGGTGGACTCTGGCTGCCATTCATCAGAGGTGGGGATGTGGGAACCAGCATCTGCCGCACTGAGCAATGATTCAGGTCCACGTGGAAATCAGCAGAAATCTTTCTGTTGTACTTTATGTCAAACAGGGACAGGGTAACAAAGAAAGGCTCTACCTGAACAAAACAGAACAATCCAGATAATCACTGAGGTTCAAATGGTGGGAGAAAAAGAACACTGCTGTCAAAGAAGAAATTATGAGATCTATTTATGATTGTTGCCATAAATTACTACTATAGATAAACAGCCTTGTTTTTTGTCAGAGAATTAGGTTACAAAACACTTTAGGAAACAAAACAATTATTTTAACTTTGTATGTTTTGCTACTTAATGTATCCGCCACAAAAAACAGACAGTTGCTCTGCCTTAAGCATCTAAGATGAAATCTGCCTGCTTGAGCACTGAGCATACTACCATCCTTATCCTTTGTCACAAACATCCTGTCCCTGTAGGCTGCACAGCCCTCCCAAAGCATCTCATCTGCACATTGCACCTCTAGGACTTCACATCCAGGCTGCACTGTCCTGGGAAACCTGTCATATCTGAAATCTTTGAACATTAAAAAGATCTTTAATTTTAAAAAGGAAAATTACATTTGTAGTGGGTCCTTCTTCATTTTCAGCAACACAGCATTGCAAATTGAAAGATAAATCATTGCACTTGACAAGAATTCTTTTACCAAACTTCTCTTCAAATGGCTTTACTTCTGGTTCAGCTGATGGGAAGTCAAGCTTCTTTAAAAGAAAATGTAAATATATGAATGCATTATTATCCTACTTTAAAAATCCATTATAAATGTATCCAAACAAAACTGCCAAAATATATGGAAAAGTTATATACACTCATTTATTAACAACAGTGTTATAAATATATATATACACCTTCAAATGTGTATACACACCCACACACAAATAAAATGGGGAATATTAATCAGTCATTAAAATGAAGAAAATTCTGACAATATGGATGGACCTTGAAAATACTGTGTTAAGTGAAAGAAGCAAGACACAAAGGACAAATACTGTATGATTCCACTCTTATGAGATTCCTAAAATAGGCAACTTCATAGACACAAAAAGTAGAACAGAGGTTACCAGGGGCCTAGGAGAAGGAGGAATGGGGAATTACCATCTGATAGAGTGTTTCAGTGTAGGAAGATGAAGAAATTCCAGAAATGGATGGAGACATGGTTGCACAACAATGAGAATGTATTTATTGCCACTAAACTGTATACTTAAAAATGGTAAATTTTATGTTATATATATTATATCACAATAAACAAAAATTGTCCAAAGTTAATGTGGAGGTGGGAGTGGGAGGGAGGTTAGGAGGTTCATGAAGAAACAGAAAAATACTTATTCAAGTTAAATAGAAGTTTTATTTAAAAAAAAAAAAAAAAAAAAAACCACAATACCCAGGTTAAAATAGAGCAGAACCTTTGTCCCTTCTGGGCAGCTCTCTGTGGTGCTCACTATCCTGGGCAGCCCTGAAGGTCCTTACCACATGTGCTTGGATTTCACTAAGACACAGATGTGCATCACAGCACTGTCAGGTTTATATCTGGGACTGAGTCTGGCTGCTCAGGAGTTATCACTGTCTCCTGGTGTCTGCAGTGATACTTGCTATTTTCTAATGGTTACCTTAACAGGCAAATTATATGATCTTTGTGGACTTAAGAATGTCTTCAGCTAAATCTCAATATTCAACAATCTACTGAGTATCAAACATTCAAACTAATTATGCTATGATGATGAGAACACAGGTCATTTTAATTTTTCTTCTTTTCTCCAAATTTTCTACATTGTTACACTGCTTACCAACCCAAAATAAATGAAGGAAACAAACAAGCATCAAAAATTTTCTCCTCCCCATCCACTTAGTTTTAAATCTTAAATATTAAAATGGTTCTTACCTGGGCATCTGGGTCTAAGTAAAAAAGTTTAACTCTGCTTTCACTTTTCAGTTTGATTTCTGCTTCTCTGGTACTCTGATAACAAGATAAATAAAAAATACATTAAACAGTATCCAAAAGTGTTTGAAAGCTTCCCCATCATTTAGATTCAGGCTGTTAGACAACCATGCCCCCCACCTCTGAAAGAAAGCTGCATGTCAACAACAGATACACTAAGATGCAAGCGGCATATGATGTAAATGCTGGGGGGCTGGGGGTGGAGGTCATATGTGAACCCCGACTTTATGAGGCCAGCAGCCAACTGTGGAGTCAAAAGCAATCCAAAGAAAGCGCAAGAGAATAATTAAGCATCAAATTGTTAAGAAAGGCTGCATAAAGTAACAGATTTCTGGGATGGGTTTTGAACAAAGGTGCAGAATTTAGATAGCTAGGGGAAAAACATGGACATTCCAGGCTGACTGCACAGACAGATGGACAGACAATGAGGATGGAAATAAACCCGGGCAATAGACAGGATTAAATAGGGTCCAGTCTAAGACTGAGGATACAAAAAGAGAAAGAGGAAAAGGAAGGAATATATTTTGAGTGGTAGAAGAAAATCATGATAGGTTTTGAAGGATAAGATGCAGATTCATTCATTCAATATCCATTGAGCACCTACTTACTATGTGCCAGATGCTGGGGACAGAAACATGAATGAACAAAGTTCCTACTCAGAAGGAACACCAGTGGGGAGACAATAGATAAAGGAGTGAGAATGACAAAAGAAAGCATAAGGTACGGTGGGCGCTCACCTGGACTAGGAGTGGCAGTCAGAAAGGACCTCCCACAGAAGGAGACCCCTCCTGAAGGACAAGCACATTTGGCCAGGAAAGGAAAGGAGAACATTCCAAGAGGAGGTACTACAGGTGCACAGGGACAAGTCACAAATGGTCAAGTTGTTCATAATAACTGAATGGTTGGGCATGGTGGGGAAAAGGAAAGAGAAATGAATCTGGGACTTGTTTGCTAAAGAAAATGGATTTCATTTAGAATTCAAAATATCCCACGACAATTTAACAAGAATAAAATAATGACTTCTGCATTTTAGAATCGTTACTTGGGTAGGTCTGGAGCAATAGAATAAACAAGGTAAGGCTAGCAGGCCCCCAGGATCTTTCCTGGATTGTCACAATAGCCTCCTAGTCTAACACAACAATGCCTTTAACAAATCCCATGTTTTACCTTGGGTAGCCTGCTGAATGGTGATGCCACAAACTGAGAGAAAATTCAGGCAAAAGAGCAAGTTTGTGGAAAAGGTGATTTAAAAAATGGAGCATGCCTGCAGGGTTTTCAAGTGGAAACATACAGTAGACATGGGACTTAAGCACAAGGCAGAGAACAAAGTTAGAGTTACAGACTCAGAAACATCAGCATGCAGGTGGAAAGGAAGTCTTGGGCGGGGATGATACTGCCTGGGGAGAATGGGAAGGTGAGCCTGGGGGCTACACCAGGGGCTCCGACACTGAAGGGATGGCAGAAGATAAACCATTAAGGGAAACAGATGAATGGAGATGTGAGATGTGGGATAAAACAGATGAGACTTCCAAAGAGATTCACATGATAGAAGTCATCTCTAACCTTGCTTTTTATCAGGCTCGGAACCTCTAATCCATAGCCTATTCTTGGCAGCCATGGCTTTCTATTACTCTCAATCTCCATAATAACTTCTGTGGAGTGAGAAGAGATTGTCCTCTCCCATCCATTACTTTCCTGAGTCACCTCTCAGCACTTGGTAATGGGGCAATGACAGCCATAGCGGGGAAGATGTCCTATCCTCTCTGCTGGTAGCTGAGCAAAATTGATTATTATATTTCTAATCAAGTCTATTGAGAAATTAAACATCATCTTGATTTTCTCAGCTCTAAAATTGCTTTAATAGATCCTTAGCAATGACCCAAACTGTCATAACTATACTTAATTAACTCTCTATGTCCAAATGAAATGGCCACTAGAATACTAAGAAACTGGTTCTAGTTCTAATTCAGTTGTTAACCAAGCCCTGCAAGCTAATGAGACTCTCTAGATTGTTTTCATTTCTAAATAAAAAGTCTCTTGGCCCAGAAAAGTTTATTCTGAGGCTCTCTGAAGGAACATGAAGGCTTCTGGAGGACAAGGGCATTCCTACAAATGTCCTGCTCATGTTTTCAGGGTATAGCATGGGGCTGGTGTAGCCCCCTCCATACAGGAGATGAGATTGCTTCGTCTTGCTTATAACTTTTCCTAATTTTTCACACAGAAAGAACCAGAACATACACAAGGGGAATCTACTGAACTGAACCAAAGAACTTGCTTTACATTGTACTATGTTTCCTAATAAGACCATCAGTACTAGGAGCTGCAAGCTACCACAAACAGTATATTCTACTTCTGAATCCTCTGCTCGAGTTCTTCGACTAAGGCAAAGACTATGATCTCAGATGCTACCATGGAACAATGGGTTCTTAATGCAGATGCAATTCCTGGTGCCTTTCTGAAAGATGCTCCTTGTGTCAAGTTGACTGTGCTAGTTTAGGAGATGAGAAATTAATAAAGTAAGAAAAACTGCTATGGGCTCCATAGAATTAGAGGACAAGTAGGGATGCAGGCACCTACAAGAAACAGCAGCAGCAGCAACAACAAAACAACTAGTAGCCAAAATAGACACATAACATCCTAATGTTGCCACTAACATCCAATGAATTCATAGTCTTCATCAGAAACATGCCTTCTTGGGAAAGAAGGGACAGCTTTAGATGAATAATAACCTAAAAGCTCAATCTACTTTACATACATAGTTCTGCTGTGGGCTAGATAAAAAGCAAATTCAGCTTCTTTTAATGTTCCTTCCATCCCTCCCAAGGCTAAAGATGATGCACTGAACAGAGAAGAAGCCCAACAGGGGCTGAAGGAATTACCAAGGGAAGGAAGCATTTACTACAATTTAAAAATTCAGAAAAGATGTCTGCTAAACTGTCTGGGTTCTGACAAGTTCTGCTAGTTTGGCACTATGGCCCTTACTCAACCCCATTGAGACTATCAAGTTTGAGACACCATGCTCTTTTATTTAACTGTGGAAGATTTAACTGGAAACATAAGTTCATTCACTTAAAAAGAATTTAAGGATATAGGAAGAATAATTTTGGATTAAGAAAACTCTGCCTCTCTTTCAGAACCACAAGGGGAGACTAAATTAAGAGTGAGCTACTGTTCTTTTGAGTATAAAAAAAGCTCAAAAACAGGAAAACATAAGGGCAAGCATGAGGGTTTTCTTCAAACTATTTTTTTTACAAAATACAGTATATGTTTCAATGTAACTGAAGATGAATGCAAGCAGAGAGAAATTAAACAACTACTGGTGGGGTTTACAAACTGATCATGTTACCCCCTGATTTTCTAGGGAAGAAACCAATTGACTAACCATACAGTTTGTATATGTAATGTAAATATTTAGAAGGCTGATGCTATACATTCTGTTATCCCCTGAAAACCTAAGTCCATTTCATTCGTGCCATATGCAGAAGGCCCCTCCACAATATTCCAGAATGGGACATGGGTTATTTTTGCACTAAAACAACTTCCTGTCAACCATATCCTGTTTGGCTATGTCTCAGTCACAATGGAAAACAAAAGCCGGGGCAACAAAATGAGTGAGGCAGAAAAGAGAAGCTGACCAGAGAGACACTGCCACTAAATTACACCTTCAATCACCTTTAGCCTTCTTCCCTTATATAGAGCTTTCTCTGAAATCATACTTAACTGTGGCCCTGCCTCCTCCTGACCCTTTCTAGCATTTTCCTTCCTTGATACTGACCTTTTTACCCCTTCATCCCCTGACTGAACTCTCCCTCTGTGCACAGCTGTGTGTCTCCTGCTCTCTAGCCCCTCACACCCCATACACACTTAAATCTCTGATTCTGTAGCCATGGAATCCATTGTTCCTAAAACAGGATGACTATCATCAGTCAACTCCTCTGCTTTCCCAACAGATGCAAATGATCTTCATCCCAGGAACACCATAGGGAGATGATAAACATCCAGGTTTTGGGTTCTGAGGGACCAAGCACAGGTTTCTAATTGGTGCCTGGGCCCCTCATGCCAGGCCATTAAAAGGCACAGGTGACAGATATCTCTTTCTATACTCCTGATGGCGGCAAGCTAGGTCAATGACAATACATCTTAATTTTCTTCTTTCAATTTCCCTTCAAAAATATTACCTTCTGCCTTTTACTACTTTCTTAAATAAAAATATTTTAAAACTGCTGGGAGCTAGGGAGAAACACACAATAAAGACAGTACCCTGCTTCATTTGTCAGGCTTTGATCATAACCCAAAGTGAGGAATATATCATACATTACAATGCATGCGCCCCCCCCCTGCACATATAGATAATAGATAACAGTGTCTATAATAATTAATGACAGTGTAGTTTATATTCTCTATTCAATTCTATAATAATTAATGACACTGTAGTTTACATTCTCTATTCAATTCTACTTAATTTTTTTTAAAAAAATGTTAGTCACATAAGATTGGGCCTGACACAATTAGTACAAACTGAATGGTTCTAAGCATAGGAAGGTCTAGAACAGCCAAAACAAATCTATGGTGATGATCAAAATAATGACTATCAGTTGGCAAGGGGTGCAAGAAAGTCTTCTTGGATGCTATAAATGTTCTTTACATTATTTTGGAAAGTGGTTATATCTGTGTACAAATGTGAATTCCATCAAGCTATATACTCCATTCTGGAGTATCTTACTTTATTTAAGTTGCACCTCAGTCAAAAACAAATAAAAATTAAAACTAAAAGAAAGAAACGGGGGCTGGGGCTGTAGCTCAGTGGTAGAGCGTTTGCCTAGCACATGTCAGGCACTGGATTCAATCCTCAACACCACATAAAAATAAATACATAAAATAAAGTTAATGTGCCTATCTATACTTTTTTTAAAGTAAGAAATAGGGGCTAAAATCAACTAAATTGATTTCACCAACAAAAATGGCTTCAGTTAACTCGGTGGTAAGACATAGTTTGAAAATAATGTTAAATGTTAATATTTTTAAAACAATATAAGAATATATACAAGTGTGTGCATTTCTATAACTTTCCCTTGGTCTTAGGATCAAGCAAAGCTGAATTTTGTTGCCCCAGTAGTAAGAGAAGAAAAGAGAGCATAACTCCTTTACGTCTTCATAGGAAAATATACAGATTTCTAATCATTCAACATTAGCCTCAAATAATAAATATGTGTTTAGAGAAAAAGACTTTCATTCTGCTTCCCAGCAAGCATATAAAGCTATTTTATGAATTCTAGATTATAACACATATATTAACTGCTTCAACAACTAAAACCCAAACAGGGTTTGCTTTGAGAAATTCTGAACACCCCAAAACAGAGAAACAAATCCAGAAATAAAATAGCAAATCTCAGTGCAAACTATGATCCTCAGAAGTTCCTAACACAATGGGGTGGAGAGCACAGCTCAGTAATACAGCACTTGCCTGGCATACACAGAGCCCTGGGTTTGATCCCTGGTACTGAAGGGGAAAAAAAAAGGAAGTTCCTAACATGAAAACACAAACATACAAGCCAAAACTCTTCCCAGACTAGGAGGAGTTAGATGGTGGCTCTAAAGTTAGTTTTAATAGGCAGGTGCTAAAAAGATTCAGTGGAAACAGCCAAGTTCTGAAGAAAAACAATGTTCTCAAGTCCTAGCCAGGGAAGGAGATTTATATTTGAGAACACCCATGTTGTCTTGAAATAAAGGTCAATGCTGAATGTCTGTCTATTTATAATCCTATATAGATAAACCATGTTTCTATTATAGTGTTTAAGATGTGGGCGTGTAGGGCTACCATTTCACTATATTATTAAAAAAAAGAATAGAAAGTAAGGGCGAGAACATACAGGGCTAGAGAAGACAAAGACAGTTCTCTCATTTAAAAAAGAATCATTCATCCACAGGACACAAGTACAAGGATATTCATTGTAGCATTGTTCATAGCAGAAAAATGGCAATAACAGAAGAGCTAAAATAAAATGTTTAAACAGTACAATAAAGGGGATGAATCAGATCATATACCAGATAGGATGGATCTCAAAAAAAAAAAAAAAGGCTGAACTGAAAAGCAAGTACAGAATAAAACTCATAGTAATTAGCATTTATGTAACATTTTAAATCATACAAAACAATCATATAAAACATTAGGATAAATATATTTGTAAAGACATAATAGTGAGTGTCTATTGCTGGGGTTGTAGGGAAGAAGAAAATGGGAATAAGGACAGTGTTTAAAAAGAACTTCAACTGTAACTAATGTTTTATTTCTTCTAAAACTACCCTAAAGACAATATAGTAACAGAGGGGAATCTGGGTGGTGGTGGTAGTACGGTAGCTTGTTTTCCTTTGTGCTTTTCGGTAACTTTTGAGATTCTCAAAAATCACAGTTTTTTCATTGACAGTGACCCCAGAAAAATTTCTATAACTTAGGCAACACCTCTTTAGGCTAAAGGAAAGATTAGCATGTCCACCCTCATGTCCACCCTCTAGAATTGTGTCTATTAATGTGAATAGAGGAAGCACAGGTGTGAACACAGTAAGTACCAGATTATTATGAGAACACGCATCTGTGCACCCTGGTTATTGCTTCAGTAGGTGTGCTGCAGTATTAGGTACTATGAGGCAAAAACACTTAAAGAATAATGAAAAGAAAGTACTTTGCAGGGTGCCCTCTGGAAAACAGACTGCCTTACTCAAGCCTGGAATGTATCCCACATCACCCCATATTCAGGTCAGACAGTGGCAGTGATTATAATGTTAACTGCCATTATTTCAAGAGATCCCATTCTGGATAAACTCACAAAATAAAAAGCATATCAGTAGCATTCAATGAAAAGCAGAAAACTTAAGATGATGTTACCTTTGCAAGTTCAGGCAGGTAGCTATCTAAACCAGAACCAGAACCTTCCAATTTGCATTGTTCATCATCTGAAATGGCAAAACAGACTACCAGAGTTATTTGTAATTGAAAATATCTTATTTAAAGCAGGAAGAGGAAGACTGTTTCTTTTATACAACTTTGAGATTCTCAAAGTTACATGGTGGTTCATAATTCTGGTTGCATATTACAAACACTTAGGAGATTTAAAAATTGCTGGCGCCTAGGCCCAGTGGTGAGTCAGAGCATTGAATAGTTGGAACAGGCTAATTAGAACTGATGCCAAGTGTGAACAGACCCATGGCTATCCCAATCAGGATCTTTAGTGGGACCAAAGAAACAGCATTAAAAAAAAAAAATCTCCCAACCATTTCTAGGGGACAGTTAGGGCTAGGAATCATCTAAGAGCTTAAGATATAACATGAATTATCAAAATCATTACCAGATTTTTCCCATCAATTTAATCTGAGATACCTAGCGATTCTAACTTTTGTCTTGAAAATTCCAAGGATATTAATGACAACAATAACTTTCAACATTTTAAGTGTAGATTCAACACAAGGGACTTGAGATATATTTTTAAATTTACTCTTCCCATCTAATCAGTAAGCTTCATTTGTATTCTCCCCTTACAGGTAAGTAAAATGAAGATAAGAAAACATAACAAGTGTATCCAAGGTCACACACTAAAAATTGGTATTGCTGGACCTCAGGTCCAGGTTTTTTCTGTACCTCCAAAGCTGTGGTTCTTCTACTACACAATTTCCATACATAAAATTTCAGAGTAGTAAATTTTAATGTGGCAAAATCTTTGCTGACAAGCTACCTGTTCAAGGCTCACCTCTGTCCTACTTTCATGTACCTGTGCAATATTTCTCCTTACATCCACCTGGTTTAAAAAAAAAAGAAAAAGATACACATGGAGTGTGTGTACCTGTGGAAAGACAGACCCGCCTACCTTCATGAGAGTCTCCATTTCGCTTTTCTTGCATTGCGGCTTCAAAGTTGAGCTGGAGAATCTTATTTAGAATTGTGATCCATTCTTCCATTTCTACTTCACTGTCTGCTGCCAAAAGATAACTACTTTTGTCTTGCATCTTAAGCTCAAAAGCAAAACGTCTGACTTTGTTGTTCTGAAATGGAAAAAGGATAAAGAGACACATTTGGAACTATCTTAAAATAATATCTGTCTCATCTGCTGATGGGTGCTGATTGGTATTTCATACAACTATTTAAAACTACAAACTCTTCCCCATCACAGTGCAACCTCCCTGATTTATTTTCTCAATACCTTTACTTTTCCATTTGACTCATTACATTTCTTACATGTTTATCTTATTTCCTGTCTGTCCCCCAATGGAATGGAAGCTCCTCAAGGGCAACAATTCCCATTCTTTTTAAAGTTCAATGCTATGGTCTTAATATTTACAACAATATCTGGTGGATAATTGGCACTTGAAAAATATTTGTTGAACAAATGAAAATTCATGTAAAAAAATTCATATTTAATTAGCTCCTATTTTTTAAAAGAAAATGAAGTATGTGGTATTACATTTTTAAAAACTAAAATTCAGCTAAACAGCTATTAATATGTTTGACTGACTTATCTGGACCTTTCTCATCATTTATGATTACCAAAGGTCTATAGCCTTGCCTCACATCTCTGGGTGTCATGCCCATAAGAGGGTGAATTACAGTAGTCCATCAAAGAATACAGGCTGCATTACACCAGGATTTGTCAGCCTTGGTACTGCTGACATTTGGGTGGAAATTCTTTGTTGCAAGGGGCTGTCTGCACATTCTATGATTTTTTAGTGACCTCCCTGGCCTTGACCCACCAAATATCAAGAGCATAGTCCAGAGTTGTGACCATCAAAAATGTCTCCAGACATACTCTGGAGGGCAAATATACTCTGGAGGGCAAAATCATGCCAGGTTGATGGCACTAGACAGTTCAGCTCTGAGGAACATGGTACAAGCCACAGACTCAGCTGGGCACAGTGGCAAATGCCTGTAATCCCAGCAATTCAGGAGGCTGAGGCAGGAGGATTGCAAGTTCAAAGCCAGCCTCAGCAAAAGTGAGGTGCTAAGCAACTCAGTGAGACCCTGCCTCTAAATAAATTACAAAATAGGGCTAGGGATGTGGTTCAGTGGTCAAGTGCCCCTGAATTCAATTCCTCGTACCCTCAAAAAAAAATCACAAACTCCCCCCAAATCTGAGCTGGGCAGAATAACACCCCATACCCACGAAAATTCTAGTTGGTATCCACAGTCTGGTTGTAAAGTGTCAGTCACTTAATTTAGTTGCTGGGCCTCAGCATAGATCTCAGGCACCAGGTGACCCTGCCAAAGGTCCCTCTGTTTTCTGCAGCACAGTTCATAGAAATGTGAAGCCAACGATGCTCTTGGCAAAGTCTAACAAACTACTCCACACAGACTGTCTCTGTGGGCTCAGTAATTAGCACTTTGGATCTCACTTAAACATCAAGGCAAGAATCAAGGAAGGAGTCAAGGCTGGGAATGAAATCAGTTTTCGCCCCCCCACTCTCCCACTCCTCACATATGATTCAGAAAATAAAATGTGAAAAATAGAGGAAAATTATTAGAACTTGATCAAAGATATTTCTCTTTCTGAGCCCCAGTTTCTTCATTGGCAATACAAATGTAATTCACTTAAAGAGTTCTTTAGAACTCTTTTAGGCTTTTAGGGTTTAAGATTCTAAACAGTCTTTCTTTCAGATCTATCTAAACTATGTTTAGGCATTCCTTTCAAATCACCACACTAACCAACTAATTTTTTATAGCATTCAAATATAATCTTTTTTAAAACACTTAAATCATGACTTTGATGCTTAGTATACAGACATGGACAAAAACAAATTAATCTTTTGAAGACTTAGATACAATTCACTAAATGAAAAATACCATCAGCCACATCTGAGAACAGAACTTAAAGGAAGAGACCTCCACTGCAGTCAGAACCTCAGATTATGAAATACACGAGAGGCCCAACAGCAGCTCATGGCTGCTGTTTCTAAAAACATCTGTGTACTCTGCGAAAGACATGCAACAAAACTCTCTAATAAGACAAAAATAATTACTTCTTATTCAAAATGAGTTGCTTTAGTTTTGCTTTAAACTTTTTTAAGTCAATGCCAGAAAATTCAACAAGAAACTTAAAGGTCTCTCAACTTGAGAATACAAATGCAACTCCTGCTTGGGAATCACTAACAAGAAGTTAATCAATTAATAATTCGCTGGTATGCCTTCTTTCCCATTGTCCATAAACACACTTGATATAATTCAGATGTTTACAGTGGCACTTTCATCTGAGCTTGGGCTTCAAGCTGAGAAACATCTATGTGCTGATTAGCTGTTGATGGAAACTAATTTTTCCATCAACATGAACACAGAGTAGTACTGTAGTCTGGATCTAGGGTCAAATACACTTTCGTGTATACTACTATATTGTGTGGAGGCGAGGGGCAGGGTGTTGTTGCTACACAGAAGTTTTATTAGTATCCAATAATTAAAGATGCCAAGATTTAACTACAATAATGTATTTCTGTTGTTTTGAAAAGCCAGACAATGTAGCAGCACTGAGCCAATAGCATCACCTGGGGAGGACTTTGGTTTGTCATGGTCTTCAGCATTCCCTGACACTTTACAACCAGACCTCTTCAGTCACTTAATTTAGTTGCTGGGCCTCTGAAGACATCTGATTTTGAAACTACGTTCTACTTCTGGTCAAAATGCAATAACAGGATCTGAACTTCTTTCCAGCCATACTTACTAGAAAACTAGTCAAAAGTGATGAAACAACTGTTTCAGACAAGGGCAGGGGCCTATGACCCCTGCTAGAAGGAAAATGAATGAGGTGAGTCCACCATCATCTCAGCTCTCTGCCTGGAGGCAGCATCCACATCTAGGCATGGGAAGGAAAACCCAAACAGAGTCTCTGCCATCTCCCAGAGTTAAACATACTGGCCAGAATTGAGAAAAACCAAGCTGGCCAAAATATACAGTTTCCAAAATGAGACAAAGATAAAAGACGAAAGACGGTCAAACAATATTCTCCAAGTTGCACATAGAGTTTACTACTCTCTGCCAAAGGAAAAAAAAAAAAATCAAAATCAAGACACACAACAACCTAAACTTCAGAGATGATAGGCAAAGAGAAGATCACAAAGAACAGGGAATAAGAACACCACCAAATGCCCCAAACAACACCAGAATCTAGAAGACAGTGCAACAGTTAACATTTCCAGGTCAAACAACTTCACTTTGGATTTCTATAGTCAGCCAAAAGTATGAGCCAAGAGTAAATGAAAAAACAAAACAAAACAAAAAACTTACAAATATTCTTACTAAAAAAATTACTATCAATTTCTTAGGAAGCCACTGAGGATAGACTCCTCCAATCAAGAAGAGAGAACAACAACAAGGCAAAGGGTCCTGAAAGCAGGGACTCCTACACAGGGAGGAAGACAAGAGAAGCTCTAGGATGGACTGATTGCTTTCTCTGCCCTGCACAGCTAATCAGTCCAGATTAGGACAGGAAGTGAGGGAGACAGGAGCTAAAATTCTACCTACCAGCAGAGGAAGTCATTCAATTAGAAGAAAGAGTAGTGAACACTCATTATCTAGCGATAAGAAGACAAATTCCATAATGAATAGTGAAAAATGTTGAGGGGCTGGGGTTGTCGCTCAGTGGTAGGGCACTCGCCTAGCACGTGCGAGGCCCTGGGTTCGATCCTCAGCACCACATAAAAATAAATAACTAGAGGTATTATGTCCATCTACAACTAAAAAATAAATATTAAAAAAAGAAAAATGTTGAAAATGATTGTTTCAGGGGAGTAGGGAGTGAGATGGGGGAAATGAAGGAGATGAAACACATTTAGTACAGCCCTTTAGCACAATTTCATAGTTATAATTAGATAAATGTATTCTTAGAATAAAAAAGCAACTTAGTATAAGGTAAACATATAAATACATAAACAAGTACATCCATAGTCAAATCAGAGAGCTGTGTCTCTCTCTTTATTCACAATAGCCCCACTACATACTGTCCTGACAGAATCAATGTCATCAGCTACCATGGAGTCATTTTAAGGAAGAATCCTCTGAGAATGGTGACTACATCTATTGTAAGGAGTTGTCAAGGAAACTGCTCATTTGTCACAGAGCCCTCTGTCTGAAGGCCTCTAGGAGAATGCTTGATTGATCATCATTCTGAGAATATATGGGCAGTTCCTACTAACTAGACGGTCTGTATCTTGTGTGCAGTGCAAATTATGAGACTGAGCAGGTCTCCATGTTTAGAAAGCAGAGTTCAGTGGTGGCCCACCCAGAGCCCACCCTTCAAAATATACTTCTGTCTCATTCTACTTTATCTCACCCCTACCCCAACCCCTCATTCATCTTTCTGCTTTCAGTCCCACTTTAAATGTATGCTACCCTAGATTTTACAACTCCTTGTAAGCTGCTTCCTTAAATCCCCCCAGAAAATCGCAAGGGGATGGCATGCATGCATGCATGCATTGATAGATAGATGGGAAAAGCAGCAACATGTTTTTTAGGAACAATTCCAAAAAGGTATGGAAGGATGCATACTAAACCAGTAACAGGTCTCTAGGAAAAGGTAGAGATAAGAGGAGAAAACAGGGAGCCTAGGGAAATTTTCACTTTATTTGTATTGTCTGATTTTTTTTTTTTTTTTACAATAAGAATGAACTCTTGTACTATATTCAGTTAAAAATAATTTTTAAGAATAGTTCTACAATTGCAATAGCACCAAACCACAAAAATACCTAATGTTCACTAAAGGCTTACCATTTGCCAGCACTGTTTTAAGCTCCTTAAATGTATAAATTAATATTACTGTTAATATTAATTTATTATTAACAGTAATTATTATTAACAGTAACCATATTTGATACTATCATTATCCCTGTTCAACAAATGACAAAACTGGGGAACAGAGAGGTTAAATATCGTCATCAAGGTTTGTAAAGCTGATAGTGGGATTTGAACTCAGTGTGCATCGAAAATCCAATCTGTTGACCAGTGTGCTTGTCTCACCCCCACTGGTGCCATGATGGTAGTGATGAAAGTCATCACTGAGATGCTAACTAAATATTGCCATGTGTTACTCCTCCAGTCTTCTCATTTACCTACCAAAGGAATATTATTACTACCCATGTTTTGCAGATGAAGAAATTTTAAATAGCCTGTCCAAGGTCACGCAGCTAAGTAGTAGCCAAGAGAAGTTTTGGTCATAAGAACTCATATATCAGAGCACTCATGCCTACCACAACATAATCCCTGTTATCTTCTGAAATGATAAAAATAATCACAAGATTATGATTTATTTTAAAAGTTAGATATTCATTTCTACCATGAATGTTGCCATTTTTGGAAGTCTTCACTGGTATCTGAATAATGGTACACACAGTACCATTACTGACAAAACAAAACCCCTGATATAACTATTATCATATTTACCTGAATCACACCCATGCAGGAATCCAGAAATATTGATCCTTTAGGTTCCTTGGAGATCTTTTCATCTTTATAAAAATTCAAATTATAGGATCCATCACCAAGTTGAATCAGGTGGAAAAACCGTCTCTTAAACGACTGGGAGAAAAATACATGGACAACAATTTTTCAAAATGAAAAGAGTCATAATCTCTACCAATAACTCACAATTACACACATCCATAAAAACAGTTTCAGTTCTCTCCCAAACTAATCTAATCCTAGCTGGCACTCTAGGTAACTGTACTGGTGAAGATTTCTCATCACATCAAATGGGCTCACTGTATTTCCATTCTAAGGAGGTGATTCACTTAATATCCACCAGTCAGTTTTCTCATCCAGAATTTGAGAGTTTACATAACCACCCAAAAGCAGGGTTGAGAGTTCCAATTTGGGACACAGCACAGGAGATGGAAACTTTCTCTCAAACCCTCAGGGCTTCTTGCTCACACAGAAGAGGAACTCCTTTCTGCCCTGTGATGTTCAATGGCTTTCCAGCCTCAGGAATAGGACAGTCAGCTTTCTCCTGATTTGTCACCTCCTGTTGGTACTACCTCCCTTCCATTGTTCCTTTTCTCTTTATTATCTTGATCTTCTGTCCTGAATAGCTTATTACTCTAGTTTTATTCTTCTCTTTGCAAACTTCTTCCAATTTAATCACCTTCCTTGTCAGTCCTCCATTTTTACAGTGCATCCCCTCATGGCAGTGTAGCTACACAGGGGTGCTTAGTTAGGGCATTTAATGTAGCCCCTCCATGATGCTCTGAGGTACCAAGAAACACTGTGTAACTGCTATAAAGAAAGCCCATGTCAGTGAGCGTTCTACACTGCTGTCTACATTGGCTGTCAGAGGGCAGTGAAGACAAGGGGGTGGACAGGGCTATAGCAATGTGGGTGCTATCACCAGGAAAGCATCTCAGTAACAGACACTATCTCTTTTGTGGAGAACAGCATGCCCATTCATACTGAGCATTATTCTCAAGAACAGCAGAAAGGTTTCATGAGGGGAAAAGCAGTGATGAGCCTCCTCACCCTCATGGTCACACTGATGGCACTGTTCATATTGCCTTTGTACAGCCATCCGTGTTTGGTGATCCCACCCTTCTGAGAACCAAGGGAGGCAGCATCCTAGGAGAAAAGTAAAACAACACCACAGTCAATCTCCTGCTGTTATCTAGATTATTAGTTTGAATCTGTTCAACAAGAAAATTCCACTTGTACCATACTGGCCAACTATCTCTTTATTGGAACAAGTTCTGATACTAATATTTACAAGACACATTAATGTCCACTTAGCAGTAAGACAGAAACTAGCCTACATTTTTGAAAACCCTATTCCATTAAAATCAAAGTTAACTTCCATCCAAAATTTTATTTTTAAGTGTTTAATGAGCCACAGAAAGCACATACCATACTTGACCACTCAGTTGTGAGGTCCTGCCTGGATTCATGCAAAATGTTTTCAAATTACACTCCCCTATAGTTGGAGGACAAAAGAAAATTCCTGGAAAACTTCCCAGAGGCTTAGTTCAGGGAAAGGTGAATTTTAAAAAAGAGAGGAAATATGAGACAATGCAGAAAGGAGATAAAATGATGGAGCAAAGAAAAAAAAAGATGGAAAGAGAGGCAAGAATGCAAGCAGAATTAGAGGAAAAAAGAAGTTAGAAAAGTGAGGAGAGATAGCCACCAATATAGAAAAATGTTTCTTCAAGTTCAGACCCCACAGTGAGATGCTGATTTAAGGAGGTAAGCATGGAGCTGCCAGCTATTGCTAAAAACATGTTAGGCATATATCAGTACACATCATAACCAGACAGAAGAAATACATACATGTACAAACAATCTGACAAAGTTTTTGGTAATCAAATAGGCAATTAGAGAAAGATCCATCCTCTGCTTTGTTTTGAACCTTCTCAATATTAATCTTGGTGGTTTTATTACCATTGTTATTATTGAAACTAACAGAAATAATTAACTGTCAAGGATTTTATAGGTCATTATGTGCTTTTAGATGCATAATTTCAATTGGTCCTCCTGTCCCTATTTATTAGCACCAAGTTCATTTTAGATGACCACTTACTTTTCTCAGAATTATTTTAGAAGTGGTTTCTAAAACAATTTGCTGTGTGCTTATTACTGAAGTTCACAAATGGCTGGTGTTATAGGCCAATTAGCAATTTAAAAAAGGAAAAAACTAAACTCACAATGGGGCATTCAGTATTTAGTGGGAGAATGAGAAATGTAGAATGCAGAAATAGATAGCACTATTTTTTTGTTTTAGGTGTCCCCTGCTCAGTGGACACACTTATCTTTATGTACTACATTCTGTATGTGCTTTTCTTTTAAACATTTTTTAGTTGTTGATAGACCTTTATTTTATTTATTTATATGTGGTGCTAAGAATCGAACCCAGTGCCTCACACATGCCAGGCAAGTGCGCTACCACTGAGCCCCAGCCCCAGCCCTCTGTATGTGCTTTTCTAGCCATAATCTTTTCTCTAAGAGCAGGGGGCAGTGAGCATGTAAACAGACTAAAAGCAATCATTGAAGAAACGGCTACTTTAAATCTACTGGCTGACAATTTAAAAGAACTTGCTTAAAAAAATAAGTTAAATTTAAGGTCAAAGTAGTCTTGATATCCTTTAACAATGTAGCCAAATCTGATCCAAGTCTTTGAAAATGATCTCAGAACAAATAAACATGACCCAAAGAACATTACATGCTAAGCAGTCAAGATGAAACAGAGCTTATTTCAATCAGCCCAACAAATATATTTTTAAAAACTTCTCCTGCTTCAAGAAACATTTCAATTCCTGTTTTGGCTAAATGTTGATAATTTTTAAAATAATCTTCAAAGCTTCTAAAATCAATGTTTAAAGTAAAAAGAGAAACAATAGCAAGCAAGTATCCCACCTCATCTTTGTCGACCTCCTCATCAACTTCATAGACATGAACTGGAAGTTTATCCAACTTGGCCAATTTGCTTTAAAAATAATAAAGAAAACTTGTTTTAGAACTGCCTAATCAATAGTCTGCATTTCTTCCTCCACTAGAGGAACCAGGCTAAGTAAACCCCAAGCTGGCCCTGTCAGATAAGGAATGTGCAAACCCACATGGTTGCTTTGCAGTGAGTGAGCCCAAGACACAAGTCATGAAGCTCCACAGTGTGTGAGGAAAAGCCAGCACAGCTTGCTGGGAGCCAGAGGTATATCAAAAATAGGAAAGTGGGTTAGGCATTAATAAATAAAAACTTGGTAGGATAATTTTTAATACAAAATTTGAGAGAAAATGGATATGGGGGTCATTGCATTAAAGTGATTAGTGGCAATGGTATTAACAATAATAGCAGTGGCCAGCATTTATCAAACAGTTATTATGTGTTAGGCCCTGTGCTGTGTCGCTTATATTTGTCATCTTGTTTACTCCTTTAGATGGTGGAGGCTGTTGTTAAGGCCACTTAATAAATAGAAAAATGAGCTTACAGAGGGTGGAGTTGACCCAAGGAGAATAAACAATCGGAATCCTTACCAAGTTACAAACAATCCTCCCTTTCTTTCTCATCATACATTTGAAGATTCTTATTAATGCCAAAAGGAAAAATCTACCATCAGTAAAAGTCTACCATAAAGTAAGTATACTATATGTCACAGTCTGTTATCTTTCAACCACAAGAATAGTAGTGAACAAGAATCAATGAAGATGGGTCAATCCGATCAAATGGGAAATGCTCAGAAACCTCCAAGTGAGTATTGGACAAACACAGAACTAAAGAGCATACCCATCTGGAGAAGATAATGCTAGGAGGGATTGTTCTCTACAGAGGTTTAAAAAGAAGCAATCAGGAAGTTGGCTGAACACTCTTAAGGAGTGGCTGAGCCACACAGATAGGAAAAACAAACAGCTAGGTCTACTGAGAATAGTATAAAAAGATCCAAATTCATAGATGCAACAAACAAAAAAGATATATACATTAATTGGTTCTCAAGTGAGATTTTCGTGGGTAATTATTACTTTTAAAACACAATCTCTGGGGCTGGGGATATAGCTCAGTTGGCAGAGTGCTTGCCATGTAAGCACAAGGCCCTAGGTTCGATCCCCAGCACCACACACACACACACACACACACACACAAAAAAAAACACAATCTTTCACTATTTGCTTTCAATTTTCATAATCAATTATACTTCAATATTCCAACTTTATCATTTCAGGACACACCATTTTATTCTATATATATTTTTTAGTACCAGGGATTAAACTCAGGGTGCTTAACCACTGAGCCCCACAATTGCTTTAAATTTTTTTTTTTTTTAATTTTGAGACACAGTCTTTTTCTAAGTTGCTTAGGGCCTTGCTAAATGGCAGAGGCTGGCTTTGAACTTGTAATCCTCCTACCCCAGCTACCTGACCTGCTGGGATTACAGGCATGCACCATTGTGCCCAGTTGGATGCACCATTTTAACCTCTTAAGGCAAAACCTATCTACTCTTGGTTCACTTAAACTACCACTATCTATGTTTATATGTACACTTTTGGTATATTCTAGAATGAGTGATTACTTCAAAGGAGGTAAAGAACTTATATGGGAAAATACTTGTTCCTTGATTTACTTTTCTTCAAGTTTACTCAATACAAAATACAAATCTTTTGTTCAAATATTCTTTTTTAGAAAAATAACGTACTTACATTCTCTTTGTTCTATATTTCTCAGTGTAAACTGCACCTATTTATGTTTTTTATCAGTGGTACTCTGAATAGAATCCCAGGACATAATTAAACTATCCATGTGATTTTGTTACCATCTACCAATACCAAAGTACCATATTTGAGTCTTATAATCAAAGGTCCTGTACACAATAGCTACATCATATACACACAAACATCTAGAAGTAATTTCTGTAATTACTCTGACTGCATATGAAGTTACATACTTCCCTGAGCATTTCAAGTACAAAAACGTTTCCCCATGTGGGTAATCCCATCTTGTGTGGTCTGATAGTTTACTCACTTTGGAAGCTGTCGAAACTCTCCTGAATAATCTTCATATTTATAGGTCACAAGATGCCAGTCAGAGTTGTAGGTTTTGATGCACTATTAGTAGGGAGAACAAAAAAATGTAAGAGGAGAACAGAAACAGGTGATGACTTCTGGAGAACATTCAGGAAGGCACACCCATACAGACATCAAAACAATGTTTCCCATCAACCAGCTAATGCCACCAGAGGATCCTGTGAAGCTTGAGTCTTTGAACCACTGGGAGACATATCACTTTAAGTTATCATCATTAATGATCTGAGGACTGATTTTACAAAAACACTAATCTTTGCCTAATCTTGTACATTTAAATAAAAAGGTACTGTTTCTGACTTAAAAAGTACTTGATTCTCAAGAAGCCATATGTTCCCCACTGGCACAAAAAGTGAACACAAAGGGTAAACCTAAGATACTTTCATGATTCTTAATATTAGAACTATCACCATTACTTAGTATTATCATACAAATATCTGCCCTCAGTTTTTTCTTTCCATTCACCAAGAACAGAGTGAAATTATCAGGAGGAAAGATTTAGATTTTAATTCATAGTGGTACCTGACATTTTTGTGTGCATGCATGTGTGTACACAAAATATATAGTGTACACAGTACTCTGCTGACAATGATTCTTCTAGTGACACTACCCTACACAGATTGCATTCAAACCACTTCACTACATATTAGGGTCAAGGGGTCAACACAGTTTCTTTCATGTGTCTACTCCTTAGGATCCATCCAGTGTTGTACAGGATCTTAAGATAATAAGCCCACATCCACCTCATCTTCAAATATGAATGAGTCAAAAATCAATAAAAAAGTTTCAATTACCATTATCTTAATTCAAATTATGTTCTCCATTGTTAGCTCTTGACTATACACATGCAGACTTGGATGTAGCAAAAAAAATTTTGAAATAGATGAAAACACTAGGGAAGTAAATCCACTTATGTTTTACCTAGTTTATTTGACTCTGGTGTAACAAATATCATAACAAAGTCTCTATTCTGCTGATTTTACTTCAGAGTTTAAACTGCCAACCTTCTTCCCCCGCACCCCACCTTGGTACGGTGGATTGAACTCAGGGGCACTTGACCATTAAGCCACATCCCCAGCCCTATTTTGTATTTTATTTGGAGACAGAGTCTCACTGAATTGCTTATAGCCTCACTTTTGCTGAGGCTGGCTTTGAACTCATGATCCTCCTGTCTCAGTCTCCCAAGCTATTGAATTACAGGCATGAGCCACTGTGCCTGGCTAAACTGCCAACCGTCTTATCTTAGTCATGGCCTACACCTACAGACCTTCTGAAGCAAACTCTCTTCCACTCACAAACTCCTGAAAACAATAACAGCAACAGTAGCAAGTGCTTATTTTGCACAGGGCTCTTTGATAAGCACTTTAATTGAAAGGATGCAAAGGGAAGGTAGGGTAAGTATTTTATATTATCATTCTGAGAGGTAGAATGAATAGCAGAGAAGAGCTAAGAGCAGATTCAAGTATGGGAGCTCAGCAATTTTTCAATTTTTTGACTATGTACTTACAAACATTTTAAAATAACTATTTTATTCTTGTAAATGCTTTGTAAAATTTCTCAAAGCATTTTCACATTTAGAAAATCAGATATTCACATTCAAAATTACATTCTAAAAACAGAAAATATGATTTCAAAATTAGGGCTGGGAATAGCTCAGTTGGTAGAGTGCTTGCCTCACATGAGCAAGGCCCTGGGTTTAGTCCCCAGCACCACAAAAACAAAACAAAACATGATTTCAAAATTATCCGCAGCTTTGGACTTTCCCACTGTGCTCCTAGGCCTACCAACATGGCTGAGGCAGCCCTCGTTCTGGGACATGCTCCTGTTCTCTTTGTTAGGCCATCATGGTTTTCATCAAGCACTATAACTAAAATACCACCAAGTCCCTTGCAGGCCCATCCTGAGTACAGAATGCACTGCCAAATTAAAAACTAAGAAAAAAAATTTTTTTTATTTTTTTTTATTGGTTGTTCAAAACATTACAAAGCTCTTGACATATCATATTTCATACATTAGATTCAAGTGGGTTATGAACTCCCATTTTTACCCCAAATACAGATTGCAGAATCACATCGGTTACACATCCACATTTTTACATAATGCCCTATTAGTGACTGTTGTATTCTGCTACCTTTCCTACCCTCTACTATCCCCCCTCCCCTCCCCTCCCATCTTCTCCCTCTACCCCATCTACTGTAATTCATTTCTCTCCTTGTTTATTTTCCCATTCCCCTCACAACCTCTTATATGTAATTTTGTGTAACAATGAGAGTCTCCCTCCATTTCCATGCAATTTCCCTTTTCTCTCCCTTTCCCTCCCACCTCATGTCTCTGTTTAATGTTAATCTTTTCTTCCTGCTCTTCTTCCCTGCTCTGTTCTTAGTTGCTCTCATTATATCAAAGAAGACATTTGGTATTTGTTTTTTAGGGATTGGCTAGCTTCACTAAGCATAATCTGCTCTAGTGCCATCCATTTCCCTGCAAATTCCATGATTTTGTCATTTTTTAGTGCTGCGTAATACTCCATGGTGTATAAATGCCACATTTTTTTTATCCATTCATCTATTGAAGTGCATCTGGGTTGGTTCCACAGTCTAGCTATTGTGAATTGTGCTGCTATGAACATGGATGTGGCAGTATCCCTGTAGTACGCTCTTTTAAGGTCTTTAGGGAATAGTTCGAGAAGGGCAATAGCTGGGTCAGATGGTGGTTCCATTCCCAGCTTTCCCAGGAATCTCCATACTGCTTTCCAAATTGGCCGCACCAATTTGCAGTCCCACCAGCAATGTACAAGTGTACCCTTTTCCCCACATCCTCGCCAGCACTTGTTGTTGTTTGACTTCATAATGGCTGCCAATCTTACTGGAGTGAGATGGTATCTTAGGGTGGTTTTGATTTGCATTTCTCTGACTGCTAGAGATGGTGAGCATTTTTTCATGTACTTGTTGATTGATTGTATGTCCTCCTCTGAGAAGTGTCTGTTCAGGTCCTTGGCCCATTTGTTGATTGGGTTATTTGTTATCTTATTGTCTAATTTTTTGAGTTCTTTATATACTCTGGATATTAGGGCTCTATCTGAAGTGTGAGGAGTAAAAATTTGTTCCCATGATGTAGGCTCCCTATTTACCTCTCTTCTTGTTTCTCTTGCTGAGAAAAAACTTTTTAGTTTAAGTAAGTCCCATTTATTGATTCTTGTTATTAACTCTTGTGCTATGGGTGTCCTATTAAGGAATTTGGAGCCCGACCCCACAATATGTAGATCGGAGCCAACTTTTTCTTCTATCAGACGCAGAGTCTCTGATTTGATATCAAGCTCCTTGATCCATTCAACATGTCTTTGCTCACTGCTCACACACCAGGCACTCACTGAATTCCATGGAAGAGGCAGAGAATCAGACAAGCAACCTCCACCCCACTGGAGTTTGAGACAGTCTGGGGGATAATAAGTTCCATCAGAAATTATATTCAGAGAACTGTCACTCCAAAAAGACACAGATATGATTGACTACATGATTACCTTTCAAACTTGGGAAATTCAATAATATTTTAAAACTACACTGAAAATTTTATGAAGTTAGGTTTTTGTTTTGTTTTGTTTTAAGTCATTAGATCATTCTCTTCCAGACTAGAGAATGGAGAGGAAGTGATATTTCACTCCACCCAGTGGAACAGTCCTCAAAGGGTTCGGTTATATTGGTTCCAGCAGCACAGGGTGAAGCACTGATTGCTCAACCTGTGGTGATTCAAGGACTTACTAGCAAGTTAGGCCCCCAAAACATATTTTTTTAAATTAACTGGTAGAACTAAACAATCAATAATTTTGCTGCATGTTTTAAAACAGAAGTCAAAAAATTTCCTGCAAAAGGCAGAACAGTAAACATTTTTATCTTTGCAGTTCATATTATTTCTGCTGCACCACTCAACTAGTTGTATTGCAGCAGCAGCCATAGACAATATGTCAACAAATGGGATGGCTTTATCACAATAAAACTGTATTTACAAAAACAGATTCCAGGCTAGATTGTGCCTGAAGTCATAGGTTGCCTACCTCTTGCGTGTGTGTGCGCATGCATGTACTGGGGATTGAACCCAAGGGTACTTTCCACTGAGCTACATCCCCAATCCTTTTTCTTTTTTATTTCAAGTCAGAGTCTCACTGAGTTTGCTTAGGGTCTCACTAAATTGCCAAAGCTGGACTCAAACTTGCAATACTCCTGTCTCAGCCTCCTGAGTTGCTGGGATTACAGGCATATGCCACCATATCTGGTTTTTTAGCTTTTAAACAAACATGTTTGCCTACATAAATGTAATATGACTTTACTTTTCTGTAATTAATTTTACTAAATAGTGCAAACCACACTTGAAAAATTTTAAATACATATTTTATTTTTCACAAATCTCAAGGAAAACTAAATATCATTAATTAACTGGTTTTTCCTTTAAAAGCATAGTTTCCTTGTAGTGGGCAACATTGTTGATGGGCCTATTTTTCATCTAAATACCAACTAGAAAAATTGGGTTAAAAACTCTTTGTTGGGGGGCAGTACTTAGGATTGAACTCAGGAGTGTTCTACCACTGATACATCCCCAGCCCTTTTTGTTTTTCATTTTGAAAAAGGGTCTAAGTTGCTGGGCCTAGTCCTGCCTCAGCCAACTAAGTAGCCTGGATTACAGGCATGAGCCATCTTATTTGGCAAAACTCATTATTTTTAAGTGAAGGAGAACTTTGAGAAATAACATTAAGGCACCGAATTAGTTGGCCCTACTCCAAGGAAAACAAAAAAAATAAGCAACCTGAATTACAATAATTACTTTCCTCTGTAACAAGTAGATTACTTATATGTTCAAACAAGAGTAACAATAATCACACAATGATCAGGGATAGTCAAGTCAGGCTTTGCTCACCATCACCTGGCAGTTCTTGAAAATCATTTGCAAATATAAACATGTATGTAAAATAAATGAATACATAAATATATATGCTGAGTCAAACCATTAAACATTAAAACAGTAGCAAGACAAAGCTTTCAACAGAGTCTTCCAGTAAATTCATTCACAAGTTACCCCTTATTCTAAGTCCATGAGACAAATGCTGTGGAGATGATTTTTTTCCAGTCAGAAATGAAACTTGGGGACATTTCTGTCCATTTCAGATTCTGAAAACTTCATCTATTTTGACTTCCATGATAAAACTATAATGACCTCTTTGGAACTTTTTAGAAAATACTGAAATTAAGGAAAAGTGCAGAAGTGCATTAGAGGAAAATGACTTTAAAATGTAAATAAATGTAGGAAAAAAAAAAAAACAAAGAAGTCTTACCTCTGTTACAAATAAGCTCTGAGCTTCTTCCTCTGCATTTGTAGGAACTGTGGAACATATGTAGCGACCCTGCCGCCTCAGGATGGCCGTCTGTGAACAAAAGCACGAGGAAGAAACTTGGTTAAGATGGGAGGCTGGTCCTCAGGATGCAGGTGAACACTCTGCAATAGGGTACCCACACAGACCCAATCAGTCCCTCTGATTTCTACCAGCAGGTGGGTGCAGCTGCCTCTTCACGTGGCACACAACACATTCCATTTGGCATCCCAACATTCCAGAGCCAGGCAGGGAAATAGCTCCTGCTTCCTTCTGAATTGGGGCCCTGATACTCCCTCCCAGGTCCCCTAATGCAGGTAGAGGCTCATTTTCCTAGTCCCAAACAACACACCCCCAAGTGCTTCAGCCTTTTATTTATCTTAATTGGCTTTTTTTCCATTGTGGCAAATACATATAACACAAATTTACCACTTGAAGCATTTTTTAAGTGTGCAGTTCAGTGATACTATACATTCACATGGTTGCACAATCATCACTTTCTCATTTCTTAATTATTATACTCATTGTTCACTGCCTCATCCCTACTGCCTAAGAGCAAAGAACACGGATAACTTACATACATAAAGGTCCTCAGTCAATAACTGTTAAATGAACCCATGAATGCTACTGCTTCTCCTATGAACATCAGAAATGTTCTTATTTCAATGTTTTTTTTGTTTTGTTTTGTTTTGGTGGTGGAGGTGGTGATGGTGGTAGTACTGGGGATTAAATCCAGAGGAACTTAACCACTGAGTCACATCCCCGGCCCTTTTAATTTTTTTATTTGGAGAGAAGGTCTCGCTAAGTTACTTAGAGTCTCAGTAAGTTGTGGCTGGCTTTGAACTCACAATCCTCCTGCCTCAGCCTCCCAAGCTGCTGGGATTACCACCCCAGCTTCAGTGCTTATTTTAAATAATTAAATAACTTCAGACAGATTCACATGTATCCAGTAACTGCACTTTTAGGTTTTGGAAACTAATGTTCTACTTTTTTTTTTTCTCGCACAGATTGGAATTCTTTGGTATTATTAGTAGATCATGATTATAAAAACAGCATACACTGAAATATTTAACTAACAGAATCTTATTACTAAGCTGGGCTCACAGCATCTGTCCTGCTATTTTCCTTTTTCCCTGGTTGGAGGCAGTTTTCCACGAAATCTATGATTCTCTCCCCTCTCCACGCCATAGAGAACTTCAAGGGCATGTATTTGTGTGTAACTTAATTTTATTTCCTCCCTACATTTTCTCTGTTGTACCTGCTTTGCTTATATTTATTCTTTTTGTGCACTGTGTCCATCTTTGACAAAAAGTATAAAGTCTATTTTTAGAATATGGCTTCCTTGTTCTAAACAAAGGGAAGGAAGCAACTTTGTCTTCCACCAAAGTCCTCTGCAGGTGAATTATTCATTCAGTGTCTCCAGAAGGGCTTTCAACACTGTGGGTCTTGGTTTCCTCACAAATATCACTAATGGTTACCTTTATTACACACCTGTTCTCATGGAATGCCACAGAGAAAGGGACCACAGGCATGGAAAAGAGGCCCAAACTATTCAAAAAGCTGCAAAGCAAAATATTGATTATAGACTGTCAAAACTACTAAATATCAGGAATGAGATCAGTAAGGGGACTTATTTATGAAATCCTGTATACTTCAAAGGAGACATTCTATATCCCCACTTACTGTATCATATCTTGATTTATCTTTTTCAAGACTCTCAAAACTAATTATCATACTTTCAAAACATTCATGAAATGCTCATCTCAAGAAATACACCTATTTGAGTTATTTCTAGCCCATTTCTTACTGTAGCACTAGGAAAAAAGAAAATTTTTTACCAAATTTTCCCTGTGGAATTGCCAACTCTAGTAGTTGTAATTATGAGATAATTTTCTAAACACTCCATCCTCTAAGGTGAGAAAAAAAAAGATAGTAGTTCTTTTTGATTCTCATGTATCAAAGTGCTATCATGTTCTCACTTGAAAAAGAAAGCAATTTTAAATCATTAAAGAGACTTGAGTGTTAGCAGATAAGATGGCATAAGATTTCTCCTGTTTAACTTAGATTTACACATCAATCATAACTGATCAATTCCTAACTCCAATTTGACAAAGCAGAGTTTTCTAACCAGGTAGAGCATGCTTGCTTCCCCAGAGACTTTATCCAAATAAACTAAATTAGATGTGCTTCTTTAGTATGTATCTAGTTCAAGTGCTATTTTTTAAGTGTTTTTTTCTTGAACTACATAACATTAGATCTGTTTTAGATAATCTCCAAGGATAGCTGCTATTCTTCCCCACATATGCACGTTGCTCCTCATGACAAAAAGTGTTAGTTTATTTTCCCTCCCCTTGAATCTGGGCTGGCAGTGACCAATAAAACAAGACAGAAGGGACATTGGGTCAGCTCCAAACACAACCTTCAGAAAAAGTCAGCTTCCTTCTCCTTCCTTCTCCAATTGCCATATAAGAAGTTCTACTATTTTGAGGCCTCCATGGTGAAAGGAAACATACGCTTTTCATGTGGAAGAATCATATACACAGAGAAGAAGCCACACTCAGCTCCAGGAGGTTCCAGGCATCCCAGTTGGGAGAGTACTGCGTGAATGGAGAAGCCATCCTGGACCTGCCAGCCCCACAGACATTTAACTCCAGCAGAAGAACTACCTACCTGACCCTGAAAGAGAATTAGGAATGAAGAAGTAATAAATTATTGTCTTAAGTTACTAGGCTTTGGGATACTCAACAACAGACAGATGAGACAAGGCTATATAAGAAATTAGAAACATCTCCAAATTGCAGTACTGAGGAATGCTGCCATTTTCATGAAATACTACCATAGTACGGATAGGAGGGGGCCGTGAGGAGACACATTATGCTGCAATCTGAGTTTCCTTCCTTTCAACTTCTGCTTAGAGCCCTGAAAGAGGTCAAGCATATACTACAGTATCTTCCCTTCCTGAAAAACACTCTACTCATCATTTAAGGGCTCCGCATAAATATCTCTTCCTCCATGCATCCAAACTTTTACTGGCTCTCTCCCTCCCACAAGACACTGAACTAGTGGCTGAAGACACAACATTTGATCAAATGTAGTTACTATTCTTATCTACCATGAAGTCTAACAAAAGAGAAAAATGAGAAAATAAATTATGAGTTCATGGTAAGTACTACAGAAGGGTATGGATGGATAGAAAGAAAGAAAGAAAGAAAGAAAGAAAGAAAGAAAGAAAGAAAGAAAGAAAGAAAAGGGCACAGAAGCACAGGATACCATGAGAGAAGATGGTAGGAGAGTCTGACAAAACAGGGAAAAGAGGACATTAAGAAAAGGCATATGAAGGGAGAAATGCTTAAGCAAATTTTAAAGGATGAATCTAAGGTGTATTCAGAACAAAAGAAAGAGGAACTTGGAAATATGCTTTAAAAACTAAAATCAAGATATAATAAATGAGATTAACTCTATTTAAAAATCCATTAAACCCTAGAATTAAAACTATACCTATGTCAAAAATTCCTAGATCTCCATTTCGCCTTAAATGAACAATAAAACCCCACCAACTTAGTCAATCAGCATAAATAACAGGCCAGCAGAAAGAACAGGGCTTACCAGTTTGAGCAACTTCTCTAACACTACTTAAAAGGAAAGCCTGGGATCCATCAAGGGCCCCAGGGGGCTGAGTGCAACTGGCACTAAGCAGGCAAACACTGTAGATGCCAACAGCTGCCAAGGTCTTCCCATTCACTGCTCCACTCTAAGTCCAGCCTCACCATGCCACTGTTTTTAACTCATGTCCCATTTAGACTTGCCTACCAGGAGAAGATGCACAGCCAATAAAGGTATTCTGATCCTATTTTCATCCTAGTTCTCAATGCACATTAACAAAATGGTATTCTGATTTGTTTTCTTGTGGGGCTGGTTGCTGTAAATCAGTTCCCCAGAGTCTGACCAACTCTGGTCATACTGATCAAATTCAGTCCACAGACTTGCAAAACTGAGATCTGCCCCTGTACCATGGTGACCTTAAAACCTCGACCCTGAGACCTCTTTAATTAGCTGATTCCATTATCCAAACTCTCCTACAGGCATAAGCCCTTCTTTCCTCTACCAGATTTCAGATTCTTTTGAGGATAGGAAGGAGATATGTTGTAACTGATCTAATTGTATCTTTGTACTAAGTACCTGATAAATGTTTCAAGAATGAATGAATAAAACAGCCAATGGAGACAGAAATAGGAACCTACCATTACTTGCATATAAGGATTTTTTTTTTTCTATTACAAAAAGTTCTTTGGCCCATTATAGAAATTGACAAGGGAAGACTAAGTGAATGTTCTATTTTAATTTCTCTGCAGACTTTACATGTTAAAAGTCACATTCAGAAATTCTACTTTATGCCAAACCAATTCACATTAAATTTCTGTAGTTTTACTTCTCTGGCTTATAACAGAGTCCAAGTCAACACAAAGAGATTTATACTTAATGAGCACTAAAGCCCTTCTCAGCAATGAACTAAATTTCCTTTCTCACGGTTGTGGTATTCTGTTCTACTTTTCTTTCAGTTACAACTATATTCCACAAAATACGCGTCCATATCTTCTTTACGTAAATAAGTATGAAGATGAGCATTCAAAGAATATCAGACCCATTCTTCGCCGTATTTGGGAGACTGGTTCTAGGATTCCCATCCCCAACCCCCGCACAGATAACAAAAATCCAAGGATATTCAAGTCCCTATATAAAATGGTACAGTATTTGCATATAACCTATTCGTGGTCTCCTGTATACTTTCAAACATCTCTAGATTACTTATAATACCTAATAAACTGTAAATGATTCACAAATAGTTGCAGTACTGTGCTATATAAGGAATAATGACAAGGAAATGTCTATACATGTTCAGTACAACTTTTTCTCCCAGATCTTTATGATCTGCAGTTTTTTGAACTCACAGATATGAACCTAAGGAAATGGAGAGCCAACTGTATTTATTCTACTAAGAAAGCTTTCGATTTGAAAGGTGAAGGAGGAAAAACATTTCATACCATGAAGTGTGA